ATCTACATCTGCAGAACGTGAAGAACCAGTGGCATCTACATCTGCAGAACGTGAAGAACCAGTGGCATCTACATCTGCAGAACGTGAAGAACCAGTGGTATCTACATCTACAGAGCGTGAAGAACCAGTGGCATCTACATCTACAGAACATGAAGAACCAATGGCATCTACATCTATAGAATGTGAAGAACCAGCGGCATCTACATCTGCAGATCGCGAATAACCAGTGGCATCTACATCTGCAGAACGTGAAGAACCAGTGGCAACTACATCTGCAAAACGTGAAGAAACAGTGGCATCTACATCTGCATCTGCAGAACGTGAAAAACCAGTGGCATATACATCTACATCTGCATCTGCAGAACGTGAAGAACCAGTGGCATCTACATCTGCATCTGCAGAACGTGAAGAACCAGTGGCATCTACATCTGCATTTGCAGAACATGAAGAACCGGTGGCATCTGCATCTGCAGAACGTGAAGAACCAGTGGCATCTACATCTGTAGAACGCGAAGAACCAGTGGCATCTACATCTGCAAAACGTGAAGAACCAGTGGCATCTACATCTGCAGAACGTGAAGAACCAGTGGCATCTACATCTGCAGAACGTGAAGACCCAGTGGCATCTACATCTGCAGAACGTGAAGAACCAGTGGCATCTACATCTGCAGAACGCGAAGAACCAGTGGCATCTTCATCTGCAGAACGCGAAGAACCAGTGGCATCTACATCTGCAGAACGCGAAGAACCAGTGGCATCTACATCTGCAGAACGCGAAGAACCAGTGGCATCTACATCTGCAGAACGTGAAGAACCAGTGGCATCTACATCTATAGAATGTGAAGAACCAGCGGCATCTACATCTGGAGATTGCGAAGAACCAGTGGCATCTGCATCTGCAGAACGTGAAGAACCAGTGGCATCTACATCTGCAGAACGTGAAGAACCAGTGGCATCTACATCTATAGAATGTGAAGAACCAGCGGCATCTACATCTGGAGATCGCGAAGAACCAGTGGCATCTGCATCTGCAGAACGTGAAGAACCAGTGGCATCTACATCTGCAGAACGTTAAGAACCAGTGGCATCTACATCTGCAGAACGTGAAGAACCAGTGGCATCTACATCTGCAGAACGTGAAGAACCAGTGGCATCTTCATCTGCAGAACGCGAAGAACCAGTGGCATCTACATCTGCAGAACGCGAAGAACCAGTGGCATCTACATCTGCAGAACGTGAAGAACCAGTGGCATCTACATCTGCAGAACGTGAAGAACCAGTGGCATCTACATCTGCAGAACGTGAAGAACCAGTGGCATCTACATCTATAGAATGTGAAGAACCAGGGGCATCTACATCTGGAGATCGCGAAGAACCAGTGGCATCTGCATCTGCAGAACGTGAAGAACCAGTGGCATCTACATCTGCAGAACGTGAAGAACCAGTGGCATCTACATCTGCAGAACGTGAAGAACCAGTGGCATCTACATCTGCAGAACGTGAAGAACCAGTGGCAACTACATCTGCAAAACGTGAAGAACCAGTGGCATCTACATCTGCATCTGCAGAACGTGAAAAACCAGTGGCATATCTGCATCTGCAGAACGTGAAGAACCGGTGGCATCTGCATCTGCAGAACGTGAAGAACCAGTGGCATCTACATCTGTAGAACGCGAAGAACCAGTGGCATCTACATCTGCAAAACGCGAAGAACCAGTGGCATCTACATCTGCAGAACGTGAAGAACCAGTGGCATCTACATCTGCAGAACGTGAAGAACCAGTGGCATCTACATCTGCAGAACGTGAAGAACCAGTGGCATCTACATCTGCAGAACGTGAAGAACCAGTGGCATCTACATCTGCAGAACGTGAAAAACCAGTGGCATATACATCTGCATCTGCAGAACGTGAAGAACCGGTGGCATCTGCATCTGCAGAACGTGAAGAACCAGTGGCATCTACATCTGTAGAACGCGAAGAACCAGTGGCATCTACATCTGCAAAACGCGAAGAACCAGTGGCATCTACATCTGCGGAACGTGAAGAACCAGTGGCATCTACATCTGCAGAACGTGAAGAACCAGTGGCATCTACATCTGCAGAACGTGAAGAACCAGTGGCATCTACATCTGCAGAACGCGAAGAACCAGTGGCATCTTCATCTGCAGAACGCGAAGAACCAGTGGCATCTACATCTGCAGAACGCGAAGAACCAGTGGCATCTATATCTGCAGAACGCGAAGAACCAGTGGTATCTACATCTGCAGAACGTGAAGAACCAGTGGCATCTACATCTGCAGAACGTGAAGAACCAATGACATCTACATCTGCAGAACGTGAAGAACCAGTGGCATCTACATCTGCAGAACGTGAAGAACCAGTGGCATCTACATCTGCAGAACGTGAAGAACCAGTGGCATCTACATCTGCAGAACGTGAAGAACCAGTGGCATCTACATCTGCAGAACGTGAAGAACCAATGGCATCTACATCTGCATCTGCAGAACGTGAAAAACCAGTGGCATCTACATCTGCATCTGCAGAACGTGAAGAACCAGTGGCATCTACATCTGCATCTCCAGAACGTGAAGAACCAGTGGCATCTACATCTGCATCTGCAGAATGTGAAGAACCATTAGCATCTACATCTGCATCTCCAGAACGTGAAGAACCGGTGGCATCTACATCTGAATCTGCAGAACGTGAAGAACCAGTGGCATCTACATCTGCAGAACGCGAAGAACCAGTGGCATCTGCATCTGCAGAACGCGAAGAACCAGTGGCATCTATATCTGCAGAACGCGAAGAACCAGTGGCATCTACATCTGCAGAACGTGAAGAACCAGTGGCATCTACATCTGCAGAACGTGAAGAACCGGTAGCATCTACAGCTATAGAACATGAAGAACCAGTGGCATCTACATCTGCAGAATGTGAAGAACCAGTGGCATCTACATCTGCAGCAGATTATACAACTCTTAAATCCATTCCCCATGTTTAGTGTACACGCCGTACAACCTGTTTGGAATCGACAGGAGTAAAGTTGGACTTTCGAACAAATCGACTTACGAACTTGTTCGTAAGAGTCCCTGTATTATAGTGTAGTAGTATATAGTAGTGTCGTATATAATGTAGTATATAGTAGTGTATAGTAATATATAATGTAGTGTATGATGTAGTGTAGTCGTATATAGTAGTGTAATAGTATATAATGTAGTATATATTAGTATATAATGTAGTGTAGTAGTATATAATGTAGTGTGTTATATAATGTAGTATGTTGTAGTATAGTAGTATATAATGTATGGTAGCACTGTGCATGCCTTACAACGTGTTTGGAATCGACAGGAGTAAAGTTGGACTGAAGAACAAATCGACTTACGAACAGACCTCTGGAACCTCACTCGTTCGTAAGTAGAGAAGTCCCTGTACGAACACCTAAACCCTTGTCCATCACGGTGGGGGGGGTGGGGGGGAGGGTTTTACGTTCTTGAAAATATCTGCAATCGGCAAATCCGCCATCCGCAAACCCAGAAAAAAATAGTTTGGTTCACGATTTCCGATACCCCACCCACTCACCCCCTACCCACTCACCACCTACCCACTCACCACCTACCCACTCACCACCTACCCACCGACCACCCACCACCCCGGTTCATGATACACCACTCACCACCTACCCACCGACCACCCACCACCCCGGTTCATGATACACCACTCACCACCTACCCACTCACCATCCACCCACCCACCCACTGACCGACCACCCACCACCCATCCACCCACTCACCACTCACCATCCACCACTCATGACCCACCACCCACCCACCATCACCTCCCGTTGTTGTTGTTTCACCTGACATCAACCCAGCACGTTAATCGGCAAGTTAGTATATTTTGGAATGCAAAGCACGTCGAGTGTCATCTGCAAACGCGTACAAATTTGGCGTGCGGTGCTGTGCAGGCACATGCATGTCTAGTAAACTTGAACGTAAGTGTAAGGTTAACGACTTACGTGTGCGTATGTACGCTGGACTTTTTTCTGCACCGTAGGTAGCCAACTGCGCTAATCTGTGGGTCTCTATGTGCCTCTATGGGTCTGGGGTGCCTGTGGGTCTCTGTGTGTCTCTATGGGTCTGGGGTGCCTGTGGGTCTCTGTGTGTCTCTATGGGTCTGGGGTGCCTGTGGGTCTCTGTGTGTCTCTATGGGTCTGGGGTGCCTGTGGGTCTCTGTCTCTATGGGTCTGGGGTGCCTGTGGGTCTCTGTGTGTGTACGTTGGACTTCTTTCGCACCGTACATAGCCAACCGTGGCTAATCGGAGGCGCGGGGGAAGGACGACAACACTAAACACAACAACACTAAACACGACGGCAAGCAGTTCTAAAGAAGCAAGTTTGTCAATCTAGGTGATGATGATTATTTAAGAGTGCATCATAGCTCCCAGCGGCTCCCTAATGTCGGAAGGAGGATTTTAGGAAGCCTCTGGAGCTGAAGCGCTTGCACGTACGATGGAAGCGGCGATGCTGGCTACAGAAAGAGAACCTGGGGGTGAAGTGTCCATCAGTCCCTTCGTCACTGGCAACGGGAGGGAAAGAGACGCGCGACGACGCGAATGTTGTACTGCACTGTTGCCGCGCGCGTGCGTGACCGCAGGGCGGATGGAGAGAATGAAGAGGATGAAGCGGTCGGAGAAACTGGAGAGATCGCAGAGGTCGGAGAGGCCTCGGAAGTTGGAGAAGATGGAGCGGGCGGAGAGGTCGGAGAGGGCGGGGAGAGCCGAGAGGTCGGAGAGGTCGGAGAAGATGGAGCGGGCGGAGAGGTCGGAGAGGGCGGGGAGGGCGGAGAGGTCGGAGAAGATGGAGAGGGGGGGGAGGGCGGAGAGGGGGGAGAGGGGGGGGAGGGCGGAGAGGGCGGAGAGATTGGAGAGGATGGAGAGGGTGGAGAGGATGGAGAGGATGGAGAGGGTGGAGAGAGCCGAGAGAGCCGAGAGAGCGGAGAGAGCGGAGAGGGTGGAGCGAGGGGAAAGGATGGAGAGGGGGGAGAGAGCGGAGAAGAAGAGCAAGAAGAAGAGCAGCAAGAGGAAGGGAGGGGGTAGCTCGTCGCGGTCGCGGTCGCGGTCGAGGAAGCTGCTGTTGAAGCGCGGAGAAGCGGCCAGCGGGGGCGGGGCCAGCGGGGGCGGGGCCAGCGCCGAGACGTGGGGCGGGGCCGGCGGGGAGAGCGCAGGGTACCACGGTGAGCACACGCCGGTCCACACTCACCACCCCTCACCCACACTCACCACCCCTCACCCACACTCACCACCCCTCACCCACACTCACTAACCCTCACCCATACTCACCAACCCTCACCCACACTCACCACCCCTCACTCACACTCACCAACCCTCACCCACACTCACCACCCCTCACCCACACTCACCACCCCTCACCCACACTCACTAACCCTCACCCACACTCACCAACCCTCACCCACACTCACCACCCCTCACCCACACTCACCAACCCTCACCCACACTCACCACCCCTCACCCACACTCACCACCCCTCACCCACACTCACCACCCCTCACCCACACTCACCCTCACCCACACTCACCAACCCTCACCCACACTCACCACCCCTCACCCACACTCACTAACCCTCACCCACACTCACCAACCCTCACCCACACTCACCACCCCTCACCCACACTCACCACCCCTCACTCACAGTGGTCCGTGATGCTACTCCTCACCCACAGGAGGTCGTGGTTTCGATCCCGACCCCGACGATGCCTGCTGCTGCTGTAGGTTTGGAGTCTGCGTCTCTCTCCTCGTGGCCACGTGGATATCTCTCCCGGTGGCCCGGTTTTTCCCTCCACATTTAGAATCAACGTCACTACGCGTTTAGAGTTATTTGTCTGCTGCTATAAATGTCCACATGATGATGGTGATAAGCCACGTGGTTGAGCTGCTATCATTTGTGATACCCAGGGGTCGCGTCTGAAAAAGAGCAACCACACAGCAGCTGAGTGGGGCCTTACCTGTGTAGTGACTGTGATTGTCACTGTGTGGTGCCGGGCTTACGAAGCCATGGCGGATAATGTGCTGTCATTATGTGTAGCCCGCTGACGGGGCGTAGTACCGGCCCTAGCGGGGCTTGGGTGAGCGCTGGTCAGCGCTGAGGCACCACGTACAGTGTGCGGTGCGGGCTCCCGGTGAGGGAGCGAGAGAGAGCGTCGGCCAGCCAGGGTTACGTTGGGGCACGATACGCCGGTTGACCTGCCGACACGTGGCCGGATGATATTGGAAGGGGGGCTACCGGTGGACGGGGGCTGCTGTGCGGTCACGTGGTCTGAAAGAGCTCTCGGGAGCCTTCGAGAAAGAGCTCGAGAGAGATCTGGAAGGTGGGCGGGGCGAGGGGCGGAGCCAGCCCCAGCCCCAGCTCGGGGGGTATAACGGGGGCCCCGTGAGGAGCTGGGGGTTCTTCATTTTGCCGGCCTATAGCCACGCGGTCCGGGACCCAGCTCGTGGTCCGGGCCGGGATAGCGAACCGTGTCTAGTTCTGACGTAGCGTGGCTGGATGGGCATTCGAGACCCGAGTGTAGATTGTGTGATGTTGTGTTAAAGTTGCGTAATAAATAGTGTTGCTCCCAAGATAACGTCTGCGACTCAGTTGGACTCACTACAACTGGTCAAGATTAAAGTAGTACAATACTCATTGGTTCTTTCAGTAAAGTTATGCATGTAGACATAAAAAAAATTAAATCACGAATAAAATAACATTTTATTTTAAAATTTTATTTTATTTGTGATTTCAATTTTATTTTATTTCTACTTACGTGACTTTACCGAAAGAAGAACCAATGAGTATAGTAATTTCTGCAGTCACGAAAGCTTCAATTCTAGATTAAAAGTAGTACAGTTGTATTTGTATATTTGTAAGTGATTTGTTTACCTTTCCACTACTTTGCACTACTACGATGTGTTTGTATCGTTTGTTGTTGTAACGTTCTGACCCCATGCCACCAAAGTGGACATCTGTAAACAAAGAGCTTTATAGCTCTTCAGATTCCTCGTTGTAACGTTCTGAACCCCGTGCCACCTGAGTGGACATCTGTAAACAAAGAGCTTCATAGCTCTTCAGATTCCTCCAGTTTAGTACGAATTAATATTCTGATCCTGAAAAACGAGTGCTGTAGTATGGTTGTGGTGTCTGGACTACTGCAGCGCGTGCCTGCTACTGGAGGGAGACTTTGACTTGCTTGACTCCCCCCCAACCCCCGACCCCCCGTCTCTTTGAAAGCCTCCTCTGAGCACGCCCAGCCGCTGAACCTGCGGATCAAACAGGAGGCGGAGGAGGAGGAGGCGGAGGAGGAGGAGGAGGATGCGGAGTATGACGACGAGTGGCTGGAGGACGACGTGAAGTCAGAAGTGGACGGAGCCGGTAAGAGACGCCCCGGATCTCCTTCATTTGCGGGGGACCACAACATTTCTGTGTGCGTGCGTATGTCGAACTTCTAACGCACCACCGTACGTAGCCCACCGTGCTAATCTGTGGGTCTCGGTGTCTGTGGGTGTGTGTTTGTGTGTGTGTATGTTGAACTTCTATCGCATCGTATGTAGCCAACCGTGCTAATCTGTCTTTATGGGTCTTGGTGTCTGTGGGTCTCTGTGTGTGTGTGTGTGTACGTACGTCAAACTTCTATCGCACCGCCGTACATAGCCCACCGTGCTAATCTGTGGATCTCTGTAGGTGTCTCTGGGTCTGGATGTCTGTGGGAGTCTGTGGGTTTCTGTGTGTGCTTGTTGCACTTCTTTCGCATCGTATGTAGCCAACCGTGCTAATTGGTGGTTGTTGTGTTTAGCTTGTTTTCCTTCCCCCCACACCTCCGATCAGCGTGGTTGGCTACGTACGGTGCGAAAGAAGTCCAACGTATACACACACACATACCTACATATATCCCGGGTTTAACCTGGGGACTTGGATGAGAGTGTGAGGGTTCATCGTTGATCTCTTAGAGCAGGCGAGGATGACTTTTGCCACTGCTGGGTCATGTAGCCTGCATGCCCAGCCATCGCATGCAGCTTCTGTTTGGCCTGATACAGGGGGCAAATGGGCGAGGCACGGGCTGGAGTAAGATGTTTCACTGATGCGGTACGGGAGGATGTGGAGCTGAGTGGACTTGCCGATGACTGGTACCAGCAGTGTCAAGATCGGCCTCTGTGGAGGAGGAGGCTCGTGAAGGACGCCGCTGCTGCTGGGCAACTGGAGGCAGTCGCCCTCCAGCAGCAATAACGGAGGGCAGAGGAGCGACGCTCACAACAACGAGCGGAGCGCCGGGCGGCTAAAACGCAGAAAAGTTGGCATAATAGGGGGCACAGCCGGTGGTGTATCTGCCGGTCATCTCAGTCGGCCGACCCATGGCACCTGCTGGGTCTGTCTCGTAACCTCCTGCCAGCAGGCGATCGACACTTCACGTGGTCTCACCGTGCACCCAGCCTGGCACGAGCGCCGTGGTGACGTCACCGCCTCTGGCAGCTGTTGTTGTTGTTCGTGTTGTATTGGTGGGGTTGTAGTAGTTGTGTTGTTGTTGTAGCTGTAGTAGTGGTGTTGTAGTGGTCGTGTTGTAGTAGTCGTATTGTTGCAGTCCTGGTGTAGTTGTTGTGGTGGTGTTGTAGTGGTGGGGTTGTAGTTGTGTTGTTCTTGTAGTAGTTGTATTGTTCTTGTAGTAGTTGTATTGTTGTAGTAGTTGTAATGGTGGTGGTGTTGTGGTGGTGGCGTTGTGTTGTATTGGTGGTGTTGTGTTGTTGTAGTAGTTGTGGTTTGTAGTGGTGGTATTGTTGTAGTTGTATTGCTGTAGTCTTGGTTTAGTTGTAGTGGTGGGGTTGTAGTTGTGTTGTTGTAGTAGTTGTGTGGTGGGGTTGTAGTTGTGTTGTTGTAGTAGTTGTGTGGTGGGGTTGTAGTTGTGTTGTTGTAGTAGTTGTGTGGTGGGGTTGTAGTTGTGTTGTTGTAGTAGTGGTGGTGTTGTAGTGGTTGTATTGTAGTTGTAGTGGTGGTGTTGTAGTGGTTGTATTGTAGTAGTAGTTGTAGTGGTTGTATTGTAGTAGTAGTTGTATTGTAGTAGTTGTGTATTGTAGTAGTTGTGTATTGTAGTTGTATTGTAGTAGTAGTTGTGTTGTACTAGTAGTTGTGTTGTAGTAGTAGTTGTGTTGTAGTAGTAGTTGAGTATTGTTGTAGGTGTGTATTGTAGTAGTAGTTGTATTGTAGTAGTAGTTGTATTGTAGTAGTAGTTGTGTTGTAGTAGTAGTTGTGTTGTAGTAGTAGTTATGTTGTAGTAGTTGTGTATTGTAGTAGTTGTGTATTGTAGTAGCAGTATTGTAGTTGTATTGTAGTAGTAGTTGTTGTATTGTAGTAGTTGTATTGTAGTAGTAGTTGTATTGTAGTAGTAGTTGTATTGTAGTAGTAGTTGTATTGGCAGCTGTTGTTGTTGTTCGTGTTGTATTGGTGGGGTTGTAATAGTTGTGTTGTTGTTGTAGCTGTAGTAGTGGTGTTGCAGTGGTCGTGTTGTAGTAGTCGTATTGTTGCAGTCCTGGTGTAGTTGTTGTGGTGGTGTTGTAGTGGTGGGGTTGTAGTTGTGTTGTTCCTGTAGTAGTTGTATTGTTGTAGTAGTTGTAATGGTGTTGTGGTGTGTTGTATTGATGGTGTTGTGGTGTTGTTGTAGTAGTTGTGGTTTGTAGTGGTGGTATTGTTGTAGTTGTATTGCTGTAGTCTTGGTTTAGTTGTAGTGGTGGGGTTGTAGTTGTGTTGTTGTAGTAGTTGTGTGGTGGTGTTGTAGTGGTTGTATTGTAGTTGTAGTGGTTGTATTGTAGTTGTAGTGGTTGTATTGTAGTAGTAGTTGTAGTGGTTGTATTGTAGTAGTAGTTGTATTGTAGTAGTAGTATTGTAGTAGTTGTGTATTGTAGTTGTTGTGTATTGTAGTTTTATTGTAGTAGTAGTATTGTAGTAGTTGTATTGTCGTTGTTGTGTATTGTACTTGTTGTGTATTGTAGTTGTATTGTAGTTGTGTATTGTAGTTGTGTATTGTAGTTGTTGTGTATTGTAGTAGTTGTGTATTGTAGTAGTTGTGTATTGTAGTTGTTGTGTATTGTAGTTGTATTGTAGTAGTAGTTGTATTGTCGTTGTATTGTAGTAGTAGTTGTATTGTAGTTGTATTGTAGTAGTAGTATTGTAGTAGTAGTTGTTGTATTGTATTAGTAGTTGTGTTGTAGTAGTTGTATTGTAGTTGTTGTGTATTGTAGTTGTATTGTAGTAGTTGTGTATTGTAGTAGTTGTGTATTGTAGTTGTATTGTAGTAGTAGTTGTATTGTCGTTGTATTGTAGTAGTAGTTGTATTGTAGTTGTATTGTAGTAGTAGTTGTGTTGTGGTAGTAGTTGTGTTGTGGTAGTAGTTGTGTTGTAGTAGTTGTGTTGTAGTAGTTGTGTATTGTAGTTGTATTGTAGTAGTAGTATTGTAGTAGTAGTTGTATTGTAGTAGTAGTTGTATTGTAGTAGTAGTTGTGTTGTAGTAGTAGTTGTGTTGTAGTTGTATTGTAGTAGTAGTTGTATTGTAGTGGTAGTTGTATTGTAGTTGTGTATTGTAGTTGTGTATTAAAGTAGTTGTTTTGTAGTTGTAGTAGTTGTATTGTAGTAATAGTAGTTGTATTGTAGTAGTAGTTGTATTGTAGTAGTGGTTGTGTATTGTAGTTGTGTATTGTAGTAGTTGTGTATTGTAGTTGTGTATTGTAGTTGTATTGTAGTTGTATTGTAGTAGTAGTTGTATTGTAGTTGTATTGTAGTAGTAGTATTGCAGTAGTAGTTGTGTTGTGGTAGTAGTTGTGTTGTAGTAGTTGTGTATTGTAGTAGTAGTATTGTAGTTGTATTGTAGTAGTAGTATTGTAGTAGTAGTTGTATTGTAGTAGTAGTTGTGTTGTAGTAGTAGTTGTATTGTAGTTGTATTGTAGTAGTAGTTGTATTGTAGTTGTGTATTGTAGTTGTGTATTAAAGAAGTTGTATTGTAGTTGTAGTAGTTGTATTGTAGTAATAGTAGTTGTATTGTAGTAGTAGTTGTATTGTAGTAGTGGTTGTGTATTGTAGTTGTGTATTGTAGTTGTTGTGTATTGTAGTTGTGTATTGTAGTTGTTGTGTATTGTAGTAGTTGTGTATTGTAGTTGTTGTGTATTGTAGTTGTGTATTGTAGTAGTAGTTGTATTGTAGTAATAGTAGTTGTATTGTAGTAGTAGTTGTATTGTAGTAGTAGTTGTATTGTAGTAGTAGTTGTATTGGCAGCTGTTGTTGTTGTTCGTGTTGTATTGGTGGGGTTGTAATAGTTGTGTTGTTGTTGTAGCTGTAGTAGTGGTGTTGCAGTGGTCGTGTTGTAGTAGTCGTATTGTTGCAGTCCTGGTGTAGTTGTTGTGGTGGTGTTGTAGTGGTGGGGTTGTAGTTGTGTTGTTCCTGTAGTAGTTGTATTGTTGTAGTAGTTGTAATGGTGGTGTTGTGGTGTGGTGTGTTGTATTGATGGTGTTGTAGTGTTGTTGTAGTAGTTGTGGTTTGTAGTGGTGGTATTGTTGTAGTTGTATTGCTGTAGTCTTGGTTTAGTTGTAGTGGTGGGGTTGTAGTTGTGTTGTTGTAGTAGTTGTGTGGTGGTGTTGTAGTGGTTGTATTGTAGTTGTAGTGGTTGTATTGTAGTAGTAGTTGTAGTGGTTGTATTGTAGTAGTAGTTGTATTGTAGTAGTAGTATTGTAGTAGTTGTGTATTGTAGTTGTTGTGTATTGTAGTTGTATTGTAGTAGTAGTATTGTAGTAGTTGTATTGTCGTTGTTGTGTATTGTACTTGTGTATTGTAGTTGTATTGTAGTAGTTGTGTATTGTGGTAGTTGTGTATTGTAGTTGTATTGTAGTAGTATTGTCGTTGTATTGTAGTAGTAGTTGTATTGTAGTTTTGTAGTAGTAGTATTGTAGTAGTAGTTGTGTTGTAGTAGTTGTGTATTGTAGTAGTAGTAGTTGTGTTGTGGTAGTAGTTGTGTTGTAGTAGTTGTGTATTGTAGTAGCTGTGTATTGTAGTATTTTAGTTGTATTGTAGTAGTAGTATTGTAGTAGTAGTAGTTGTATTGTATTAGTAGTTGTGTTGTATTGTAGTTGTTGTGTATTGTAGTTGTTGTGTATTGTAGTAGTTGTGTATTGTAGTTGTATTGTAGTAGTAGTTGTATTGTCGTATTGTAGTAGTAGTTGTATTGTAGTTGTATTGTAGTAGTTGTGTTGTGGTAGTAGTTGTGTTGTAGTAGTTGTGTATTGTAGTAGTAGTATTGTAGTTGTATTGTAGTAGTAGTTGTGTTGTAGTAGTAGTTGTATTGTAGTAGTAGTTGTATTGTAGTAGTAGTTGTATTGTAGTGGTAGTTGTATTGTAGTTGTGTATTAAAGTAGTTGTATTGTAGTTGTAGTAGTTGTATTGTAGTAATAGTAGTTGTATTGTAGTAGTAGTTGTATTGTAGTAGTGGTTGTGTATTGTAGTTGTGTATTGTAGTTGTTGTGTATTGTAGTAGTTGTGTATTGTAGTAGTTGTGTATTGTAGTTGTTGTGTATTGTAGTTGTTGTGTATTGTAGTTGTATTGTAGTAGTAGTTGTATTGTCGTTGTATTGTAGTTGTATTGTAGTAGTAGTATTGTAGTAGTAGTTGTTGTATTGTATTAGTAGTTGTGTCGTAGTAGTTGTATTGTAGTTGTTGTGTATTGTAGTTGTATTGTAGTAGTTGTGTATTGTAGTAGTTGTGTATTGTAGTTGTATTGTAGTAGTAGTTGTATTGTCGTTGTATTGTAGTAGTAGTTGTATTGTAGTTGTATTGTAGTAGTAGTTGTGGTAGTAGTTGTGTTGTGGTAGTAGTTGTGTTGTAGTAGTTGTGTATTGTAGTAGTAGTATTGTAGTTGTATTGTAGTAGTAGTATTGTAGTAGTTGTATTGTAGTAGTAGTAGTTGTGTTGTAGTTGTATTGTAGTAGTAGTTGTATTGTAGTAGTAGTTGTATTGTAGTGGTAGTTGTATTGTAGTTGTGTATTAAAGTAGTTGTTTTGTAGTTGTAGTAGTTGTATTGTAGTAATAGTAGTTGTATTGTAGTAGTAGTTGTATTGTAGTAGTGGTTGTGTATTGTAGTTGTGTATTGTAGTTGGTGTGTATTGTAGTTGTGTATTGTAGTTGTTGTGTATTGTAGTAGTTGTGTTGTAGTTGCTGTGTATTGTAGTAGTTGTGTATTGTAGTTGTTGTGTATTGTAGTTGTATTGTAGTAGTAGTTGTATTGTAGTTGTATTGTAGTAGTAGTATTGCAGTAGTAGTTGTGTTGTGGTAGTAGTTGTGTTGTAGTAGTTGTGTATTGTAGTAGTTGTGTATTGTAGTAGTAGTATTGTAGTTGTATTGTAGTAGTAGTATTGTAGTAGTAGTTGTATTGTAGTAGTAGTTGTGTTGTAGTAGTAGTTGTATTGTAGTTGTATTGTAGTAGTAGTTGTATTGTAGTTGTGTATTGTAGTTGTGTATTAAAGAAGTTGTATTGTAGTTGTAGTAGTTGTATTGTAGTAATAGTAGTTGTATTGTAGTAGTATTGTAGTAGTGGTTGTGTATTGTGGTTGTGTATTGTAGTTGTTGTGTATTGTAGTTGTTGTGTATTGTAGTAGTTGTGTTGTAGTTGTTGTGTATTGTAGTAGTTGTGTATTGTAGTAGTTGTGTATTGTAGTTGTTGTGTATTGTAGTTGTTGTGTATTGTAGTTGTATTGTAGTAGTAGTATTGTAGTGGTAGTTGTGTATTGTAGTAGTATTGTAGTAGCAGTTGTATTATAGTAGTATCTTGTGCTGCAGTAGTTACCGTAGGCTTAGCTGCTGCACCAGTTGGATTTCCCCGCGTGATCGGCACCGCTGGTGCTGCTTGCTTCACCAGGGCCGGAGGAGTTTGACTACGGCTACGGTGACGACGACGATGATGACGGCGGTGGCGGCGGCGGCGGCATTCAGCGCGGCGTGCCGCACGAGGGCCGTGTGAACCGCATGAGGGTGCCCATCGGCGGTCACGGCTACCGTGAGGCCCACGACACCGGTGAGGAGTCTCGCGGGACGTCGCGAGTCCGTGTCGGTGGGGCGGTCGGGCGGCCGGTCGGTCGATCGCTCGGTTGGTTGGTCGATCGATCAGTCGGACGATCAGTCGGTCGGTCAATCAGACGGTCGGTCGGTCAATCAGACCCTCGGTCGGTCAACTGGACGCTCGGTCGATCAGTCGGTCAATCAGAAGGTCGGTCGGTCGATCGGTCAATTGGACACTCGATCGGTCGGTCGGTCAACCGACTGATCGTCACGCTCAACGTTTTATCAGCGTTTATTCAGTGGCAATAATAATACTTTGCGTAATTACCCTTTCTCCCGTTGCAAGACGTCTGGCAGGCTGCAGGGTGCATGGGTGCGTGTTGGAACAGCGCGAGCGTTAATTTTATTTTCATTGGAGAGGCGCAGCAGCGGCGGCGGCGGTAGCGGCAGCGTCGTCTTTACAGAGACGTCGGTGCTCACCGCAGAGAACCGTAGCGGCACCACCGCCACGCCACTCTACGATAGCTGGGCACGAAAAAACCGTGCCGCACGGCCTCCCGGTGGGAGCCTCGGTGGACCCACGGAGCTACTTGAGTTTAGTTCGTCTTCCTCTGCCGTTTGCGATGACGTAAACTCTCCAGTTAACACGGCCCACGACGGAGACGATGACGCAAACACGGCCACACCGCCCGCCCCTCTCTCTCCCCCCTCCCCACGTCGCCCCCTACCCCACCTCGCCCCTCCCCCACCTCGCCCCTCCCCCACCTCGCCCCTCCCCCACCTCGCCCCTCCCCCACCTCGCCCCTCCCCCACGTCGCCCCTCCCCCACCTCGCCCCCTACCCCACCTCGCCCCTCCCCCACCTCGCCCCTCCCCCACCTCGCCCCCTCCCCCACGTCGCCCCTCCCCCACGTCGCCCCTCCCCCACGTCGCCCCTCCCCCACCTTGCCCCCTCCCCCACGTCGCCCCTCCCCCACGTCGCCCCTCCCCCACCTCGCCCCCTACCCCACCTCGCCCCCTCCGCCACCTCGTCCCCTCCCTCACCTCGTCCCCTCCCCCTCTCACCCCCTCTCCCCCCCCCTCTCCCCCACCCTCTCTCCCCACCCTCTCCCCCCCTCTCTCCCCCCCTCTCTCCTCCCCTCTCTCCCCCCCTCTCTCCCCACCCTCTCTCCCCCCCCCACCCTCTCTCCCCCCCCACCCTCTCTCCCCACCCTCTCCCCCCCTCTCTCCCCCCCTCTCTCCCCCCCTCTATCCTCCCCTCTCTCCCCACCCTCTCTCCCCACCCTCTCTCCCCACCCTCTCCCCCCCTCTCTCCCCCCCTCTCTCCTCCCCTCTCTCCCCACCTCTCTCCCCACCCTCTCTCCCCCCCCTCTCTCCCCACCCTCTCTCCCCACCCTCTCTCCCCCCCCCTCTCTCCCCACCCTCTCTCCCCCCCCCACCCCCTCTCCCCACCCTCTCTCCACCCACCCTCTCTCCCCCCACCCTCTCTCCCCCCACCCTCTCTCCCCCCACCCTCTCTCCCCCCACCCTCCCCCCCCCCCCACCCTCTCTCCCCACCCTCTCTCCCCACCCCTCCCCCCCCCCACACCCTCTCCCCACCAACCCCTCCCCAGAGCTGGTGGCCGAGACCCTCCACGTGTGCGAGGAGTGCGGCCGGGGCTACTCGTCGCGCAAGAACCTCAAGAAGCACCTGAAGATGCACAACAGCGCTCGCCCGCACCTCTGCGAGGAGTGCGGCAAGGGCTTCAAGGACTCGTACACGCTGCGCGTGCACCGCATGGCGCACACGGGCGAGCGGCCGCACGTGTGCGACGTGTGCGGCAAGGGCTTCTCGCTCAACTACAGCCTCAAGGTGCACCGTCGCATCCACACGGGCGAGCGGCCGCACGTCTGCCCCGAGTGCGGCAAGGGCTTCCGCCAGCACCCGCACCTCAAGGTGCACCAGCTGATCCACGTGGAGGCGATGCCGCACATCTGCGGGGAGTGCGGCCGCGTCTTCTCCAAGCTCTCCTACCTGAAGCTGCACCAGCGCAAGCACGCGCAGGCCTGAGCGGTCGTGGGGGGGGGGGGGGGGTGCCTGGGGGGAGGCCGCGGGGGGAGGCCGTGGGTGGGGGGAGGGCCGTGGGGGGGGGGGGGGCCCGTGGGCAGGGGGGTGGGAGAGGCGGGCGGGGTAGGGGGGGGGGGTTAGGTGATGATGAGGTCCGGCCGTCGACAACCGATGTTTCTCCGTCATTGACCCAGGAACGGAGTTTGTTGTGGGCCGCGTCGGGCGCAGGGGGGGGAATCTTTCGCCCGACGCGGCCTCGCGATCTCGATTTGACAACGAGTTTCTTGAGGGTGGCCGCTTGTTGCGTGGGGGTAGGTGCAGAAACTTGATTCCTTGCAAACGGCATCTAATTTGGCGTTTGAACATCGGAACACCACTCGTGTTTGTATTGCCAGAAAGGGTAAAAGCCTCTTGTTATTTTTTCATACTTTGATAGTAGCAAAACAAGGAATCCCGTGTTGTAGCTGCTCACCCCGAGCTACGAGTGCCCTGATAGTGGCATTGTCATTGTGCTGTGTTCGCCTTTTGTCGTGGGTTCTCTGGTCTGACGCCGTTTGAGACGAGGCTCAAAAGAAAGCCGTCTCTTGGTGTGGACCAATCAGTTTCAAGGACAATGCATCATCATATTATCATAGTATGTTTTTTGTTTGCATTTTGACTGCAGGTATTGCAGTTAATGCAGTGACATGAATCCTTGTAAAAAGGTTTCAGTTTTGTTGCCAGAAAAAAAGGGGAAAAACCCCTATTATTACATTTTGGTACTGGCAAAGGAGGTCTAATGATGTGTAGATGCTCACCCCGAGCCCTCATTACTTTGATAGTGCATTGTCTTTGAGCTGTGTGACGCCTTTTGGCGTCATCTGGTCGAGCACCAATTGGGTCGAGGCTCAAAAGAAAGCCGTCCCTTGGTGTGGACCAATCAGTTTCAAGGATAATGCATCATATTATCATAGTATGTTTTTTGGTTGCATTTTGACTGCAGGTATTGTGGTTAATGCAGTGGCATGAATCCTCGTAAAAAAGGTTTCAGTTTTGTTGCCAGAAAAAAGGGGAAAAACCCTATTATTACATTTTGGTACTGGCAAAGGAGGTCTAATGATGAAGGTTTAATCTGTTTGGTGTTTGAACATCTTAACGCAACTCCTGATGTTTTATTATTGCCAGGAAGGGTAAAACCTGTTATTATTTTTTATTCTTGTGTTTAGTTTGTTGTCCATCCCCCCACGCACCTCCGATTAGCACGGTTGACTACGTACGGTGCGAAAGAAATTCAACATACACACATACACAAACCCACAGACACAGACCCATAGAGACACCCATAGAGACCCACAGATTATACATGGTTGACTATGTACGGTGCGAAAGAAGTTCAACATATACACAGACCCACAGAGACACAGACCCAGAGACACCCATAGAGAAACCCATAGAGACCCACAGAGTATACATGGTTGGATATGTACGGTGTGAAAGAAATTCAACATACACACATACACAGACCCACAGACACACAGACCCATAGAGACACCCATAGAGACCGACAGAGTATACATGGTTGGATACATACGATGCGAAAGGAGTTCAACATACACACGCACACACACAGAGCTACTTGTACACAGCAGCAGCTGTACAGCAGATGACAACAACAACAACACATTCTGACTTAAATAAACTAAATGGGCGATGGAATTGAACTTGTGTCTATTCAGTTATTCTTTGACAACATTCCACAGTGGACGCCCCCACCATTCCCTATTGCGTGTTTAATCGACGACCTTTACGTTAAATTACGTTTAAGGTTTAGGTTTCAAGAAAATAATAACAATACAATAATTCAAATGTGTAGTGCCGCATTCCAGCCTAGGATTTCCCCCAATGCGTAAATGCGTGGGGAAGCAGGAAACAAAAACCAAAGCCAGGGTTAGCCGGCCGAACTAAAGAGGAGAATGGAACTTCACAGAGAGATGGGGTTCTCAATGTAGATTTGAATATACAAGGGGGGTTCAAAATTTTTTTAACACTTATATGGACCATCGTTTTAAAAAAAAGTCAAGAGTCTCCACATGTTCACCATCGTTGTCACCGCGCGCCTGGAATCTTCCCCAGGTGGTCTCCAGAGCCTGGAGGAGGCACATTTCTCGTTGTTGCAAATTCTCACAAGTGTCGAAACATTTGTTTGAAGGGCCCCGTACATCTACCGACTCCGATCGCCTGATGTCAAGTGGCAAGGCGTTCCATCGGTCTGTGGGCGCCATGCCAACAAAAGCATCGATAGCGAAAACAGGGCAACCCCAGAGACCTGTGGGAGTGCCGAGCATTTGGAGATCGGAAGATCCTAAGGAACCTTGATGGAATCTATAAACGTCAGCACTCTGGTAGCTGCATTGTGAACAAGCTGGAGTCTGGTCCCGGTACTTTGCTCGGCATCCCAACCAGCGAGACGTGGCAGTGGACGAGTCGGGAAAACGCCGAGAAGCGTGGACCGGCCTCTCTCTCCCCTCTATCTCCCCTCCCTCTCACCCCTCTCTCTCTCACCGCTGTCTCACCGCTGTCTCACCCCTCTCTCTCACCCCTCTCTCTCACCCCTCTCTCTCACCCCTGTCTCTCACCTCCCTCTCCCCTCTCTATCTCACCCCTCTCTCTCGTCTCTCTCGCCTCTCTCTTCCCTCTATCTCCCCTCTCTCTCATCTCTCTCTCCCCTCTTTCTCCCCTCCCTCTCAACTCCCTCTCGCCTCTCTTTCGCCTCTCTCGCCTCTCTCTTCCCTCTATCTCCCCTCTCTCTCGCCTCTCTCTTCCCTCTATCTCGCCTCTCTCTCGCCTCTCTCTCCCCTCTATCTCCCCTCTCTCTCGCCTCTCTCCCCTCTATCTCCCCTCTCTCTCCCCTCTCGCCTCTCTCACGCCTCTTCCCTCTATCTCCCCCCTGTCTCTATTTTTGACCTTTGTTTTTTTACGATCAGAGGAAACAAGAAGATGCTCGGTGTAGCTGACACTTTGCTTCGGTCATCATTTCGTTTTTATGCTTTGCTTTATGTAACCCCCCTCCCCCCTTTAAATGAAAGATTTAACAAAAGATTTCTCCCTCTGCTCTCCTTACCCCTTCCCTCGCTCTACCCCCCTCTCTGCCCCCCCCCTCTCTCTTTACCCCCTCTCTTCCTACTCCATGTCGCTCTCTCGCTCTTTTTTCAATAACTACGACAAGTGCTGCATCTGCACGCAGCCCTTCCCACAGTCAAACGGCCTCCGACGGGTAGCTTAGATCTGTATGTAGAGCTCTCCGTCATCTGCCACCGAGCACATGGCCTCCTCCAGCGCCCACTGCTCCTTGAAGGCCGGCAAGGCATGGGTCAGCCACGCACGGCGGAACTCCGGCCCACACACCCTGGCTCCGACCAGAGCGCGGAAGATGCCCAGGCTGCTGGCCGGACGTTGCCCCTCCAGGGCCACCTTCCTCGCCCTGTATACGGCGAGCTTGGCGTAGCTGAAGAGCACGTTGACCGGCCCCTGAAGATGTTGGGGTCCGTCGCCCTTCGGGTATCCAAATATGAGGACCGTCGGGGAGAAGTGGAGGCTGAACCTTAGGAGGATGTTACTCAGGACCTTGAACAGCGAGTCCAGGCTCTTGCACTCCACGTATTGGTGCGCCACCCCCTGTCTCTCTCCCCTCTCTCACCCCTCTATCTCCCCTGTCTCTCACCCCTCTATCTCCCCCCTGTCACCCCTCTATCTCCCCTCTCTCTCCCCTCTATCTCCCGCCTGTCTCTCACCCCTCTATCTCCCCCTGTCTCTCAACCCTCTATCTCCCCTCTCCCCTCTATCTCCCCTCTCTCACCCCTCTATCTCCCCCCTGTCTCTCACCCCTCTATCTCCCCTGTCTCTCACCCCTCTCTCTCCCCTCTCTCTCCCCTCTATCTCCCCCCTGTCTCCGCTCTATCTCCCCTCTCTCTCCCCTCTCTCTCCCGACCACTCAATCACCTACTCACTACGACTATGTCCTATGTCACCAGGTAAAAGCTCCACTTGACCTGGCCGTCACAAATGATTGCTCAACCAAGTGGATTGTCATCATCATCATCACATGGACATTTATAGCGGCAACACAATCTAAGTAATACAGACGCGCCTTCCTAAATGTGGAGCGATAAACCGGAGGACCCTGACGAGAAATCCACGCGACCAAGGGGAGAAAGAGAGACACAGACTCCAAATCTACAGCAGCAGCAGGCATCGTCAGGGTCAGGATCGAACCCACGACCTCCTGTAAACCAGGCGAGGTAGTAAACATCTCAGCCACCGTGATGATGATGATGAGAGACGCAAACTCCAAATCTACAGCAGCAGGCATCGTCAGGTTCGGGATCGAACCCACGACCTCCTGCACACCAGGCGAGGTAGTCTATATTTCAGTTTCAGTTTAATTTATTTGGTATAGAGCTCTGTGAGCCATTCGGCTCTTGATTCGGGTGCAACCCCAACAAACAAAAAAATAAAAACATGAACAAGAAAACATCTTAAAGTGACTACGTGACTGTGCACGCAAAGCCGATGAGTCAGATGCCTTCTATGACTTCCTGTCACAGGTGCTGGCTAAAGTGGCACCTCGGGATAGAGTCATCATGTTGGGTGACTTCAATGCCCGAGTTGGTCATGATGCTGGCACCTGGTCTGGAGTGATTGGAGGGCATGGGCCAGATCAGCTCAATAACAATGGTAGGAGGCTGCTAGATTGTTGTGCAGCCCATGGGCTTGCAATTACCAACACGCTGTTCCGGCATCGGCGCATCCACACAACATCATGGATGCATGCCGGGTCCAAGCAAGAACATCTGCTGGACTACATAGTGACGGACCAGCGGATGCGAGCCCATGTCCTTGACACCAGGACCTACCGTGGAGCTGATCTGCCCTCTGACCATCGACTAGTCATCTGTAGGATGCGCCTGCCATTCTTCCACTCCGGTGGTGGGTGTACACCCAGGACCCCATTCCAACCTAAAGTGGCCTGGTCTCAGTTATCTGATGAAAGTTGCAAGCGAGAATTTCATCGCTTGCGGCTGGGATTGGCATCGTCCCCGACTCCTGGTGTCGAGGGTAAATGGGCGAGGTTTAGGACTGTGACTCATGCAGCTGCAATGGCTGCTTTGGGTACGCGGTCCAGACCTCCCCAGAGACCCTGGCTGACAGAGGAGGTGTTCAGGATGGTTGAGATAAAGCGACAGACCCACTGTCATCGGCTACAAAATCCTAGTCAGAGAATGAGGAGGCTTCTAGATTTAAAGCTTTCGTGACTGCAAGGATCCATACTCTTTGGTTCTATTCGGTAAAGTCACATAGGTAAAAAATAAAACAACAAAAATCACGACGTTTCGGCCACAACACAAGCGGCCTTCATCAGGTGAAGGAATCAGGCTGTCTCGAGGACAGCGTTAGAGTGAAACACAGCCACGCTCAGACCGCGACCTTTAAGCTGTGTGCGAGGAAACAAGGTGCCTTGACAAAGGAATTAGCATAAAATTAGCATTTGATTTGCCGACTTAGCATAGAGGTGGTGTACATGCGGGTGCACATGCCGGTTGGCGCAGGGGGGTGGGGAGTTTACCTATTGATGGTGTGAAAGGGGAATTTAAGAGCTGCGAAAGTTTGGGGTACCACTACTTGAAAAATATACTGTACCATTGAAAATTAGTTTAATGTTTGGTTCGATTTAGAACATCTTTTGATTTAAAGCTTTCGTGACTGCAGTAATTCATATTCTTAGCTAAGAATTAGAACATCTTTCCAATGGTTGCTTAATTTGAAACCATCTTCTCAGTTGAAATTGTGTCTGTGCTTGTAGATCTGAATTGCCTCGTGAACAAATCTCTGATAAAAACCCGTGGGTTTGCAAAGAACCTTGGTACCGGAGAAAATTATATCGTGATCACCCACAGCATTGTAACAATGATCAGCTACGGCAGAAGAATTCGTTTTGCTGTGTTTCAAATCTGATTTGTGCTCGCGAATTTGGTCAGAGACATGTCACTTTGTCTCCCCGATATAGCAATCACCGCAGGTACAACTCAATTTGTAAACCCCGGGGTACTGTAAGTCAGGAATGACATCCTTCACGGATGGGATCAGATCACGAATTTTGTGTACTGTATTGAACCGGACTTGGATCTTGTGTTTGTTTAGAATTTTGGAAATCCTTTTAGTAACGCCTGCTATATATGGTAGTGTGATGGTTTTGACCGGAGTATCAAGTGGTTGTTTCTGTATGGAGGGAGAAACAGCTTGGCGGATGGTACGGTCAGAGTATCCATTCCTTTTGAGGGCCAGGTGTACATGTTTTAATTCACTGGTCAGGTGGTGTTGGTCCGAAATGCAATGAGCCCTATGGTATAAAGTTTTGATGAGATAATTCTTCTGGGCTGGGTGGTGGTGGGAAGGCTTCAAGTAGGAATCCGTGTGGGTGGGTTTCCTGTAGACAGAATGCCCCAATGAGCCATCAGGTCTCCTCTCAAACAGAACATCAGAGAATTGTAGCTTGCCATCTTTCTCCACCTCCATGGTGAATTTGATGGCGGGGTGTCTGGAATTGATGTGGTGTAGGAAAAGGTTCAGAGCTGGGAGGCCATGTGGCCAAATGACGAAAGTGTCATCCACATATCTCTTCCACAGGGAAGGTCTGAGGGTGGAAGTCTGGATGGCATCTGATTCAAATTTCTCCATTAAAATATTGGCTATCACTGGTGACAAGGGGGATCCCATGGGGGTACCCTCATTTTGTTTGTAGAAGGAGCCATTCCAAGTAAAGTAGGTATTGTTGAGGCAGTGCCTAACCAGTGTAGGTGTATCGGGGTCTAGTCCATGTTGGACCAAATTTTCAATTATTTCAATGGTATCAGGCACTGGGATCTTGGTGAACAAAGAGACCACATCGAAGCTGACAAGGCTATCGTCAGGGGACAGTACAACGTCTTTGACCATAGAGACCAATTGGGCTGAGTTAAGTACTGCTGAGGCGGTCTTGCCAGTGAAAGGCAGCAAGGTATCTGACAGAAAACGGGCTAGTCTATAGGTAGGGGAGTTGATCGTGGATACGATGGGTCGAAGTGGGGTGCCTTCTTTATGAATCTTGGGAAGACCATAGAATCTAGGGGGTCTTGCAGCAGAAGGTTTTAGGGAGGGACGTTTAGTTGGGTCGATTAGGGAGGTCGAACTTGTGATGATCTGGTTGGTTTTTTCGCTAGGCTATTGGTAGGGTCATTTTTTATTTTTGAGTAACTTCCATCGTTGAGCAGATTCTGGATTTTGTTGTTGTATGAATCTTTATCCATAATTACAGTAGCGTTGCCTTTATCGGCTGAGAGGATGAATATATCGCTTCTGTTTTTTAAATTCGCGAGTTCAGAGCGTTCATTTTTGCTGATGTTACTAATGGGTTTCTTAGCATTCTCAAGAATAGTGGCTATTTCAGCTCTCGCAATGTCTGCTTGGATGTGTCCCACGCTTTTGAGGGCTACATCGACCTGAGAGATGATATCATCTACTGGTATGTGTTTTTGGGTGACAGCAAAATTCAGTCCCCTAGCCAGTACTGTTTTCACATTGTCCGAAATCGGGGTGCTGGCCACACCACCCCCTCCTACCAAACTCCAAGTCTCCGTCACGAACGTCACTTCCTGTTTACCCGTTGCCAGGGGGGGGGGGTGTGCGCGTGCGCGCTCCGAAGTCGCCATGGCAACCGAGTCGTCGCGGCGGCGTCACCCGGAAGTGACGTGAGGCCCCCCCTGCTCGTGTTTCTGTTGCTGCGCGTGAAGATCCCTCCGCCGAGTGAAGGCGGCGGTTCGCGACGGAGCGGGGCGAGCGACGCGGAGGGACTATTTTTATCTTATATTTAAATATAAATCGTTATAATCTAAACGGATTTTTTGTTTGTTAACAATTTGATTTTAAAATCTCACCCGAAAGTCTTCTCGTCGCGATGGGGCCCGACTTTTACGCGGCGCTCGGCCTCGCGCGGAGCGCCACGGACGCGGACGTGAAGAAAGCGTGAGTCGCCTGCCACTCGGCGCCGGTTGTCGCTCTGTAGTAGTGTATAGTGTAGTGTAGTAGTATATAGTGTATTATATAGTGTAGTAGTGTAGTAGTATATAGTGTAGTAGTGTATAGTGTAGTAGTGTAGTGTATAGTGTCGTAGTATATATTATATAGTTTATAGTGTGTAGTGTATTATATAGTGTAGTAGTGTAGTGTATAGTGTAGTAGTATATATTATATAGTTTATAGTGTGTAGTGTATTATATAGTGTAGTAGTGTAGTGTATAGTGTAGTAATATATATTATATAGTTTATAGTGTGTAGTGTATTATATAGTGTAGTAGAGTAGTGTATAGTGTAGTGTAGTAGTATGTATTATATAGTTTATAGTGTATTATATAGTGTAGTGTATAGTGTAGTAGTTTATAGTGTATAGTGTAGTAGTTTATAGTGTATAGTGTAGTAGTGTGGTTTATAGTGTAGTGTATAGTGTAGTGTAGTAGTATGTATTTTATAGTTTATAGTGTGTAGTGTATAGTGTAGGGTAGTAGTATGTATTATATAGTTTATAGTGTATTATATAGTGTAGTAGTGTAGTGTATAGTGTAGTGTAGTAGTTTATAGTGTAGTAGTGTAGTTTATAGTGTAGTAGTGTAGTGTATAGTGTAGTGTAGTAGTTTATAGTCTATAGTGTAGTCGTGTAGTGTAGTAGTTTATAGTGTATAGTGTAGTAGTATAGTGTAGTAGTTTATAGTGTATAGTGTAGTAGTGTAGTGTATAGTGTAGTGTAGTAGTATGTAGTGTAGTGTATGGTGTAGTGTGTAGTGTATAGTAGTGTATAGTATATAGAGTGTAGTATAGTAGTGTATAGTTTATAGAGTGTAGTAGTATATAGTTTATAGTGTATAGTGTAGTAGTATATAGTGTATAGTGTAGTAGTATATAGAGTGTAGTATAGTAGTGTATAGTTTATAGTAGTGTAGTCGTTTATAGAGTGTAGTAGTGTATTATAGAGTGTAGTAGTGTATTATATAGTGTAGTAGTGTAGTGTATAGTGTAGTGTAGTAGTTTATAGTAGTTTATAGTGTAGTAGTTTATAGAGTGTAGTAGTGTAGTGTATAGTGTAGTAGTGTATAGTGTAGTAGTTTATAGTGTAGTAGTTTATAGAGTGTAGTAGTTTATTTTATAGTGTAGTAGTGTATAGTGTAGTGTAGTAGTATATAGTGTAGTGTATGCAGTGTGTAGTGTATTATATAGTGTGTAGTGTATAGTGTAGTAGTATATAGTAGTGTAGTATATAGTAGTGTAGTAGTTTATAGTGTGTAGTGTAGTAGTTTATAGTGTAGTGTAGTAGTTTATAGTAGTGTAGTAGTATAATGTGTATAGTGTGTAGTGTATAGTGTGTAGTGTATTATATAGTGTGTAGTGTAGTGTATAGTGTAGTAGTATATAGTTTATAGTGTAGTAGTTTATAGTGTAGTGTATGTAGTGTGTAGTAGTATATAGTGTATAGTAGTGTAGTAGTATATAGTTTATAGTGTAGTGTAGTAGTTTCTAGTGTAGTAGTTTATAGTATGTAGTAGTTTATAGTGTAGTAGTTTATTATATAGTGTAGTCGTGTAGTGTATAGTGTAGTCGTTTATAAATTTATAGTGTATAGTAGTGTAGTAGTTTATAGTATATAGTGTGTAGTGTAGTAGTTTATAGTGTAGTGTAGTAGTTTATAGTTTATAGTAGTGTAGTATATACACACACAAAATACACACACACTATACACACACAATACACACTATACACACACTATACACACACCACACACACACACTATATACACACACACACAATACACACACACTATACACACACACTATACACACGCACACTATACACACACACACACTATACACACACACAATACACACACACAATACACACACACACTATACACACACACTATACACACACACTATACACACACATACACACACAATACACACACACATATACACTATATACACACACAAAATACACACACCACACACACACTATACACACACAGTACACACACCGCACACACACTATACACACACACAAAATTCACACACACACTATACACACACACACACCACACACACCACACACACACACTACACACACACTATACACACACACTATACACACACTATACACACACACACTATACACACACACTATACACACTATATCAGTGGTTCTTAACCTGGGTTCGATCGAACCCCAGGGGTTCGGTGAGTCGATCTCAGGGGTTCGGCAGAGCCCCCGCCACGGAGGTCCGGACACACTTGAATTATTGTGTAAATTTGTGATGACACACACGGCCCGCTTGGCCATCACTGGCTGCAGATGATCATGCTACACTGCTTGGCCAATCAGCGCTGCGGGGAATTTAGTGCGTACTCAGTAGTCAACGTGTGACTGTTGTTGTCGTACGTCGTGTGATTTCTTTAATATTTTATCCATACTAACTATGTCGGGCAAAAGAAGAAAGTGGTCGGACGAATATGTACAACATGGATTCTCATGTATCACGGAACGTGATGGGAGTGAGCGTCCTATCTGCATGATTTGCAACGCCAAGTTGAGCAACTCTAGTCTTGCACCGGCAAAACTAAAGGAACACTTCTTGAAGCTGCATGGAGACGGGGAATACAAGAACACAACACTTGCTGAATTCAGGGTGAAGAGAGCCAGATTCGATGAAAGGGCCACTCTGCCTGCTCTTGGATTTGTACCTGTTAACAAACTGATCCTGACAGCATCGTACGAAGTTGCTTACCTGATCGCAAAGCAGGGCAAGCCACACACCATTGGTGAAACACTTGTGAAACCAGCTGCATTAAAGATGGCGAATCTGATACTCGGAACAGCGGCCGAAGGTAAATTATCCCAAATTCCCCTTTCAAATGACACCGTCAGTGACAGAATAGAAGACATGAGTAAAGACATCTTGGCTCAAGTAGTCGCGGATCTGATTTCAAGCCCGGCAAAATTCAGCCTTCAACTCGACGAAACCACAGACGTTTCTGATCTAAGCCAGCTTGCTGTTTTTGTACGCTATGTGAAAGACGACATGATAAAAGAAGAGTTTTTATTTTGTAAGCCTCTTACAACAACAACGAAGGCAGCCGATGTGAAGAAGCTTGTGGATGACTTCTTCAGAGACAACAATCTTTCATGGGATATGGTTTCTGCAGTTTGTACGGACGGAGCTCCAGTCATGCTGGGAAGAAAGTCTGGTTTTGGTGCGCTAGTAAAGGCCGATGCACCACACATCATTGTGACGCATTGTATTCTGCACAGGCATGCGTTGGCAACAAAAACCTTACCTCCAAAAATGGCAGAAGTATTAAAAACTGTGGTGGAATGTGTGAACTATGTGCGAAAAAGTGCTCTGAGGCACCGCATCTTCAGTGAGCTGTGTAAAGAAATGGGCTCTGAATTTGAGGTACTTCTGCTCCATTCTAATATTCGGTGGTTATCCCGGGGACAGGTGCTGAATCGTGTTTTTGCCATGCGTGTGGAATTAGCCCTGTTTTTGCAAGAGCACCAACACTGCCATGCAGATTGCTTCAAAAATCCTGAGTTCATTCTCATTTTAGCGTACATGGCTGATATATTCGCAGCTCTCAATCATCTCAATCAGCAGATGCAGGGTGGTGGAGTCAATATCATGGAAGTGGAAGAACACCTGAAGGCTTTTCAAAAAAAGCTACCGTTATGGAAACGACGAACAGAGAACAATAACTTCGCAAACTTCCCGCTTCTGGACGACTGTGCAAGTAAGATCGAAGATGTGTCTGGAATCGGAGATATTTCTGTATCCACGGAACTGAAGCAAACAATTGCCACGCACTTAGATGAGCTTGCAAAGTCTCTCGACGGATATTTCCCTACAAGAGAGTCATATCCAGCATGGGTGAGACAGCCGTTCACGTTTGCTGTTGAAACAGCAGATGTCAATGATGAATTCCTCGACGAAATCATTGAAATTCAGCAGAGCCAGGTTCAACAGCAACTCTTCAGAACAACAACGCTCTCAACGTTTTGGTGTCGACAAATGAACAAGTATCCAGTTATTGCTAAGAAAGCCCTGGATTTTTTTATACCATTTGTTACAACATATCTTTGTGAGCAATCCTTTTCGAGGATGCTGGACATAAAAACGAAGAAAAGGAACAGACTTTGCTGTGAAAATGACATGAGAGTGGCACTTGCCAAGGTGAAGCCACGCATATCTGAACTGATCTCTCAAAGGCAACAGCAGAAGTCACATTGATTTCCAGGTATGTAATTTGTTGTGAGTTTATGCATTGTGTTGGTTTTATTCTTTGAACAAGGTAATGTTCATGCACGGCTCATTTTGTGTACCAGTAAAAAACATATCTATGTCTTGAATTTGAAAAAAATCACATTTTATTTTTCACTAAAGAGGGGTTCGGTGAATGCGCATATGAAACTGGTGGGGTTCGGTACCTCCAACAAGGTTAAGAACCACTGCACTATATATACACACACACACAATACACACACATACACACGATAGAGTACAAAGTATAGGCAGGTTAAACAAATAAAACTAAACTATGTTTTTATCTTAGCAGGTAAAGCTCACTGAGATCTTGTGATCTGCAATTAATGTACCCATATAACATGTCCTCCCCCCCCCCCCCCACATTTGTAAGTTCATTTATGTTTATAATGCGCCTTTACTTTAAAGCTATAATAAGTTTTAGAGAATTAAATGGGGGGGGGGGTCACAAGACATCTGGACCACCGCTGTCTTTCGACCCTGGCGCGTCCCGTTGCTAAGCAACGCTAGCGCGTCCCGTTGCTAGGCGACGCTGGCGCGTCCCGTTGCTAGGCGACGCTGGCTTGAGTGTTGGGTGCTGTGCTGCTGTTGAACCACGTGACTGAGATGATTCAGGCTCGTTCGTAATCGTAGGTGGATTGAGGTGGTGATGGTTGAGCGATTTAGTAAAAGTTTATTTTGTTTAACCAGCTGAGATTATATATGAAGCAGAGAAACCCAGCATAGAGTCTCATTTGCAAGAGTGGGTGGGTGGGTGAGTGGGTGGGTAAGTGGGTGAGTGAGTGAGTGGGTGAGTGAGTGGGTGGGTGAGTGGGTGAGTGGGTGAGTGAGTGGGTGAGTGGGTGGATGGGTGAATAAGTGATTGGGTGAGTGGGTGGGTGAGTGGGTGGGTGAGTGGGTAAGTGAGTGAGTGGGTGAGTGGGTGGGTGAGTGAGTGAGTGGGTGCGTGGGTGATTGGGTTAATGGGTGGGTGAGTGGGTGAGTGAGTGGGTGAGCGAGTGGGTGAGTGAGTGGGTGAGTGAGTGGGTGGGTGAGTGAGTGGGTGAGTGGGTAAGTGAGTGAGTGGGTGCGTGGGTGCGTGAGTGAGTGGGTGAGTGAGTGGGTGAGTGAGTGGGTGAGTGAGTGGGTGAGTGAGTGAGTGGGTGAGTGGGTGCGTGGGTGAGTGATTGAGTGGGTGAGTGAGTGGGTGAGTGGGTGAGTGGGTGAGTGAGTGGGTGAGTGAGTGGGTGAGTGAGTGAGTGGGTGTGTGAGTGAGTGGGTGAGTGAGTGGGTGAGTGAGTGGGTGAGTGAGTGGGTGAGTGGGTGGGTGAGTGAGTGGGTGAGTGAGTGAGTGGGTGAGTGAGTGGGTGAGTGGGTGAGTGAGTGAGTGGGTGAGTGAGTGAGTGGGTGAGTGGGTGAGTGGGTGAGCGCATGAGTACGTGGGTGAGTGAGATGGGGGCTGAGTGGGTCATTGGTTGAGTGAGATTGTGAGTGAGTGAGAGAGAGACGGTTCAAGTTTATTTTGTTTAACCAGCTGAGATTTAACTCACAAGACCACAACGAGTCGGATTTGCAAGCGAGTGACAGTGAATATTTGCACCGGTCCTGGGCCTCCCCCTAGGTCCACTCAGCCTTAAATGAGTACCTGGTGCTGCACGCCGATTTTAGCACTGGGAAGACAAAGGCAGCCAGGTGTGGCGCTGGTCACACTGGCATCCATAGTCGAGACATCTCTTGGGATCTGATTACTGCTTGGGATGGGAGGCTGCTCAGAGATTTACAAACGTAGTGAGATTTGGCTATGAGGTGGTAATAATAAAAATGTTTGTACCCTTCCTGGCAATGAAAGGTGCTCATAGATTCTTGTCACTGTCACTGTGTGTGTGTGTGTGTCACTGTCTGTGTGTGTCACTCTGTGTGTGTCACTCTGTGTATGTGTCACTGTGTGTGTCACTGTCTGTGTGTGTGTGTCACTCTGTGTGTGTGTCACTGTCTGTGTGTGTCACTCTGTGTGTGTCACTGTCTGTGTGTGTCACTGTCTGTGTGTGTGTCACTCTGTGTGTGTCATTGTCTGTGTGTGTCACTCTGTGTGTGTCACTGTGTGTGTGTCACTCTGTGTATGTGTCACTGTGTGTGTGTCACTGTCTGTGTGTGTCACTCTGTGTGTGTCACTGTCTGTGTGTGTCACTGTCTGTGTGTGTGTCACTCTGTGTGTGTGTCACTCTGTGTGTGTCATTGTCTGTGTGTGTCACTCTGTGTGTGTCACTGTGTGTGTGTCACTCTGTGTGTGTGTCACTCTGTATGTGTGTCACTGTGTGTGTGTCACTGTCTGTGTGTGTGTCACTCTGTGTGTGGGGGAGGGAAAATCCCTCAGCCAGGAAAACATTGTGGCACAAAGTGAGGATGACCCTGCTGAGGCTGCAGTGCCTCAAATATTGGAAGAAGTCACCCCCTGTGAGTGGCTGAAGTGCCATCTGTTGAGGAAGTACTGAAGGCGATCCGGAGTCTGAGACCAGGAAAGGCAGCGGGCAGAGATGATCTCCCAAGCGAAATGCTGAGGGAGGGTGGCGTTTGTGCACAGACTGCCCTATATGACATCATAACAACAGTCTGGACCACTGGACAGGTTCCGCAGGATTGGAAGGATGCCCTGGTGGTCCCCCTCTTTAAGAAGGGGGACCGCACAGACTGTAACAACTACAGGGGCATCTCACTCCTCAGTGTGCCGGGAAAGGTCCTGGCAAGGATTATTCAACATCGCCTTGCCAGGCACGCTGAGGAGAGGCTTGCGGAGCCCCAATGCGGTTTCAGGAAAGGGCGGTCCTGCACAGATGCCATATTTTCTGTCCATCTGCTACAGCAGAGGTGTAGGGAATTACAGCAAGACCTACATCTCTGCTTTATTTACCTGGTCAAGGCCTATGAGACCATCAGTAGGCCTGGGCTCTGGGTTGTTCTTCGTGCTTTTGGAGTACCTGACCCTTTGCTCACGATCATTAAGGACCTTCATGATGGTGAGCGGGCCCGTGTAAAACTACGTGGCCGGGAGTCCGAGCCATTCCCTGTACACCTTGGGGTGCGACAGGGATGTCCTCTGGCTCCCACATTATTTAACATCTATTTTGACCACGTAGTTCGTGAAGCCTTCAATAGCTGTACCGGGGGAATCTCCATATGGTACAGATATAATGGGAGGCTGATCGATGCCCGCGTGCGGTCAAGGGATGGCTCCCTATTGGTCAACCACGTTACGTATGCCGATGATTTGGTAATAGCTGCTCATTCAGAGGAGGAGTTGGAGACGCTGCTGCTGAGATTGGAGCGTGCCACTAAGAGATGGGGCCTTACCATCAGCCCCACCAAAACTAAGCACCTGCCTGGGTATTTTGTACCATCGGACACTCCACCCCCACAACTCCCAACCGGTGATGGGGCAGTCGTGGAGAGAGTGGAGAGTTTCCCATACCTGGGCAGTGTGCTTATGACCGGCTCCAGTTTAACAGCAGAGGTCTCACTCCGAATCAGTCGAGCGCCAATATCTTTTCATCGGTTGCGTAATGCTGTGTGGAAGCTACCTGGTCTGTCGCTCCGCACTAAGCTTCAGGTCTTCTCGGCCACGGTAATTCCCTCCCTTCTCTACGCTTGCGAAACGTGGACCCTCCTAATGGAACATCTTCGCCGGTTAGAAACATTTAGGCTGGCCTGCCTACGATCCATCCTGGGTTTAACCAGACTGGATTGTGTGAGGAGCTCACAAATCCTTGAAAGATCTGGGCAAGGTCCCATCGGTGAGCTCCTCCGACGGGCAAGGCTGCGATGGCTGGGTCATGTAGCACGCATGCCCAGCCACCGCATGCCGAAACAGCTTTTGTTCGGCCGGATCGAGGGGGCTAAGCGGGCGCGGCACGGGCTAGAGAAGAGATGGAGTGATGTGGTACAGGAGGACGTGGAGCTGAGTGGACTTGCCGATTACTGGTACCAGCGGTGTCAAGATCGGCTTCTGTGGAGGAGGCTCGTGAAGGATGCTACTGGGCAGTTGGAGGTAGTCGCCCTCCAACAACAACGGAGGGCGGAGGAGCGACGCTCAGAACAATGAGCGGAGCACCGGGTGGCTAAAGTACAGCAGGTTGGCACAGTAGGGGGCACAGGTGGTGCATCAGCCAGTCATCTCAGTCAGTCGACCCGTGGCACCTGGGTCTGCCCCGTGACCTCCTGCCAGCGGGCGTTCGACACTTCACGTGGCCTCAGGGTGCACATAGCTTGGCACAAGCGTCGTGGTGACGTCACCGCCACTTAGTGGCGAATGGCGGTTGTTGTTGTTGTGTCACTGTGTGTGTGTGTCACTGTGTGTGTCACTGTGTATGTGTCACTGTGTGTATGTCACTGTGTGTGTGTGCGTCACTGTGTGTGTGTCACTGTGTGTGTGTGTCACTGTGTGTGTGTGTCACTGTGTATGTGTGTCACTGTGTGTGTGTGTGTGTCACTGTGTGTGTGTCACTGTGTGTGTGTCACTGTGTGTGTTACTGTGTGTGTGTGTCACTGTGTGTGTCCCAGGTATCGGCGCTTGGCCCTGAAGTTACACCCCAACAAGTGCAGCGATGTGGGGGCAGCGGAGACCCTGCTGCTCGTATCGGAGGCTTACGAAGTCCTTAGCAACGGTGCGTGTCACTGTGTGTGTCCCTATGTGTGTGTCACTGTGTGTGTCACCGTGTGTGTATCACAGTCATTCCCTCCCTTCTCTACACTTGCGAAACGTGGATCCCCCCCCTAATGGAACATCTTCGCCGGTTAGAAACATTTAGGCTGGCCTGCCTACGATCCATCCTGGGTTTAACCTGCAGGCTGGATTGTGTGAGGAGCTCACAAATCCTTGAAAGATCTGGACAAAGTCCCATCAGTGAGTTCCTCCGGCAGGCAAGGCTGCGTTGGCTGGGCCATGTAGCCCTCATGCCCAATCACAGCATACCTAAACAGCTTTTGTTCGTCCGGATCGAGGGGGCTAAACGGGCGCGCATGGGCTAGAGAAGAGATGGAGTGACGTGGTCAGTCGACCCGTGGCACCTGCTGGGTCTACCCCGTGACCTCCTGCCAGCGGGCGTTCGACACTTCACGTGGCCTCAAGGTGCACATGGCCTGGCACAAGCGTCGTGGTGACGTCACCGCCGCTTAGTGGCGAATGGCGGTTGTTGTTGTTGTTGTTGTGTGTCACTGTGGAGCGGTAGCGTGGCGGTTAGCGCTACGCTGCGCTACGAACCTGGCGACCCCAGTTCCATTTTCCCGCTCACGGCCAATGCCGCCAGTGACGATTATCTGAAACGGTCCTAGGCCGACTCGGCCTCAAACGAGTACCCGGTGCGGAGCGTAAACACATCGCCACCGGGGAGACAAAGGCGGCCGGGCGTGGTGCCGGCCACCTACCCCCTCGTGTGCCACAGTGCCGGCCTTCATAGGCGCTGCTCGCTCACAGCACTTGCCCCAGCAGCCTGTCACAGGCTACACGGGGGACCTTTGTCTTTCTGTGTTCACAGGCGCTGCTGCTACTCGCTCACAGCACTTGCCCCTACAACCTGTCACAGGCTACACGGGGGATCTTTGTCTTTGTGTATTCACAGGTGCTGCTGCTACTCGCTACTAACAGCACTTGCCCCAGCAGTCTGTCACAGGCTACACGGGGGATCTTTGTCTTTGTAGGCGCTGCTCGCTCACAGCACTTGCCCCAGCAGTCTGTCACAGGCTACACGTGGGGGGACTTTTGTCTTTGCAGCGCAGAGAAGAGCCGTCTATGACCAGTTTGGGCCCGAGGGCCTGAACGACGGCGCCCCGCTGGAGGACGGCAAGTGGACGGAGCCCTACGCCTTCCACGGGGACTCCCGCAAGACCTTCCGCGAGTTCTTCGGCGGAGAGAACCCCTTCTCCGGTGAGCCCTCGCCACGCACGCACGCGCGCACGCACGCATGCACAGGTGCGTGCGTGTACATACGTGCGCCTGCGTACGTACACGTGTGTACGTATGCACGCACACAAGAGTACGGGTGTGTGTACGTTCGTACACGTGCGTACGCGTGTGTACATATGCTTACGTGTGTGTGTACGTACGAATGTACGCCTGTGTACGTTCGTATGTACGTACACTGGCGTACGTACATACGTGTGCACACACGTATGTACGTACGTCGCAGTGACCCCGTCGCACGTCACAGTGACCCCATCGCAGTGACCCCGTCGCAGTGACCCCGTCGCACGTCACAGTGACCCCGTCGCAGTGACCCCGTCGCAGTGACCCCGTCGCACGTCACAGTGACCCCGTCGCAGTGACCCCATCGCAGTGACCCCGTCACAGTGACCCCGTCACAGTGACCCCGTCACAGTGACCCCGTCACAGTGACCCCGTCGCAGTGACCCCGTCGCAGTGACCCCGTCGCAGTGACCCCATCGCAGTGACCCCATCGCAGTGACCCCGTCGCACGTCACAGTGACCCCGTCGCAGTGACCCCGTCGCAGTGACCCCGTCACAGTGACCCCATCGCAGTGACCCCATCGCAGTGACCCCGTCGCACGTCACAGTGACCCTGTCACAGTGACCCCGTCGCAGTGACCCCGTCACAGTGACCCTGTCGCAGTGACCCCGTCGCAGTGACCCCGTCGCAATGACCCCGTCGCACGTCACAGTGACCCTGTCACAGTGACCCCGTCGCAGTGACCCCGTCGCAGTGACCCCGTCGCAGTGACCCTGTCGCAGTGACCCTGTCGCAGTGACCCCGTCGCAGTGACCCCGTCGCAGTGACCCCGTCGCACGTCACAGTGACCCTGTCACAGTGACCCCGTCGCAGTGACCCCGTCGCACGTCGCAGTGACCCTGTCACTGACCCCGTCGCAGTGACCCCGTCGCAGTGACCCCGTCGCAATGACCCCGTCGCACGTCACAGTGACCCTGTCACAGTGACCCCGTCGCGACGCGTGGGGGTTGTGGGTGCTGCCTGTGATGGGGAGAGACGATGGGGCTGCCTGCCATGCAGCAGCGGATTGATCACGGCTGACGACGACGACGACAATGATGACGATGATGACGATGATGACGATGATGACGATGATGATTATGACGGTGATGACGATGATGACGATGGTGATGACGGTGATGACGACGACGATGACCATGATGACGATGATGACGATGATGACGGTGATGATGACGATGATGACGGTGACGACGACGATGATGACGATGATGATGATGACGGTGATGACGACGATGATGACGATGATGACGGTGATGATGACGGTGATGATGACGATGATGACGGTGACGACGACGACGATTACGATGACGACGATGATAACGGCGATGATAACGGCGATGATGACGATGATGACAGTGATGACGACGATGACGACGATGATGACGATGATGATGACGACGGTGATGACGACGACGATGATGACGGTGATGACGACGATGACAACGGCGACGATGACGACGATGATGAAGATGACGACGATGATGACGGCGATGACGACGATGTCGCCGTGGCCGCGAGGCAGAGCTCTTTGTGGGAGAGGCGGGCGCACCGTGGCGGGGCCGGCACGGCACGGCGGGGCGGCGTGAGGACCCTGCCGTGGTGCGCGACCTGCCGCTCTCCCTGGAGGACCTCCACCGTGGCTGCACCAAGAAGATGAAAATCTCTCGCAGGGCACGTGGCCACCATCACCACCACCGTACCACCACCACTGTACCACCACCACCATCGTACCGCCACCACCACCACCGTATCACCGCCACCACCACCATCGTACCACCACCACCGTACCACCACCACCACCACGGTACCGCCACCACCACCACCACCACGGTACCGCCACCACCACCACCATTGTACCACCGCCACCACCGTATCACCACCACCACCGTACCGCCACCACCACCGTACCACCACCACCATCACCACCACCGTACCACCACAACCACCACTGTACCACCACTGTACCACCACCACCATCGTACCACCACCGCCACCACCGTACCGCCACCACCACCACCACCATCGTATCACCACCACCACCACCATCGTACCACCACCACCGTACCACCACCACCACCACCACGGTACCGCCACCACCACCACCACCGTACCGCCACCACCGTATCACCACCACCACCGTACCGCCACCACCACGATTGCACTACCACCACCACCAGTGATAATGGTGATGATTATGGTGATGATCATGACGATGACAATGGTGATGACTCTGGTGGTTGTGGTGATGAGGGGAGCAGTGGGTGTAGTGGTCAGCGCTACGCTGCGCTACGAACCCGGCGACCCGAGTTCAATTCCTGCTCACGGCCAACACCACCGGTGACGATTATCTGAACCGGTCCCGGGCCTCCCCTAGGTCGACTCAGCCTCAAACAAGTACCCGGTGCGGTGTGTAGTGAACATCACCACTGGGGAGACAAAGGCGGCCGGGCGTGGTGCTGGCCACCCACCCCCTCGTGTGCTGTTCCGGCCTTCACAGGTGCCGCTACTCGCTACTAACAGCACTTGCCCCTACAGTCTGTCACAGGCTACACGGGGGAGCTTTGTCTTTGTGTGTTCACAGGTGCTGCTACTCGCTAACAGCACTTGCCCCTACGGCCTGTCACAGGCTACACGGGGAAGCTTTGTCTTTGGTGGGGGGGGAGGTTGACGTCCGTGCCGCTGCTCCGCGTGCAGGTCATGAACGAGGATGGCCACACGTCGAGCATCCGCGACAAGATCCTGAGCATCACGGTGAGGCCCGGCTGGAGGTCGGGCACGCGGATCACCTTCCCCAGGGAGGGCGACCAGGTAGCACACCCAGCCCCCTCCAGCACCCCCCCCTCCAGCTCCCCTCCAGCACCCCCAGCACCCCCCCCCCAGCCCCCCCCCCGCCCAGCACCCACCCCCAGCCCCCCCCCCCCTCCAGCACCCAGCATCACCCCCAGTGATGACGACGTTGCGTGTGATGATGACGACGATGACGACGTTCGTGTGATGATGGTGACGACGTTGCATGTGATGATGACGACGTTGCGTGTGATGATGACGTTGCGTGTGATGATGACGACGTTGCGTGTGATGATGACGACGATGACGACGTTGCGTGTGATGATGACGACGTTGCGTGATGATGACGACGATGACGACGTTGCGTGTGATGATGACGACGTTGCGTGTGATGATGCTGCCGCCAGGGCCCCAACAACATCCCGGCCGACATCATCTTCGTCGTCAAGGAGAAGCCGCACTCGCGGTTCCAGCGCCATGGCGACAACCTCGTCCAGACCGTGCGCATCTCTCTCAGCAAGGTGGGTGGCCGGGCTGGGCACCACCTCCTCGCCTGGCACGCAGGAGGTCGTGGGTTACATCCCGACCCTGACGATGCCTGCTGCTGCTGTAGATTTGGAGTCTGCGTCTCTCTCACTCATCATCATCATCAAGGTGGCTAGGAGATGTTGACTACCTCGCCTGGTGTGCAAGAGGTCGTGGGTTCGACCCAGACCCTGACGATGCCTGCTGCTGCTGTAGATTTGGAGCCTGCGTCTCTCTCACTCATCATCACGGTGGCTATGAGATGTTAACTACCTCGCCTGGTGTGCAGGAGGTCGTGGGTTCCATCCCGACCCTGATGATGCCTGCTGCTCCTGCAATGTAGATTTGGAGTCTCTGTACTGAGTACTCAGATTGTAAATGTTGTAGTGGGTTTACTCTCCAACACACAAGCGGCTAGTGCTGTACTAGTAACGCACTGATTGTGATTGTACTCAGTACTCAGATTGTGAATGTTGTAGTGGGTTTACTCTCCAACACACAAGCGGTTAGTGCTGTAATAGTAACGCACTGATTGTGATTGTACTCAGCACTCAGATTGTAAATGTTGTAGTGGGTTTACTCTCCAACACACAAGCGGTTAGTGCTGTACTAGTAACGCACTGATTGTGATTGTACTCAGCACTCAGATTGTAAATGTTGTAGTGGGTTTACTCTCCAACACACAACTGGTTAGTGCTGTACTGGTAACGAATTGGCCACGTTCTGTTTACGTGACAAACCCCTTACTGATTGGCTGTGTCGGGTGGTGGCGGGTTTAACGACACAACATTTATATATGAATGCAATCTCACTCCAACAAAAATCTCTCCTGTGTATAATATTGGTCGCGAACGCCAGGCCTGCTGCTACGACCACTGCCGCTGCCACTGCTGCCGCTGCCGCCGCTGCATGTTCATCTGTTAAAGGCGACACCGGGGGGATCTCTGTCTCTGTGTTGTGTGTTAAAGGGGGGGTCTCTCTCTTTGTGTTGTGTGTTAAAGGGGGGGGGGGGGGTCTCTGTGTTGTGTTAAAGGGGGGGTCTCTGTCTTTGTGTTGTGTGTTAAAGGGGGGGGGTCTGTGTTGTGTGTTCAAGGGGGAGTCTCTGTGTTGTGTTGTGTGTTAAAGGGGGGATCTTTGTCTCTGTGTTGTGTTAAAGGGGGGGTCTCTGTCTTTGTGTTGTGTGTTAAAGGGGGGGTCTCTGTGTTGTGTGTTAAAGGGGGGGGGGGTCTCTGTGTTGTGTTAAAGGGGGGGGGGGTCTCTGTCTTTGTGTTGTGTGTTAAGGGGGGGGGTCTCTGTCTTTGTGTTGTGTGTTAAAGGGGGGGGGTCTCTGTCTCTGTGTTGTGTTAAAGGGGGGGGGGTCTCTGTGTTGTGTTAAAGGGGGTCTCTGTCTCTGTTTTGTGTGTTACAGGGGGTCTCTGTGTTGTGTGTTAAAGGGGGTCTCTGTGTTGTGTTAAAGGGGGGGGGTCTCTGTGTTGTGTTAAAGGGGGTCTCTGTGTTGTGTGTTAAAGGGGGTCTCTGTGTTGTGTGTTAAAGGGGGTCTCTGTGTTGTGTGTTAAAGGGGGGGGGGTCTCTGTGTTGTGTGTTAAAGGGGGTCTCTGTGTTGTGTGTTAAAGGGGGTCTCTGTGTTGTGTGTTAAAGGGGGTCTCTGTGTTGTGTGTTAAAGGGGGGGGGGGGTCTCTGTGTGTGACGGTGTGCAGGCTCTGACTGGCTGTACAGTCGAAGTGGACACGCTGGATGGCCGGAAAATAAACGTGCCCATTAACGACATCGTTCAGTAAGGAAGCCACACACACCACTCCCTCCTCTCTCTGTCTCTCTGTGTGTCTCTCTGTCTCTCTCTCTGTGTCTCTCTGTGTCTCTCTGTGTCTCTTTGTGTCTCTGTGTCTCTGTCTCTCTCTGTGTCTCTGTGTGTCTCTCTGTCTCTCTCTCTGTCTCTCTGTGTCTCTCTCTGTCTCTCTGTGTGTCTGTGTCTCTCTGTGTGTCTCTGTCTCTCTCTGTGTCTCTGTGTGTGTCTCTCTCTGTTTCTCTCCGTGTGTCTCTCTCTCTGTGTCTCTGTGTCTCTCTGTGTCTCTTTGTGTCTCTCTGTGTCTCTCTCTCTGTCTCTCTCTCTGTGTCTGTCTCTGTCTCTCTGTGTATCTCTCTCTGTCTCTCTCTCTCTGCGTGTCTCTCTCTCCACGAGGGAGACAAAGGCGGCCGGGCGTGATGATGGCCACCTACCCCCTCGTGTGCCAGTGCCGGTAACCTTCATCGCTGCTCGCTAACAGCGCTTGCCCCAACAGCCTGTCACAGGCTACACGGGGGATCTTTGTCTTTGTGTGTTCACAGGTGCTGCTACTCGCTACTAACAGCACTTGCCCCAACAGTATATCACAGGCTCCACGGGGGATCTTTGTCTTTGTGTGTTCACAGGTGCTGCTACTCGCTACTAACAGCACTTGCCCTTACAGCCTTCACAGGCTACACGGGGGATCTTTGTCTCTGTACGTGTCTTGGTGTCCCTGTGGGATCTCTGTATGCGTCTCTGTCCACGTGTGTGTGTCTCTGGTCGTGTCTTGATGTCCTTGTGATGGTGGTGGTGGTGTCTCTGTCCGTGTGTGTGTGTCTCTGTACGTGTCTTGATGTCCTTGTGATGGTGTCTCTGTCTGTGTGTCTCTGTATGTGTCTTGATGTCCTTGTGATGGTGTCTCTGTCTGTGTGTCTCTGTACGTGTCTTGATGTCCTTGTGATGGTGTCTCTGTCTGTGTGTGTCTGTCTTTGTCTCTGTCTGTGTGTCTCTGTACGTGTGTGTCTCTGTACGTGTGTCTCTGTCTGTGTCTCTGTCTGTGTGTGTCTCTGTCTGTGTGTGTCTCTGTCTGTGTGTGTCTCTGTCTGTGTGTGTCTCTGTCCGTGTCCCAGCCCCGCGTACACGAAGACGATCCCCGGGGAGGGGATGCCGCTGTCGCTGGACCCCGAGCAGCGAGGGCTCCTCCTCATCCACTTCGATGTCGTCTTCCCCGTGCGGCTCAGCGCCGCCGACAAACTCCTCATCCAGCAGGCGCTGCCCACGCACTGCTAGGACACCACCACCGTCGCCACCACCACCGTCGCCACCACCACCACCGTCACCACCACCGTCACTACCACCATCGTCACCACCACCATCGTCACCACCACCACCGTCACTACCGCCACCACCACCGTCGCCACCACCACCGTCACTACCGCCACCACCACCGTCGCCACCACCACCGTCACCACCGTCGCTACCACCATCGTCACCACCACCACCGTCATCGTCGTCACCACCGTCGCCACCACTACCACCACCATCCCTGCCACCACCGTCATCACCACCAACACCGTCATCGCTATCGTCATCATCAGTACCATCACCGTCACACGAACAGCTTGGGGTGTGCGGTCGCGCGTGTGCACGTACGTGGGCGTGTATACGTGCATGCGTGTGCGTAGGTGTGCACGTGCACGCGTGTGCGTAGGTGCGTGTGTGCGTGTGTGTGTGTGCGTAGGTGTGCGTTAGGTGTGCGTGTGTGCGTTAGGTGTGCGTGTGCACGTGTGTACGTGTGTGCGTGTGTAGGTGCGTGCGTGTGTAGGTGTGTGTGTAGGTGCGTGCGTGTGTAGGTGCGTGTGTAGGTGCGTGCGTAGGTGCGCGTGTGTAGGTGCGCGTGCGTAGGTGCGTGCGTAGGTGCGTGTGTGCGTGTAGGTGAGTGTGTAGGTGAGTGTGTAGGTGCGTGTGCGTGTGTAGGTGCGTGTGCGTGTGTAGGGGCGTTTGCGTGTGTAGGTGTGTGTGTGTAGTTGCGTGTGTGTAGTTGCGTGTGTGTGTAGGTGCGTGTGTGCGTGTGTAGGTGCGTGTGTGTAGGTGTGTGTGCGTGTGTGTAGGTGTGTGTGTAGGTGTGTGCGTGTGTAGGTGCGTGTGCGTGTGTAGGTGTGTGTGTAGGTGTGTGCGTGTGTAGGTGCGTGTGCGTGTGTAGGTGCGTGTGTGTGTGTAGGTGCGTGTGTGCGTGTGTAGGTGCGTGTGTGCGTGTGTGTAGGTGTGTGTAGGTGCGTGTGTGTGTAGGTGCGTGTGTGTGTAGGTGCGTGTGTGTGTAGGTGTGTGTGTGCGTGTGCGTCATCGCGCAGTGCTGTAGTGGTTAGCGCAACCAACCCGGCGACCCGAGTTCGATTCCCGCTCAAGGCCAACGCCGGTGACGATTATCTGAACCGGTCCTGGGCCTCCCCTAGGTCGACTCAGCCTCAAACGAGTGCCCGGTGTAGCGGTGCGTAGTGAACACCACCACCGGGGAGACAAAGGCGGCCGGGCGTGGTGCTGGCCACCCACCCCCTCGTGTGCCGTTCCGGCCTTCACAGGTGCTGCTACTCGGTAACAGCACTTGCCCCTACGGCCTGTCACAGGCTACGCGGGGGATCTTTGTCTCTGCCATCGCGCGTGGGATGCCTCGGTGGGGGTTGTCGCGAGTTGAAATAAATCCGCGTGATATTTCGCGTTCATCTCGTTGATGTTTGCACTTGTCGATGCGTTCGTCGTTATGAGAGCTCCTCGCTTGACGCTTTCGTGACTGCAGGAGTCCACACGCATTGGTTGTTTCGGCAGTCACGGAGGTAGAAATAAGATCAAATAAATAACGTTTCGATCGCAACGCAAGCAATCGTCATCACGTGGGGCAATCCTCATCACGTGGGGCATTCCTCATCAGGTGGGGCAATCGTCATCACGTGGGGCATTCCTCATCACGTGGGGCAAACACACGTGTCTCTGTGTATACACGTGTGTACACGTGTGTGTGTGTGTACACACACACACACGTGTACGTACGTATATACAAAGACATACAGAGACCCACAGAGATTCACAGAGACCCACAGAGACACACAGAGACCCACAGAGATTCACAGAGACCCACAGGTTATCATAGTTGACGACGCTCGGTGCGGAAGACGTTCAACGTACACACACATATACACAGAGACCCACAGAGATTCACAGAGACCCACAGAGATTCACAGAGACCCAGAGACACAGAGATCCACAGAGATTCACAGAGATCCACAGAGATTCACAGAGACCCACAGGCTAACATAGTTGACGACGCTCGGTGCGGAAGACGTTCAATGTACACACACATACACAGAGCTTCACAGAGACCCACAGAGATTCACAGAGACCCACAGAGATTCACAGAGACCCACAGAGACCCACACAGATTCACAGAGACCCACAGAGATTCACAGAGATTCACAGAGACCCACAGAGATTCACAGAGACCCACAGGTTAACATAGTTGACTACGCTCGGTGCCGAAGACGTTCAACATACGTACAACTTTGGAAGCCACCGGAGCAGCGCACTTTCATGTCATCATCTTTGATCGACAAACTCTGCTCTCTGCTCTCTTCGAACTGCCTTTTGCGTTTAGTTTGACGTCTTTACCCCCCCCCCCTCCCGGCACCTCCGACGAGCGCGGTTGGCCACGTCCCCTGGGACAGAACAAGTTCTCAGTACGCACACAACAGGGGCACAATCTCCCACAATCTCCCACAATCTCCCATGGTGGCACAATCTCCCACAGTCTCCCACAATCTCCCACAGGGGCACAATCTCCCACAGGGGCACAATCTCCCACAATCGCTCACAATCTCCCACAGGGGCACAATCTCCCACAATCTCCCACAGGGGCACAATCTCCCACAATCTCCCACAGGGGCACAATCTCCCACAATTTCCCACAGGGGCACAATCTCCCACAATCTCCCACAGGGGCACAATCTCCCACAATCTCCCACAGGGGCACAATCTCCCACAATCTCCCACAGGGGCACAATCTCCCACAATCTCCCACAGGGGCACAATCTCCCACAGGGGCACAATCTCCCACAAGGGCACAATCTCCAACAATATCCCACAGTCTCCCACAATCTCCCACAGGGGCACAATCTCCTACAATCTCCCACAATCTCCCACAATCTCCCACAGGGGCACAATCTCCCACAATCTCCAACAATCTCCCACAGGGGCACAATCTCCCACAATCTCGCACAGGGGCACAATCTCCCACAATCTCCAACAATCTCCCACAGGCGCACAATCTCCCACAATCTCCCACAGTGGCACAATCTCCCACAGGGGCACAATCTCCCACAGGGGCACAATCTCCCACAATCTCCCACAGTGGCACAATCTCCTACAATCTCCCACAATCTCCCACAGGGGCACAATCTCCCACAGTCTCCCATAATCTCTCACAGGGGCACAATCTCCCACAATCTCCCACAGGGACACAATCTCCCACAATCTCCCACAGGGGCACAATCTCCCACAATCTCCGACAGTCTCCCACAATCTCCCACAGGGGCACAATCTCCCACAATCTCCCACAGGGGCACAATCTCCCACAGGAGCACAATCTCCCACAATCTCCCACAGGGTCACAATCTCCCACAATCTCCCACAGTGGCACAATCTCCCACAATCTTCCACAGTGGCACAATCTCCCACAGGGACACAATCTCCCACAATCTCCCACAGGGGCACAATCTCCCACAGGGGCACAATCTCCCACAATCTCCCACAGTGGCACAACCTCCCACAATCTCCCACAGGGGCACAATCTCCCACAGGGGCACAATCTCTCACAATCTCTCACAATCTCCCACAGGGGCACAATCTCCCACAATCTCCCACAGTGGCACAATCTCCCACAATCTCCCACAGGGGCACAATCTCCCACAATCTCCCACAGGGACACAATCTTCCACAATCTCCCACAGGAGCACAATCTCCCACAATCTCCCACAGGGGCACAATCTCCAACAATCTCCCACAGTCTCCCACAATCTCCCACAGGGGCACAATCTCCCACAATCTCCTACAGGGGCACAATCTCCCACAGTCTCCCACAATCTCCCACAGGGGCACAATCTCCCACAATCTCCCACAGGGGCACAATCTCCCACAATCTCGCACAATCTCCCACAGGGGCACAATCTCCAACAATCTCCCACAGGGGCACAATCTCCCACAACCTCGCACAATCTCCCACAGGGGCACAATCTCCCACAATCTCCCACAGGGGCACAATCTCCCACAGTGGCACAATCTCCCACAATCTCCCACAGGGGCACAATCTCCCACAATCTCCCACAGTGGCACAATCTCCTACAATCTCCCACAAGGGCACAATCTCCCACAAGGGCACAATCTCCCACAATCTCCCACAGGGGCACAATCTCCCACAGGGGCAAAATCTCCCACAATCTCCCAGTCTCCCACAATCTCCCACAGGGGCACAATCTCCCACAATCTCCCACAGGGGCACAATCTCCCACAATCTCCCACAATCTCCCACAGTCTCCCACAATCTCCCACAGGGGCACAATCTCCCACAATCTCCCACAGGGGCACAATCTCCAACAATCTCGCACAGTCTCCCACAGGGGCACAATCTCCCACAGTGGCACAATCTCCCACAATCTCCCACAGTCTCCCACAATCTCCCACAGGGGCACAATCTCCCACAGTGGCACAATCTCCCACAGTGGCACAGTCTCCCACAATCTCCCACAGGGGCACAATCTCCCACAATCTCCCACAGGGGCACAATCTCCCACAATCTCCCACAGGGGCACAATCTCCCACAATCTCCCACAGGGGCACAATCTCCCACAGTGGCACAATCTCCCACAATCTTCCACAATCTCCCACAGTGGCACAATCTCCCACAGTGGCACAATCTCCTACAATCTCCCACAATCTCCCACAGGGGCACAATCTCCCACAAGGGCACAATCTCCCACAGTGGCACAATCTCCCACAATCTCCCACAGTGGCACAATCTCCTACAATCTCCCACAGGGGCACAATCTCCCACAGGGGCACAATCTCCCACAATCTTCCACAGTGGCACAATCTCCCACAATCTCTCACAATCTCCCACGGCCCGGTTGGGGCCGAGCGCCGTCAGCGCCTAGGGAGGCCCGGCACGGCGGCATGCGAGGGGGCGGGTGGCCGGCAGCAACACCCGGCCACTTGCCACCCGGCAAACATCGCCACTGGGGAGACAAAGGCGGCCGGGAGCGGCGCTGGCCATACCGGGCCCCCCCCGTGGCGTGGCCATCGTTGCCGCCGCTGCCGCCGCCGCCGCTCACCCCGGCTGACGGCGACCACCGATGTGGCTTAGACTGCCGTGGGCATGCTCACTTGAGTGGTGGCACAACGTGGGACTTCTCACGCGCCACCGCACGCGGATAATCGGAGGCACGGGGGGGGGGGGGTGATTACAACGACAACAACGCCGAGCGGTTCTAAACAAACCGAGTTTGTCAATCCAGTCGTGAACTATTTGTTAACTATTTTTGTCCTTTGTCAACGTGACACTTCTTTTGCCGATTGGCCGTGTCGGCTTGTGGAGGGTTACGACACATTTATAAACAACGCGATCCAGCCCAAAAAAAGACCTTTATTATGAATGATATTGGTCGCGGAAGCCTCCCACGCGTTAAACTGACGATGAAAAAGTGGCGTAGCCTCGCTCAGTGGCTTCCCGACATAGGAATGCAGAGCGTTCCAGACGGCCGCGGTGACCGCCGCGGCCGTAGGAAGTCACTCGGAGAGCGGCTCTCAAGTGGCGGGCCGAGGCCTGCGATGGTCGCGAGTTGTCGTTGACCCACACGAGATGTGTCGAGCTGCTGCTGCTGCTGCTGTTGTTGTTGTCGTTATCGTTGTCGTCTGTAATTGTGCGTCACTGCCAAGCACAACAGCAGCAGCCGCAGCAGCAGCTCAACACGTTCACGGGGAGAGACACGGGGAGAGTCACGGGGGGAGAGACACGGGGAGAGTCACGGGGAGAGACACGGGGAGAGTCACGGGGAGAGACACGGGGGGAGTCACGGACAGAGACACGGGGGGAGAGACACGGGGAGAGTCACGGGGAGAGTCACGGGGGGAGACACGGGGGGACAGACACGGGGGGAGAGACACGGGGAGAGACATGGGGAGAGTCACGAGGAGAGTCACGGGGGGAGAGTCACGAGGAGAGTCACGGGGAGAGACACGGGGAGTCACGGGGAGAGACACGGGGAGAGTCACGGGGAGAGTCACGAGGAGAGTCACGGGGAGCGACACGGGGGGAGTCACGGGGAGAGTCACGGGGAGAGACACGGGGAGAGTCACGGGGAGAGACACGGGGAGAGTCACGGGGAGAGTCACAGGGAGAGACACGGAGAGACACGGGGAGAGTCACGGGGAGAGACACGGGGAGAGACACGGGGAGAGACACGGGGAGAGACACGGGGAGAGACACGGGGAGAGACACGGGGGAAGAGTCACGAGGAGAGTCACGGGGAGCGACACGGGGAGAGTCACGGGGAGAGTCACGGGGGAGTCACGAGGGGAGTCACGGGGAGAGTCACGAGGAGAGTCACGGGGAGCGACACGGGGAGAGTCACGGGGGGAGACACGGGGGGAGTCACGGGGAGAGTCACGGGGAGAGACACGGGGGGAGACTCGGGGGGAGAGACACAGGGGGAGAGACACGGGGGGAGAGTCACGGGGAGAGTCACGGGGAGAGTCATGGGGAGAGTCACGGGGGGAGAGACACGGGGGGAGAGACACGGGGGGAGAGACACGGGGGGAGAGACACGGGGGGAGAGACACGGGGAGAGTCACGGGGGGAGTCACGGGGAGAGTCACGGGGGGAGACTCGGGGGGAGAGACAGGGGGAGAGACACGGGGGGAGAGTCACGGGGAGAGTCACGGGGAGAGTCACGGGGAGAGTCATGGGGAGAGTCACGGGGGGAGAGACACGGGGGGAGAGACACGGGGGGAGAGACACGGGGGGAGAGACACGGGGAGAGTCACGGGGGGAGTCACGGGGAGAGTCACGGGGAGAGTCACGGGTTGCAGCAGCATCACTAAATTAGTGAAAATTAACACGAACAATTGACACAAATAACCGCACGCAAACCGAGACCTTGCTGCTGGAGGTGGTGGTGGAGGGGGTGGAGGGGGTGGAGGGGGTGGAGGGGGTCTAGGAGGAGAGTCACACAGGAGCCCCACCGCTCGCAGAGTAATGGCACAGCCGGTATTGGGGGTATTGGCGAGTGTCGCCGTCTCACTGCTAGCGACAGCTGCTGCTGCAACTTCACGAGCGTGCGGTGTTGCGGTGTGGTGCAGTGGTGCGGTGGTGCGGTGGTGTAGTGGTGGTGTAGTGGTGCGGTGGTGCAGTGGCGGTGTGGTGGGGCGGCGTGTCCGTGCGGAAAGGCGATCTTCCTCTTCTTCTCCTCGAGAGCAGCGGAGATCAGTGGAGGTTGTCAAAGTACTTGAGCTTGCCTGACGGGTCGGGGATTATCTGCGCAGAGAGACAGAGACACGGAGTGAAAGAGACACGGAGTGAAAGAGAGACAGAGACACAGAGAGACAGACAGAGAGACAGAGACACAGAGACAGAGAGTGAAAGAGAGACAGAGACACAGAGAGACAGAGACACAGAGAGACAGATAGAGAGACAGAGCCACAGAGACAGAGAGAGACAGACAGAGAGAGAGACACAGAGACACACGGAGTGAAAGAGAGACAGAGACACAGAGAGACACAGAGACAGAGAGACAGACAGGAGAGACAGACAGAGAGAGAGACACAGAGAGACAGCGAGACAGAAAGAGACAGAGACACAGAAAGAGACAGAGACACAGAGAGACAGACAGAGAGAGACACAGAGACACAGAGAGACAGAGACACAGAGAGACAGAGACACAGATACACAGAGACACAGATACACAGAGACACAGAGAGACAGAGACACAGAGAGACGGAGACACAGTGAGACAAAGAAACAGAGAGACAGAGAGACAGAGACACACAGAGAGACACAGAGACACACAGGGAGACACAGAGACAGAGAGACACAGAGACAGAGAGAAAAAGCCACAGAGAGACACAGAGAGACAGAGACACACAGAGACACACAGAGACACAGAGACAGAGAGAGACACAGAGACAGAGAGAGACATGACGGTTCAATGTAACGTGTCATCACCACCCCGTGTAGCCTTAACAGACTGCTGGGGAAAGTGCTGTGAGTGACGTACACATGTAGACGTACACATGTAGGCGTACACATGTAGACGTACACATGCAGACCTACACATGCAGACCTACACATGCAGGCCTACACATGCAGACCTACACATGCAGGCGTACACATGCAGGCGTACACATGCAGGCGTACACATGCAGGCGTACACATGCAGGCGTACACATGTAGGCGTACACATGTAGGCGTACACATGTAGATGTACACATGTAGGCGTACACATGTCAGTGATAGAGACAGTGATAGAGATAGGAGACAGTGATAGAGATAGGAGACAGTGATATAGATAGGAGACAGTGATAGGAGACAGAGATAGGAGACAGTGATAGAGATAGGAGACAGTGATAGAGATAGGAGACAGTGATAGAGATAGGAGACAGTGATAGAGATAGGAGACAGTGATAGAGATAGGAGACAGTGTTAGAGATAGGAGACAGTGATAGAGATAGGAGACAGTGATAGAGATAGGAGACAGTGATATAGATAGGAGACAGTGATAGGAGACAGAGATAGGAGACAGTGATAGAGATAGGAGACAGTGATAGAGATAGGAGACAGTGATAGAGATAGGAGACAGTGATAGAGATAGGAGACAGTGATAGAGATAGGAGACAGTGATAGAGATAGGAGACAGTGATAGGAGACAGAGATAGGAGACAGTGATAGAGATAGGAGACAGTGATAGAGATAGGAGACAGTGATAGAGATAGGAGACAGAGATAGGAGACAGTGATAGAGATAGGAGACAGTGATAGAGATAGGAGACAGTGATAGAGATAGGAGACAGTGATAGAGATAGGAGACAGTGATAGAGATAGGAGACAGTGATAGAGATAGGAGACAGTGATAGAGATAGGAGACAGTGATAGAGATAGGAGACAGTGTTAGAGATAGGAGACAGTGTTAGAGATAGGAGAGAGTGATAGAGATAGGAGACAGTAATAGAGATAGGAGACAGTGTTAGAGATAGGAGAGAGTGATAGAGATAGGAGACAGTAATAGAGATAGGAGACAGTGTTAGAGATAGGAGACAGTGATAGAGATAGGAGACAGTGATAGAGATAGGAGACAGTGATAGAGATAGGAGACAGTGATAGAGATAGGAGACAGTGATAGAGATAGGAGACAGTGATAGAGATAGGAGACAGTGATAGAGATAGGAGACAGTGTTAGAGATAGGAGACAGTGATAGAGATAGGAGACAGTGATAGAGATAGGAGACAGTGATAGAGATAGGAGACAGTGATAGAGATAGGAGACAGTGATAGAGATAGGAGACAGTGATAGAGATAGGAGACAGTGATAGAGATAGGAGACAGTGATAGAGATAGGAGACAGTGATAGAGATAGGAGACAGTGATAGAGATAGGAGACAGTGATAGAGATAGGAGACAGTGACAGAGATAGGAGACAGTGATAGAGATAGGAGACAGTGATAGAGATAGGAGACAGTGTTAGAGATAGGAGACAGTGTTAGAGATAGGAGAGAGTGATAGAGATAGGAGACAGTAATAGAGATAGGAGACAGTGTTAGAGATAGGAGACAGTGATAGAGATAGGAGACAGTGATAGAGATAGGAGACAGTGATAGGAGACAGTGATAGAGACAGTGTTAGAGATAGGAGACAGTGATAGAGATAGGAGACAGTGATAGAGATAGGAGACAGTGATAGAGACAGGAGACAGTGTTAGAGATAGGAGACAGAGATAGGAGACAGTGATAGAGATAGAGACAGTGATAGAGATAGGAGACAGTGATAGAGACAGTGATAGAGACAGCAGACAGTGATAGAGATAGGAGACAGTAATAGAGACAGGAGACAGTGTTAGAGATAGGAGACAGTGTTAGAGATAGGAGACAGTGTTAGAGATAGGAGACAGTGTTAGAGATAGGAGAGAGTGATAGAGATAGGAGACAGTGATAGAGATAGGAGACAGTGTTAGAGATAGGAGACAGTGATAGAGATAGGAGACAGTGATAGGAGACAGTGATAGAGACAGTGTTAGAGATAGGAGACAGTGATAGAGATAGGAGACAGTGATAGAGACAGGAGACAGTGATAGAGATAGGAGACAGTGATAGAGATAGGAGACAGTGATAGAGATAGGAGACAGTGATAGAGATAGGAGACAGTGTTAGAGATAGGAGACAGTGATAGAGATAGGAGACAGTGATAGAGATAGGAGACAGTGATAGAGATAGGAGACAGTGATAGAGATAGGAGACAGTGATAGAGATAGGAGACAGTGATAGAGATAGGAGACAGTATTAGAGATAGGAGACAGTGATAGAGATAGGAGACAGTGTTAGAGATAGGAGACAGTGATAGAGATAGGAGACAGTGATAGAGATAGGAGACAGTGATAGAGATAGGAGACAGTGATAGAGATAGGAGACAGTGATAGAGATAGGAGACAGTGATAGAGATAGGAGACAGTGATAGAGATAGGAGACAGTGATAGAGATAGGAGACAGTGATAGAGATAGGAGACAGTGATAGAGATAGGAGACAGTGTTAGAGATAGGAGACAGTGTTAGAGATAGGAGACAGTGATAGAGATAGGAGACAGTGTTAGAGATAGAAGACAGTGATAGAGACACGAGACAGTGATAGAGATAGGAGACAGTGTTAGAGATAGGAGACAGAGATAGACATAGGAGACAGAGATAGAGATAGGAGACAGTGATAGAGACAGGAGACAGTGATAGAGATAGGAGACAGTGATAGAGATAGGAGACAGTGATAGAGATAGGAGACAGTGTTAGAGATAGGAGACAGTGATAGAGACAGGAGACAGTGATAGAGATAGGAGACACAGACAGGAGACAGTAATAGAGATAGGAGACAGTGATAGAGATAGGAGACAGTGATATAGATAGGAGACAGTGATAGGAGACAGAGATAGGAGACAGTGATAGAGATAGGAGACAGTGATAGAGATAGGAGACAGTGATAGAGATAGGAGACAGTGATAGAGATAGGAGACAGTGTTAGAGATAGGAGACAGTGATAGAGATAGGAGACAGTGATAGAGATAGGAGACAGTGATATAGATAGGAGACAGTGATAGGAGACAGAGATAGGAGACAGTGATAGAGATAGGAGACAGTGATAGAGATAGGAGACAGTGTTAGAGATAGGAGACAGTGATAGAGATAGGAGACAGTGATAGAGATAGGAGACAGTGATAGAGATAGGAGACAGTGATAGAGATAGGAGACAGTGATAGGAGACAGAGATAGGAGACAGTGATAGAGATAGGAGACAGTGATAGAGATAGGAGACAGAGATAGGAGACAGTGATAGAGATAGGAGACAGTGATAGAGATAGGAGACAGAGATAGGAGACAGTGATAGAGATAGGAGACAGTGATAGAGATAGGAGACAGTGATAGAGATAGGAGACAGTGATAGAGATAGGAGAGAGTGATAGAGATAGGAGACAGTAATAGAGATAGGAGACAGTGTTAGAGATAGGAGACAGTGATAGAGATAGGAGACAGTGATAGAGATAGGAGACAGTGATAGAGATAGGAGACAGAGATAGGAGACAGTGATAGAGATAGGAGACAGTGATAGAGATAGGAGACAGTGTTAGAGATAGGAGACAGTGTTAGAGATAGGAGAGAGTGATAGAGATAGGAGACAGTGATAGAGATAGGAGACAGTGATAGAGATAGGAGACAGTGATAGAGATAGGAGACAGTGATAGAGATAGGAGACAGTGATAGAGATAGGAGACAGTGATAGAGATAGGAGACAGTGATAGAGATAGGAGACAGTGATAGAGATAGGAGACAGTGACAGAGATAGGAGACAGTGATAGAGATAGGAGACAGTGATAGAGATAGGAGACAGTGTTAGAGATAGGAGACAGTGTTAGAGATAGGAGAGAGTGATAGAGATAGGAGACAGTAATAGAGATAGGAGACAGTGTTAGAGATAGGAGACAGTGATAGAGATAGGAGACAGTGATAGAGATAGGAGACAGTGATAGAGATAGGAGACAGTGATAGAGAGGAGACAGTGATAGAGATAGGAGACAGTGATAGAGATAGGAGACAGTGATAGAGATAGGAGACAGTGATAGAGATAGGAGACAGTGATTAGAGATAGGAGACAGTGTAGAGATAGGAGACAGTGATAGAGATAGGAGACAGTGATAGAGATAGGAGACAGTGATAGAGATAGGAGACAGTGATAGAGATAGGAGACAGAGATAGAGATAGGAGACAGTGATAGAGATAGGAGACAGTGATAGAGATAGGAGACAGTGATAGAGATAGGAGACAGTGTTAGAGATAGGAGGACAGTGATAGAGATAGGAGACAGTGTTAGAGATAGGAGACAGTGTTAGAGATAGGAGACAGTGATAGAGATAGGAGACAGTGTTAGAGATAGGAAGACAGTGATAGAGACACGAGACAGTGATAGAGATAGGAGACAGTGTTAGAGATAGGAGACAGTAGATAGACATAGGAGACAGAGATAGAGATAGGAGACAGTGATAGAGATAGGAGACAGTGATAGAGATAGGAGACAGTGATAGAGATAGGAGACAGTGATAGAGATAGGAGACAGTGTTAGAGATAGGAGACAGTGATAGAGACAGGAGACAGTGATAGAGATAGGAGACACAGACAGGAGACAGTAATAGAGATAGGAGACAGTGATAGAGATAGGAGACAGTGATATAGATAGGAGACAGTGATAGGAGACAGAGATAGGAGACAGTGATAGAGATAGGAGACAGTGATAGAGATAGGAGACAGTGATAGAGATAGGAGACAGTGATAGAGATAGGAGACAGTGTTAGAGATAGGAGACAGTGATAGAGATAGGAGACAGTGATAGAGATAGGAGACAGTGATATAGATAGGAGACAGTGATAGGAGACAGAGATAGGAGACAGTGATAGAGATAGGAGACAGTGATAGAGATAGGAGACAGTGATAGAGATAGGAGACAGTGATAGAGATAGGAGACAGTGATAGAGATAGGAGACAGTGATAGAGATAGGAGACAGTGATAGAGATAGGAGACAGTGATAGGAGACAGAGATAGGAGACAGTGATAGAGATAGGAGACAGTGATAGAGATAGGAGACAGAGATAGGAGACAGTGATAGAGATAGGAGACAGTGATAGAGATAGGAGACAGAGATAGGAGACAGTGATAGAGATAGGAGACAGTGATAGAGATAGGAGACAGTGTTAGAGATAGGAGACAGTGTTAGAGATAGGAGAGAGTGATAGAGATAGGAGACAGTAATAGAGATAGGAGACAGTGTTAGAGATAGGAGACAGTGATAGAGATAGGAGACAGTGATAGAGATAGGAGACAGTGATAGAGATAGGAGACAGAGATAGGAGACAGTGATAGAGATAGGAGACAGTGATAGAGATAGGAGACAGTGTTAGAGATAGGAGACAGTGTTAGAGATAGGAGAGAGTGATAGAGATAGGAGACAGTGATAGAGATAGGAGACAGTGATAGAGATAGGAGACAGTGATAGAGATAGGAGACAGTGATAGAGATAGGAGACAGTGATAGAGATAGGAGACAGTGATAGAGATAGGAGACAGTGATAGAGATAGGAGACAGTGATAGAGATAGGAGACAGTGACAGAGATAGGAGACAGTGATAGAGATAGGAGACAGTGATAGAGATAGGAGACAGTGTTAGAGATAGGAGACAGTGTTAGAGATAGGAGAGAGTGATAGAGATAGGAGACAGTAATAGAGATAGGAGACAGTGTTAGAGATAGGAGACAGTGATAGAGATAGGAGACAGTGATAGAGATAGGAGACAGTGATAGGAGACAGTGATAGAGACAGTGTTAGAGATAGGAGACAGTGATAGAGATAGGAGACAGTGATAGAGATAGGAGACAGTGATAGAGACAGGAGACAGTGTTAGAGATAGGAGACAGAGATAGGAGACAGTGATAGAGATAAGAGACAGTGATAGAGATAGGAGACAGTGATAGAGACAGTGATAGAGACAGCAGACAGTGATAGAGATAGGAGACAGTAATAGAGACAGGAGACAGTGTTAGAGATAGGAGACAGTGTTAGAGATAGGAGACAGTGTTAGAGATAGGAGACAGTGATAGAGATAGGAGACAGTGATAGGAGACAGCGATAGAGACAGTGTTAGAGATAGGAGACAGTGATAGAGATAGGAGACAGTGATAGAGACAGGAGACAGTGATAGAGATAGGAGACAGTGATAGAGATAGGAGACAGTGATAGAGACAGGAGACAGTGTTAGAGATAGGAGACAGAGATAGGAGACAGTGATAGAGATAAGAGACAGTGATAGAGATAGGAGACAGTGATAGAGACAGTGATAGAGACAGCAGACAGTGATAGAGATAGGAGACAGTAATAGAGACAGGAGACAGTGTTAGAGATAGGAGACAGTGTTAGAGATAGGAGACAGTGTTAGAGATAGGAGACAGTGATAGAGATAGGAGACAGTGATAGAGATAGGAGACAGTGATAGAGATAGGAGACAGTGATAGAGATAGGAGACAGAGATAGAGATAGGAGACAGTGATAGAGATAGGAGACAGTGATAGAGATAGGAGACAGTGATAGAGATAGGAGACAGTGTTAGAGATAGGAGACAGTGATAGAGATAGGAGACAGTGTTAGAGATAGGAGACAGTGTTAGAGATAGGAGACAGTGATAGAGATAGGAGACAGTGTTAGAGATAGAAGACAGTGATAGAGACACGAGACAGTGATAGAGATAGGAGACAGTGTTAGAGATAGGAGACATAGATAGACATAGGAGACAGAGATAGAGATAGGAGACAGTGATAGAGACAGGAGACAGTGATAGAGATAGGAGACAGTGATAGAGATAGGAGACAGTGTTAGAGATAGGAGACAGTGATAGAGACAGGAGACAGTGATAGAGATAGGAGACACAGACAGGAGACAGTAATAGAGATAGGAGACAGTGATAGAGATAGGAGACAGTGATAGAGACAGGAGACAGTGTTAGAGATAGGAGACAGTGATAGAGATAGGAGACAGTGATAGAGATAGGAGACAGTGTTAGAGATAGGAGACAGTGATAGAGATAGGAGACAGTGATAGAAATAGGTGACAGTGTTAGAGATAGTAGAAGTGATAGAGACAGGAGACAGTGATAGAGACAGGAGACAGTGATAGAGATAGGAGGCAGTGTTAGAGATAGGTGACAGTGTTAGAGATAGGTGACAGTGTTAGAGATAGGAGACAGTGATAGAGATAGGAGACAGTGTTAGAGATAGGAGACAGTGTTAGAGATAGGAGACAGTGATAGAGATAGGAGACAGTGATAGAGATAGGGGACAGTGATAGAGATAGGAGACAGTGATAGAGACAGGAGACAGTGATAGAGATAGGAGACAGTGATATAGATAGGAGACAGTGATAGAGATAGGAGACAGTGATATAGATAGGAGACAGTGTTAGAGATAGGAGACAGAGCTATTGTTCGATCTCAGCCCAAAGTGGCCAATCTCTTGGGCTGTGAGACTCCTCGTCCTAGCGACGACTCACAGCTCGTGATGGGGCCACCACTGCCTCATGGCCTCCTCTGGGTTAATCTGCGTGGACACACAAAGACAAAGATCCCCTGGATAACCTTAACGGACTTTTGGGGCAAGTGCTGTTAGAGAGAGCAGCAGCTGCTAACTATGAATTTGGCTACGGACGCACACAGACGCAACACACTCAGAGGGTGTAGTGTGTGTAGTGTAGTGTGTGTAGTGTGTGTGTAGTGTGTGTAGTGTGTGTGTAGTGTGTATGTAGTGTGTGTGTACACTTGTGTAGTGTGTGTGTCGTGTGTGTAGTGTGTGTGTCGTGTGTGTAGTGTGTGTGTAGTGTGTGTAGTGTGTGTGTAGTGTGTGTAGTGTGTGTGTAGTGTGTGTAGTGTGTGTGTGTGCAGGGTGTATGTAGTGTGCGTGTGTGTACTTGAGACAGAGAGAGATGGGTAGAGAGAAACACGAGGGGGTGTGACGGAGAGACACGTGGGGGTGGTGGACTCACCGTGTCTGCTCCTGGCTTCCACCCGGCAGGACAAACTGAGAGAGACAGAGACGGAGTGGGGATGGGTTACACAACGCGCGTCCACACACACACACTCTCAGTCTCTGCGTGCGAGCCTCACCCTCCCTGTGCCTGTCTCTGCGTGTCTCTGCGTGTCTCTGCGTGTCTCTGTGTGTGTGCGTGTCTCTGTGTGCGTGCGTGTCTCTGTGTGCGTGCGTGTCTCTGTGTGCGTGCGTGTCTCTGTGTGTGTGCATGTCTCTGTGTGTGTGCGTGTCTCTGCGTGTCTCTGTGTGTGTGCGTGTCTCTGCGTGTCTCTGTGTGTGTGCGTGTCTCTGCGTGCCTCTGTGTGTGTGCGTGTCTCTGCGTGTCTCTGCGTGTCTCTGTGTGTGTGCGTGTCTCTGCGTGTCTCTGTGTGTCTCTGTGTACGTGCGTGTCTCTGCGTGTCTCTGTGTGTCTCTGTGTGTGTGCGTGTCTCTGTGTGCGTGCGTCTCTGTGTGCGTGCATGTCTCTGTGTGTGTGCGTGTCTCTGTGTGTCTCTGTGTGCGTGCGTGTCTCTACGTGTCTCTGTGTGTGTGCGTGTCTCTGTGTGCGTGCGTGCCTCTGTGTGTGTGCGTGTCTCTGTGTGTGTGCCTGTCTCTGCGTGTCTCTGTGTGTGTGCCTGTCTCTGCGTGTCTCTGCGTGTGTGCGTGTCTCTGCGTGCGTGTCTCTGCATGCGTGCCTCTGCGTGTCTCTGCGTGCGTGTCTCTGCGTGCGTGTCTCTGCGTGCGTGTCTCTGCGTGCGTGTCTCTGCGTGCGTGTCTCTGCGTGTCTCTACGTGTCTCTGCGTGTCTCTGCGTGTCTCTGCATGCGTGTCTCTGCGTGCGTGTCTCTGCGTGCGTGTCTCTGCGTGCGTGTCTCTACGTGTCTCTACGTGTCTCTGCGTGTGTCTGCGTGTCTCTGCGTGCGTGTCTCTGCGTGCGTGTCTCTGCGTGTGTCTGCGTGTCTCTGCGTGCGTGCGAGCCTCACCCTCCCCGTGCGTGTCGGTGTACTGGAAGGCCTGCACGAGGCGCAGAGTCTCATCGACGCTGCGCCCCACTGGGAGGTCGTTCATCGTGATCTGGCGCAGGATGCCCTTGGCATCGATAATGAACAGTCCCCTGCTCACGCCACACACACACAGATACACACAACAACAACAACAACAACCGCCATTCGCCACTAAGTGGCGGTGACGTCACCAAGACGCTTGTACCAGGCTATGTGCACCCTGAGGCCACGTGAAGTGTCGAACGCCCGCTGGCAGGAGGTCACGGGGCAGACCCAGGTGCCACGGGTCGACTGACTGAGATGACTGGCTGATGCACCACCTGTGCCCCCTACTGTGCCAACCTGCTGTGCTTTAGCCACCCGGCGCTCCGCTCGCTGTTGTGAGCGTCGCTCCTCCGCCCTCCGTTGTTGTTGGAGGGCGACTGCCTCCAACTGCCCAGTAGCATCCTTCACGAGCCTCCTCCACAGAGGCCGATCTTGACACCGCTGGTACCAGTCATCGGCAAGTCCACTCAGCTCCACGTCCTCCTGTACCACATCACTCCATCTCTTCTCTAGCCTGTGCCGCGCCCGCTTAGCCCCCTCAATCCGGCCAAACAAAAGCTGTTTCGGCATGCGGTGGCTGGGCATGCGGGCTACATGACCCAGCCATCGCAGCCTTGCCTGCCGGAGGAGCTCACCGATGGGACCCTGCCCAGATCTTTCAAGGATTTGTGAGCTCCTCACACAATCCAGTCTGGTTAAACCCAGGATGGATCGTAGGCAGGCCAGCCTAAATGTTTCTAACCGGCGAAGATGTTCCATTAGGGGGGTCCACGTTTCGCAAGCGTAGAGAAGGGAGGGAATGACCGTGGCCGAGAAGACCTGAAGCTTAGTGCGGAGCGACAGACCAGGTAGCTTCCACACAGCGTTACGCAACCGATGAAAAGATATTGCCGCTCGACTGATTCGGAGTGAGACCTCTGCTGTTAAACTGGAGCCAGTCATAAGCACACTGCCCAGGTATGGGAAACTCTCCACTCTCTCCACAACTGCCCCATCACCGATTGGGAGTTGTGGGGTGGAGTGTCCGATGGTACAAAATACCCAGGCAGGTGCTTAGTTTTGGTGGGGCTGATGGTAAGGCCCCACCTCTTAGTGGCACGCTCCAGTCTCAGCAGCAGCGTCTCCAACTCCTCCTCTGACTGAGCAGCCATTACCAAATCATCAGCATACATAACGTGGTTGAGAAATAGGGAGCCATCCCTTGACCGCACCCGGGCATCGATTAGCCTCCCATTATATCTGTACCATATGGAGATTCCCCCGGTACAGCTATTGAAGGCTTCACGAACTACGTGGTCAAAATAGATGTTAAATAATGTGGGAGCCAGAGGACATCCCTGTCGCACCCCAAGGTGTACAGGGAATGGCTCTGACTCCCGGCCACGTAGTTTTACCCGGGCCCGCTCACCATCATGAAGGTCCTTAATGATCGTGAGCAGAGGGTCAGGTACTCCAAAAGCACGAAGAACAACCCAGAGCCCAGGCCTACTGATGGTATCATAGGCCTTGACCAGGTCAATAAAGCAGAGATGTAGGTCTTGTTGGAATTCCCTACACCTCTGCTGTAGCAGACGGACAGAAAATATGGCATCTGTGCAGGACCGCCCTTTCCTGAAACCGCATTGGGGCTCCGCAAGCCTCTCCTCAGCGTGCCTGGCAAGACGATGCTGAATAATCCTTGCCAGGACCTTTCCCGGCACACTGAGGAGTGAGATGCCCCTGTAGTTGTTACAGTCTGTGCGGTCCCCCTTCTTAAAGAGGGGGACCACCAGGGCATCCTTCCAATCCTGCGGAACCCGTCCAGTGGTCCAGACTGTTGTTATGATGTCATATAGGGCAGTCTGTGCACAAACGCCACCCTCCCTCAGCATTTCGCTTGGGAGATCATCTCTGCCCGCTGCCTTTCCTGGTCTCAGACTCCGGATCGCCTTCAATACTTCCTCAGCATATGGCACCTCAGCCAGCCACTCACAGGGGGTGACTTCATCCAATATTTGAGGCACCGCAGCCTCAGCAGGGTCATCCTCACTTTGTGCCACGATGTTTTCCTGGCTGAGGGATTTTCCCTCCCCCAGGACCTCACAGAAATGCTCAGCAAATCTGCGAACCTGTTCCTGGGGGTCGGAAATTAAATCACCGTTTTTTCCCCTAATGATGGTAATAGGTGTGGTGCTGCAGGTTACTTTTTTGATGGAGTTAAATAGAGATTTGTGATCACGGGCCACTGAGGCAGACTCCATCTCCTCAGCAACCCGCGACCACCACCCATCCTTGCAGCGCCTCACGGCTCTCCGAACCTCCGAGCGAAGGCTGCGGTAAGCCTCCTCATTCTCTGACGTGGGATTCTGTAGCCGATGACAGTGGGCCTGTCGCTTTTTCTCAACCATCCTGAACAACTCCTCTGTCAGCCAGGGTGTCTGGGGAGGTCTGGACCGCGTACCCAAAGCAGCCATTGCAGCTGCATGAGTCACAGTCCTAAACCTCGCCCATTTACCCTCGACATCAGGAGGAGTCGGGGACGATGCCAATCCCAGCCGCAAGCGATGATGAAATTCTCGCTTGCAACTTTCATCAGATAACTGAGACCAGGCCACTTTAGGTTGGAATGGGGTCCTGGGTGTACACCCACCACCGGAGTGGAAGAATGGGCTCGCATTCGCTGGTCCGTCACTATGTAGTCCAGCAGATGTTCTTGCTTGGACCCGGCATGCATCCATGATGTTGTGTGGATGCGCCGATGCCGGAACAGCGTGTTGGTAATTACAAGCCCATGGGCTGCACAAAAATCTAGCAGCCTCCTACCGTTGTTATTGAGCTGATCTGGCCCATGCCCTCCAATCACTCCAGACCAGGTGCCAGTATCATGACCAACTCGGGCATTGAAGTCACCCAACATGATGACTCTATCCCGAGGGGCCACTTTAGCCAGCACCTGTGAAAGGAGGTCATAGAAGGCATCTGACTCATCGGCTTTGCCTGCATCCCTCCACGGATGTTCATCTTCGGTGGGGGCATAAGTAACCACGACCACCATTCCTCGCCTCCGGTTGATGGGAAGGCGAGCCCAAAGTAGCCTGGGGCTTACAGCTTCCCACACCTCACCGCCACGCTCCCACGCCCCCTTCATTCTTTTGTTCAAAAGAAGACCCACACCCTGTTGTTTGGCAGTCTGCTGCCCCGAGTAGAGGACTGTCCACCCCTCATGGTGGCAGGAGCCAGAGCCGGTCCACTGGACCTCCTGAATGCCGCATAGATACAGGCGGTACCGGTCCAGCTCCCGACAGAGGAGTGGCAGCCTCTCCTCTGCAGTGAGCGTTCGAACATTCCACGTGGCCACCCGTAGTGGCTTTTCGTTGTTTCTGGAGTAGCCCCGAGGGTAGGTATTCAATCTCCTGGCTCCGCCAATTGGGGTTTGGCCAGGAGACGTCATAGACGCCTGGCCCCCCGGGGCCTCCGGCACAAGCTTAGTTGTTACATATTTCAGTTTAATTCGTGGTTTCGTGGTAATTAATTGAAGGTGAAGGGGTTACCAGCCCCTCGCACCCGTCCAGAGCCCCCGTTTAGCCCCTGTGGTGGACACATATGCCATGAGGGGAGGAGCCAATCAAAATTGGATCTCCCCCCACAGCGCTGTCCACGACAGAGTTGCCCGTCCGGCACCGCGAGGAGGTAGGGGGTTGTTTTGCCGGAGACACACACACACACAGACACACACACACACACAGACACACACAGACACACACACACACAGACACACACAGACACACACACAGACACACACACACAGGAACACACATACATACACACATACACAGACACACACACAGACACACCCACACAGACACACACACGCAGACACACAGACACACACACACAGGAACACACACACAGACACACACACACACAGACACACACAGGCACACACACACAAAGATAAAGACAAGGATCCCCCATATAGCCTTAACAGACTGTAGGGGCAAATGCTGTTAGCGAGCAGCACCTATGAAGGCAGGCACGGCACACGAGGGGGTGGGTGACCAGCACCACGCCCGGCCGCCTTTGTCTCCCCAGTGGCGATGTTCACTACACACCGCTACACCAGGTACTCATTTGAGGCTGAGTCGACCTAGGGGAGGCCCAGAAACGACTCAGATAATCGTCACTGGTGTTGGTGGCTGTGAACGGGAATCGAACTCAGGTCGCCGGGTTCGTAGCACAGCACACTGCTCCTGCTGCTACTCTTGCTACTACAACTACTGCTACTACTCCTGCTGCTGCTACTACAACTACTGCTGCTACTACTGCTGCTACTCCTGCTGCTGCTACTACAATTACTGCTGCTACTACTGCTACTACTACTGCTACTACTACAACTACTGGTGCAACTACTGCTGCTACTCCTGCTGCTGCTACTACAGCTACTGCTACTACAACTACTGCTACTACAACTACTGCTACTACTACTGCTGCTACTACTGCTGCTGCTACTGCAGCTACTGCTACTACTGCTGCTACTCCTGCTGCTGCTACTACAACTACTGCTGCTACTCCTGCTGTTGCTACTACAACTACTGCTACTACAACTACTGCTACTACTACTGCTGCTACTACAACTACTACTGCTGCTACTACTGCTGCTACTCCAACTACTGCTACTACAACTACTGCTGCTACTACTGCTGCTACTCCTGCTGCTGCTACTACAACTACTGCTACTACGACTACTGCTACTACAACTACTGCTACTACTGCTGGTACTCCTACTACTGCTACTACTACAACTACTGCTGCTACTGCTACTACTGCTGCTACTACTACAACTACTGCTACAACTAAAACTACTGCTGCTACTACGACTACTGCTGCTACTACTACTACTGCTGCTGCTACTACTACTGCTGCTACTACTACTACTGCTGCTGCTACTACTACTGCTGCTACTACTACTACTGCTGCTACTACTGCTGCTACAACTACTGCTACTACTGCTACTACTACAACAACTACTGCTACTACTGCTACTACTACAACTACTGCTGCTGCTACTGCTACTCCAACTACGACTACTGCTACTACTACAACTACTGCTGCTACTACTGCTGCTACTCCTGCTGCTGCTACAACTACTGCTACTACTACTGCTGCTACTCCTGCTGCTACTACTACAACTACTGCTGCTACTCCTGCTGTTGCTACTACAACTACTGCTACTACAACTACTGCTACTACTACTGCTGCTACTACTGCTACTACAACTACTACTACTACAACTACTGCTGCTACTACTGCTGCTACTCCTGCTGCTGCTACTACAACTACTGCTACTACAACTACTGCTGCTACTACTGCTGCTACTCCTGCTGCTGCTACTACAACTACTGATACTACGACTACTGCTACTACAACTACTGCTACTACTGCTACTACTGCTGGTACTCCTACTACTGCTACTACAACTACTGCTGCTACTGCTACTACTGCTGCTACTACAACTACTGCTACAACTAAAACTACTGCTGCTACTACGACTACTGCTGCTACTACTACTGCTGCTGCTACTACTGCTACTACTACTACTACTGTTGCTACTGCTACTACTACAACTGCTGCTACTGCTGCTACTCCTGCTGCTACAACTACTGCTACTACTACAACAACTACTGCTACTACTACAACTACAGCTGCTGCTACTGCTACTCCAACTACTGCTACTACGACTACTGCTACTACTACAACTACTGCTGCTACTACTGCTGCTACTCCTGCTGCTGCTACTACAACTACTGCTACTAATACTGCTGCTACTCCTGCTGCTACTACTACAACTACTGCTGCTACTACTGCTGCTACTCCTGCTGCTGCTACTACAACTACTGCTACTACTGCTGCTACTCCTGCTGCTGCTACTACTGCTACTACTGCTACTACAACTACTGCTACTACTGCTACTACTGCTGCTACTACAACTGCTGCTACTACTACTGGGGCTACTACTACTGCTGCTGCTGCTACTGCTGCTGCTGCTGCTACAGCTGCTACTACTGCTACTACAACTGCTGCTACTACTACAACTGCTGCTACTGCTACAACTACTACCGATGCTACTACTACTACCGATGCTGCTGCTGCTGCCACCACCACACCTGAGTGTGTGTCCGTGATCCTCCAGGTAGACGCCGTAGTCTTTGGAGATCTGGTGCGTCAGGTCAGACAGCAGTGGGATTTTGAGCGGGCCCAGGCCTCCCTGTTTCCTGGGCGTGTTGATCCTTCGGGGAAAGAGGAGCCGAGGGAGTGCAGTACAACGGCCGAGCGGTCACCCCGGGCGGTCAAGCGCACGTTGACAGAAGCGGTGTGTTGAACCGCGTTTGATGCCCAAGGCGCTTCAAACAAAAACATGTTTTAATGCTTCTGAGAATTTGCAATCGACGCCACGAGGAATGTGTCTCCTCCGGGCTCCAGAGACGGCGAATGGGCGGGAGAGACTCAACGACGCTTTGAAGCTATTAACGTTACATTTGTTATATTCTTGGTTCTTTCGGTAAAGTCACCACGTAGAAGGGAAACAATAAAATAATTTAAAAAATATATAAAACATATTCTTAGCTCTTTCGGTAAAGTCACGTTGAAGAGAAACAATAAAATATATATAAAACAATAAAAATTCTCACGACGTTTACCGAAAGAGCTAAGAATATGAATTACTGCAGTCACGAAAGCTTTAAATCAAAATATAACAACAATTAAATTCTCACGACATTTCGACTGCAACATGAGCAATCGTCATCAGGTGTGAAAACCACAGCAAGAACATTTGAAAAAAGTGGTGGGTTTTTTTAACGTTAGCACCACGGAGAGCGATTTTGGCAGTTTGTTCAGATGGACGAGTCCATCTATGTTCGGAAAAGAGGAGGGGGGAGACGAAAATAATGGATGCGGTCTGAAAGCCACCGTAAGCGTGAGCAATCAATTAAGACCTGAAATGGTTTATCAAATCCTTCCAATGATTGCTAAGCCAGAATTCATCTTCTCGGTTGAAATTGTCTCTGTGCTTGTATATGTGGATAGCCTCATGAACGAATCTCTCATGGTAGCCAGATGTCTTACAAAGAACCTCTGTGTTGGAAAAGTCAATGTCATGTGAGCCTACTGAATTATAACAGTGATCTTCCACGGCCGAGGTGTTGGTCCTACCGTGTTTAAGGTCTGCTTTGTGTTCACGAATGCGGTCCGAGACATGTCGTTTGGTTTCTCCAATGTAACTACTACCACAGAGGCAACTTAGTTTGTAGACACCAGGGTACTGTATGTCCGGAATCACATCAATTAAGACCCGAAATGGTTTATCAAATCCTTCCAATGATTGCTAAGCCAGAATCCATCTTCTCGATTGAAATTGTCTCTGTGTTTGTATATGTGGATAGCCTCGTGAACATTCGTTATTGTGTCACGATGCAGTCGTATAGTTGTCCGTTCTTTCCCCATTAAAAACGATAGTCCCATGTGAGTGTTAAAGTTTGTTGTGAAGCACCCTGTACATCACGTGGATAGAAACAATAATAAAATAAAACACGACGTTTGGGTCGCAACACAAGCGTCCGTCTTCAGGTGAGAAAAATGATCTGCTGTTAGTTTTTCAGTTTCAGTTTCATTTGAGGATTTAGCCTGTGAGCCATTCGGCTCTTGATGTGGGTTCAACCGCAACAAACAATGAAATTACAAGATACACATAAAATTCATTGTACACAAATCTAAACATCACCACGTACGTAAACAATAAAATCCGACAGCAAAAGCACCACCCGTCCATGCTGCGTACAAAAAGTGCAAAAAATTCCATTTCGATGTTTGATCAAGAATAACAATCATAATACAATACAGATCAAAATTTTAAGTATAAATCTATCAATTTTGATTTAAAGCTTGCGTGACTGCAGGGATTCATATTCTTGGTTCTTTCGGTAAAGTCACCACGTAGAAGGGAAACAATAAAATAATAAAAATATAAAACAATAAAATTCTCACGGGACTTTACCGAAAGAACCAAGACTATAAATCTATACTAAATATATAGGCACGGGAGGGGGGGTGGGAAGGGGGGGGGAGGAGTTTGGCTGTAGGAGTTCACAGGGGAGAGGGGCGGAGGGTTTGTGGGGTGCAGGGACGGATGGAGGCTGGCACATCGCATGTACATTCAAATGTGCGTTCTGCATCACGGACGTGTGCACGTGTAGAAACGACTTTGACGCAACTGTCCTGGGAAGTATACATATTCTTGGTTCTTTCGGTAAAGTCACGTAGAAGGGCAACAATAAAATAATAAAAACATAAAACAATAAAATTCTCACGACGTTTTGACTGCAACACAAGCAATCATCATCAGGTGTGAAAACCACAGCAAGAAAATTTGAAAAAAGTGGCGTTATTTTTTTAACGTTAGCACCACGGAGAGCGATTTGGCAGTTATTCAGATGGACGAGTCCATCTATGTTCGGAAAAGAGGAGGGGGGAGATGAAAATAACGGATGAAAAAAAAAACGCCACTTTTTTCAAATTTTCTTGCTGTGGTTTTCACACCTGATGATGATTGCTTGTGTTGCAGTCGAAACGTCGTGAGAATTTTATTGTTTTATATTTTTATTATTTTATTGTTTCCCTTCTACGTGGTGGCTTTACCGAAAGAACCAATAATATGAATTCCTGCAGTCACGAAAGCTTATAATCAAAATTTGTCCTGGGAAGGTTTTCTTTATTAAGGTGCCACGCCGTGCCGGATGAAGCTAGTGTGGGGCCTCTAGCATGATGTTATAAAGGGGCCCTAAATAAAAAAGAAAACCACATAAATACTAAAACACAAATGTTTTACTTGCACAATAAAGTAATTGTACTTTTTCATTTGCTATACAGCTGGATAATACGACAATTCGCTAACCTTAAACACCCAGTCGTTCGTAAAAGCTGAAGGCGGTGTAGTACTATAGTAATAGAGCAAGTGCAGAATCACTGAACCGGAATTGATAGCTTGAAAGCATTTAGCGCGGGGCCCTTGAAAGTGCGGGGCCCGTAGTATTTGCTACATTTTCTACTAGGATAATCTGGCACTGGAGCCACGTTTTCACACTGACAGGTGGAGACCCCCACTGCAACAGCCCCAAGTATCTCACGCAACTCCCTTATATAGCGATGGATGTCACGCCCCCATTCCCGAACCTTCTCGCTGGCTCTAGACCGCTCGCTCTGCCGGCAGACTCCACCATCCTCTTCCGTCACCTGGCCAACGCTCCCTTCTCGATCATTCTCGTAGCCACCAGTCCATTCGCACTGCAGGCTGACTCCCCTGCCATTACCTCTCGTAGCCACTAGTCCACTCGCACTGCAGGCTGACTCCCCTGTCATTACCTCTCGTGGCCACCAGTCCACTCACACTGCAGGCTGACTCCCCTGTCATTACCTCTCGTGGCCACCAGTCCACTCACACTGCAGGCTGACTCCCCTGTCATTACCTCCCGTGGCCACCAGTCCACTCGCACTGGAGGCTGACTCCCCCTGTCATTACCTCCCGTGGCCACCAGTCCACTCGCACTGGAGGCTGACTCCCCTGTCATTACCTCCCGTGGCCACCAGTCCACTCACACTGCAGGCTGACTCCCCTGTCATTACCTCCTGTGGCCACCAGTCCATTCGCACTGCAGGCTGACTCCCCTGTCATTACCTCTCGTAGCCACTAGTCCACTCGCACTGCAGGCTGACTCCCCTGTCAGTACCTCTCGTAGCCACTAGTCCACTCGCACTGCAGGCTGACTCCCCTGTCATTACCTCTCATGGCCACCAGTCCACTCACACTGCAGGCTGACTACCCTGTCATTACCTCTCGTAGCCACTAGTCCACTCGCACTGCAGGCTGACTCCCCTGTCATTACCTCTCGTGGCCACCAGTCCACTCACACTGCAGGCTGACTCCCCTGTCATTATCTCCCGTGGCCACCAGTCCACTCGCACTGGAGGCTGACTCCCCTGTCATTACCTCTCGTGGCCACCAGTCCACTCACACTGCAGGCTGACTCCCCTGTCCTTACCTCCCGTGGCCACTAGTCCATTCACACTGCAGGCTGACTCCCACAACAACACTAAACAACAACAATGAGCAGTTCTAAAGAAACGAGTTTGTCGGTCCCGGTGATGATTTAATAGCAGACGCCGTGCGGCGATGTCCGCGACGCTGTGATTGGTCCGTACCAGGCGAGGTGCGTGAACTGAGAGTCCACGGACGCCGCCACCACCTCGGTGCCGATGGCGCGGAACTCCTCCACGCGGTCGCTGAACGCGATGATCTCAGTGGGGCAGACGAACGTGCTGCAAGCACGGGGAGGAGGAGGAGGGAGACACGGTGGGGAGGAGGGAGACACGGTGGGGAGGAGGGAGACACAGTGGGGAGGGAGACACGGGGAGGAGGGAGACACGGTGGGGAGGAGGGAGACACGGTGGGGAGGAGGGAGACACAGTGGGGAGGGAGACACGGGGAGGAGGGAGACATGGTGGGGAGGAGGGAGACACGTGGGGAGGAAGGAGACACGGGGGGGAGGAAGGAGACACGGGGGGGGGAGGAAGGAGACATGGGGGGGAGGAGACACGTGGGGAGGAGGGAGACACGGTAGAAGGGAGACATGGGGGGGAGACACGGGGGGAGAGAGACACGGGGTGGGAGGGAGACACGGGGGGAGGGAGACACGGTGGGGTGGGGGAGTAGAAGTGAAACAAGATTAATATCTTCAGCACAACCAGGAGCCCTTTTTGCCCCGGGATTGTGCGTGCGGTGAGGGTGTTGGTAGTAGGTGGTGCTAGTGGGTGGTGGTGGTAGTTGTGGTAGTGGGTGGTGGTAGTGGGTGGTGGTGGGTGGTAGTGGGTGGTGGTGGGTTGTAGTGGGTGGTAGTGGGTGGTAGTGGGTGGTGGTAGTGGTGGTAGTGGGTGGTGGTAGTGGGTGGTGGTGTTAGTGGGTGGTGGTAGTGGGTGGTGGTAGTGGTGGTAGTGGGTGGTGGTAGTGGGTAGTGGTAGTGGGTGGTAGTGGGTGGTGGTAATGGGTGGTGATAGTGGGTGGTGATAGTGGGTGGTGGTAGTGGGTGGTGGTGTTAGTGGGTGGTGGTAGTGGGTGGTGGTGTTAGTGGGTGGTGGTAGTGGGTGGTGGTAGTGGGTGGTGGTGGTAGTGGGTGGTGGTGTTAGTGGGTGGTAGTAGTGGGTGGTAGTAGGTGGTGGTAGTGGGTGGTGGTGGTAGTGGGTGGTGGTAGTGGGTGGTGGTGTTAGTGGGTGGTGGTAGTAGGTGGTGGTGGTAGTGGGTGGTGGTAGTGGGTGGTGGTAGTGGGTGGTGCGAGTGGTGGTGGTGGCAGTGGGTGGCAGTGGGTGGTGGTAGTGGGTGTTAGTGGGTGGTAGTAGTGGGTGGTAGTGGGTGGTGGTAGTGGGTGGTAGTGGGTGGTGGTGGCAGTAGGTGGTGGTAGTGGGTGGTGGTGGATGGTGGTAGTAGGTGGTGGTAGTGGGTGGTGGTAGTGGGTGGTGGTAGTGGGTGGTAGTAGGTGGTGTTAGTGGCTGGTAGTGGGTGGTGGTGGCAGTAGGTGGTGGTAGTGGGTGGTGGTAGTGGGTGGTGGTAGTGGGTGGTAGTAGGTGGTGGTAGTGGGTGGTGGTAGTGGGTGGTGGTGGTAGTGGGTGGTAGTGGGTGGTAGTAGGTGGTGGTAGTGGGTGGTGGTAGTGGGTGGTGGTAGTGGGTGGTGGTAGTGGGTGGTGGTGGTGGTAGTGGGTGGTGGTAGTGGGTGGTGCGAGTGGGTGGTGGTGGCAGTGGGTGGCAGTGGGTGGTGGTAGTGGGTGTTAGTGGGTGGTAGTAGTGGGTGGTAGTGGGTGGTGGTAGTGGGTGGTAGTGGCAGTAGGTGGTGGTAGTGGGTGGTGGTGGATGGTGGTAGTGGGTGGTGGTAGTGGGTGGTGGTAGTGGGTGGTAGTAGGTGGTGTTAGTGGCTGGTAGTGGGTGGTGGTGGCAGTAGGTGGTGGTAGTGGGTGGTGGTAGTGGGTGGTGGTAGTGGGTGGTAGTAGGTGGTGTTAGTGGCTGGTAGTGGGTGGTGGTGGTAGTGGGTGGTGGTAGTGGGTGGTGGTAGTGGGTGGTAGTGGGTGGTGGTAGTGGGTGGTGGTAGTGGGTGGTGGTAGTGGTGGTAGTGGGTGGTAGTAGGTGGTGGTAGTGGGTGGTGGTAGTGGGTGGTGGTAGTGGGTGGTGGTAGTGGGTGGTGGTGGTGGTAGTGGGTGGTGGTAGTGGGTGGTGGTAGTGGGTGGTAGTAGGTGGTGGTAGTGGGTGGTGGTAGTGGGTGGTGGTGGGTGGTGGTGGGTGGTGGTGGTAGTGGTGGTAGTGGGTGGTGGTAGTGGTGGTAGTGGGTGGTAGTAGTGGGTGGTGGTAGTGAGTGGTAGTAGTGGGTGTTAGTGGCTGGTGGTGGTAGTGGGTGGTAGTGGGTGGTGGTAGTGGTGGTAGTGGGTGGTAGTGCGTGGTAGTAGTGGGTGGTGGTAGTGGGTGGTAGTAGTGGGTGGTGTTAGTGGCTGGTGGTGGTAGTGGGTGTTAGTGGGTGGTAGTAGGTGGTGGTAGTGGGTGGTGGTAGTGGCTGGTGGTGGCAGTGGGTGGTAGTGGGTGGTAGTAGGTGGTGGTAGTGGGTGGTGTTAGTGGCTGGTGGTGGCAGTGGGTGGTAGTGGGTGGTAGTAGGTGGTGGTAGTGGGTGGTGTTAGTGGCTGGTGGTGGCAGTGGGTGGTAGTGGGTGGTAGTAGGTGGTGGTAGTGGGTGGTGTTAGTGGCTGGTGGTGGTAGTGGGTGTTAGTGGGTGGTAGTAGGTGGTGGTAGTGGGTGGTGGTAGTGGCTGGTGGTGGCAGTGGGTGGCGGTCTCACAAGTCGAGGGGGTAGAAGAAGAACACGAGGTATTTGCCGCGGTACTCTGAGAGTTTGAGGTCACGGAAGGCGCCGTCCACCACGGCCGTGCCCTCCCAGTGCGGGGCCGGCTTGGAGACTGCGGGCGGCACGGGGTCACGGCACGGGGTCACGGCACGGGGTCACGGTCACACGGTGATGTCACGGCACAGGGGTCACGACTCGTGGTGCCCCGTGAACGTTGTGCCCACCGCAGCGCGAACAGCGCCGAACGCAAAGCGACCACGAGAGAACCGCCGCCATCGCCGCCATCGTCGCCGTAGCAGCTGAGAACCACGCAGGATGTTTCACCTCAGCCGTGGGAAGCTCAGCGGCTGCGTCAATAAAAGTCAACGGCTCCTCGGACCACCGCCACCTCCCCCACCCTCTCCTACCCCCTCCACCACTGCCACCTCCTCCCACACCCCTACCATCTCCACCACCGCCACCACCGCCACCTCCACCACCACCACCTCCACCACCACCACCTCCTCCTCCTACACCCCTACCACCTCCACCACTGCCACCTCCTCCACCCCCTCCTACCACCTCCACCACCGCCTCCTCCTACACCCCTACCACCTCCACCACCCCCTCCTACACCCTCCACCACTGCCACCTCCTCCACCCCTACCACCTCCTCCTCCACCTCCTCCTCCACCCCTACCACCTCCTCCTACACCCCTACCACCTCCTCCACCCCTACCACCTCATCTACCCCTACCACCTCCTCCACCCCCACCACCTCCACCCCTACCACCTCCTCCTCCACCTCCTCCTCCACCCCTACCATCTCCTCCACCCCTACCACCTCCACCACCTCCTCCACCCCTACCACCTCCACCGCCACCACCTCCTCCTCCACCCCTACCACCTCCACCACCTCCTTCTCCACCCCCTCCTACCCCCTCCACCACAACCTCCTCCTACACCCCTACCACCTCCTCCACCCCTACCACCTCCACCCCTACCACCTCCACCCCTACCACCTCCACCCCTACCACCTCCACCCCTACCACCTTCACCCCTACCACCTCCACCCCTACCACCTCCTCCACCATCTCAGTCAGTCGACCCGTGGCACTTGCTGGGTCTGTCCCGTGACCTCGTGCACCTAGCCTGGCACAGCAGGGGGGGTACAGCTGGTGGTGGTGCATCCGCCGGTCATCTCAGTCGACCCGTGGCACCTGCTGGGTCTGTCACGTGGCCTCGTGTCAGTGAGCCTTCGACACTTCACGTGTTAGAGAGTAAACCCACAACATGACCTATACAGGTAATGCATTACCTATACATGTAATGCATTACCTATACATGTAATGCATTACATTTACAGGTAATGCATTACCTATACATGTATACATGCATTACCTATGCATGTATAGGTAATGCATTACCTATACATGTAATGCATTACATGTATAGGTAATGCATTACATGTACATTAGATGTACAGGTAATGCATTACATGTACAGGTAATGCATTAGATGTATAGGTAATGCATTACCTATACATGTAATGCATTACATGTATAGGTAATGCATTACATGTACGTGTAATGCATTACATGTACAGGCAAGTAATGTAGTGGGTATACGATCTCAAATCTCACCAAAGCAAATCATCTCAACCCGCAACATCATCCAAGTCAGTGCATCGATGCATCAGCCACTCGCGCAGACGAACTCGGCGCGACAACTCACGGAGTCGCCCCGTAACTATCAGCTTGCTCGTTAAACCGCGAAATTGCAAGAGGTTAAATTCGAGGCCTGGTTTCTCCCCCCCCCCCCCCCCCCGGGTCTTGCCTGCGCAGCTCTACCGGGTAGGGCGCGCCTCGCCCGGCAGGGTCTGCGCGCGTGAGGGGGTGCGCGGTGGGTGTCTCACTTTTCGCCTTGCTCAGGTGCAGCGAATGATCCGACACGGCAGCCCTGACCGCCTCGCCCGGGTAGACGTGCCCGCCCGCGATGTAGTGGCACTCGCGCTGCTTCTCCTCGGCGCGGCTTGTCGAACAGAGGCCCAGCAGCAGCAGCGGCAGCAGCAGCAGCGAGAGACGCGCCATTGCCGTCCCCCACACTCCCCAACACAACAGCGAGTGAGATACGTGTCACCAGCGATTCCGATTCGACGTCCCGCGTAATTGCGATGCGATTCCCCGGAGTCGATTTGCGTTGCGTCCAACGGGGGTGGGGGGGGGTGGTTGGGAATCGCGGCGTGCTGTTTGTGGGGGTATCGGATCGTTGCGGCGAGTGGGGAGCGGTGGCGTTGCGGTTAGCGCAGCTCCACGAACCCGACCCATCCGTGTGTGTCACCGTGTGTGTGTGACCTGCAGCGCCACACGCCCACACCTATTACCATAATTAGGGGAAAGAACGGTGATCCAATCTCCGACCCCCAGGAACAGTTTTGCAGATTTGCTGAGCATTTCTGTGAGGTCCTGGGGAGTGGGAATCCTTCAGCCAGGAAAACATCGTGGCACAAAGTGAGGATGACCCTGCTGAGGCTGCGGTGCCTCAAATATTGGAAGTAGAAGTCACCCCCTGTGCGTGGCTGGCTGAGGTGCCATCTGTTGAGGAAGTACTGAAGGCGAGTCTGAGACCAGGAAAGGCACCAGACAGAGATGATCTCCCAAGCGAAATGCTGAGGGAGGGTGGCGTTTGTGCACAGACTGCCCTATATGACATCATAACAACAGTCTGGACCACTGGACGGGTTCCGCAGGATTGGAAGGATGTCCTGGTGGTCCCCCTCTTTAAGAAGGGAGACCGCACAGACTGTAACAACTACAGGGGCATCTCACTCCTCAGTGTGCCGGGAAAGGTCCTGGCAAGGATTATTCAACATCGCCTTGCCAGGCACGCTGAGGAGAGGCTTGCGGAGCCCCAATGCGGTTTCAGGAACGGGCGGTCCTGCACAGATGCCATATTTTCTGTCTGTCTGCTACAGCAGAGGTGTAGGGAATTCCAGCAAGACCTACATCTCTGCTTTATTAACCTGGTCAAGGCCTATAATACCATCAGTAGGCCTGGGCTCTGGGTTGTTCTTCGTGATTTCGGAGTCCCTGACCCTCTGCTCACGCTCATTAAGGACCTTCATGATGGTGAGCGGGCCCGGGTAAAACTACGTGGCCGGTAGTCAGAGCCATTCCATGTACACCTTGGGGTGCGACAGGGATGTCCTCTGGCTCCAACATTAACATCTATTTCGACCACGTAGTTCGTGAAGCCTTCAGTAGCTGTACCGGGGGAATCTCCATTTGGTACAAATACAATGGTAGACTGATCGATGCCCGGGTGCGGTCAAGGGATGGCTCCCTATTGGTCAACCACGTTATGTATGCTGATGATTTGGTAATAGCTGCTCATCCGCAGGATTCAGACGAGAGGTGGGGCCTTACCATCAGCCCCACCAAAACGAAGCACCTGCCTGGGTATTTTGTACCATCGGACACTCCACCCCCACAACTCCCAATCGGTGATGGGGCAGTTGTGGAGAGAGCGGAGAGTTTCCCATACCTGGGCAGTGTGCTCATGACCGGCACCAGTTTAACAGCAGAGGTCTCACTCCGAATCAGTCGAGCGGCAATATCTTTTCATCGGTTGCGTAACGCTGTGTGGAAGCTACCTGGTCTGTTGCTCAGCACGGAGCTTCGGGTCTACTCGGCCACAGTCATTCCCTCCCTTCACTACGCTTGCGAAACGTGGACCCCCCTAATGGAACATCTCCGCCGGTTAGAAACATTTAGGCTAGCCTGCCTACGATCAATCCTGGGTTTAACCAGACTGGATTGTGTGAGGAGCTCACAAATCCTTGAAAGATCTGGGCAGGGTCCCATCGGTGAGCTCCTCCGGCAGGCAAGGCTGCGATGGCTGGGTCATGTAGCCCGCATGCCCAGCCACCGCACGCCGAAACAGCTTTTGTTTGGCCGGATTGAGGGGGCTAAGCGGGCGCGGCACGGGCTAGAGAAGAGATGGAGTGATGTGGTACAGGAGGACGTGGAGCTGAGTGGACTTGCCGATGACTGGTACCAGCGGTGTCAAGATCGGCCTCTGTGGAGGAGGCTCGTGAAGGATGCTACTGGGCAGTTGGAGGCAGTCGCCCTCCAACAACAACGGAGGGCGGAGGAGCGACGCTCACAACAGCGAGCGGAGCGCCGGGTGGCTAAAGCACAGCAGGTTGGCACAGTAGGGGGCACAGGTGGTGCATCAGCCAGTCATCTCAGTCAGTCGACCCGTGGCACCTGGGTCTGCCCCGTGACCTCCTGCCAGCGGGCGTTCGACACTTCACGTGGCCTCAGGGTGCACATAGCCTGGCACAAGCGTCGTGGTGACGTCACCGCCACTTAGTGGCGAATGGCGGTTGTTGTTGTTGTTGTGTATCACCGTGTGTGTGTGGGGAGAGCGGTAATGTAGCGGTCGATTCCCGCTTTGTGTGTTCACAGGCTGCTCGCTAACAGCACTTGCCTCACCAGCCTGTTGCAGGCTCCACGGGGGATCTTTGTCTTTATCTTTGTTTGTGGGGACCGGTGGCTTCAGGTTAAGAGGCAGAACTCGACACGGCCATTTATGTCAGAATGTCAGAAAGTCGCGTGCATTTGGAGAGAATCTGCTGAGCTAAAAAGCTCTTGCTGGAGTAACAAAAACAGTCATTAGGAAATGGGCTCTTTCTCGTCAGTATTAATATATAATAGGTCTCACCCTTTCTGGCAATACAACAGACGTTGTGTTCAGATGCTAAGACCCCAAACACAAACCTTTTGCCAGGAATGATTTTACTGCATTCACCACACACACGGTTCTTGTGGTGAACATGCAAACAACACGCTCTGGTCGTTCATGATGATGATGCTGCTGCATTGAGACGAGGCTCAAAAGAAAGCTGTCTCTGGTGTGGACCAATCAGTTTCAAAGACAATGCATCATCATACGAAATTTCGATTTAAAGCTTTCGTGACTGCAGGGATTCATCTTCTTGGGTCTTTCGGTAAAGTCACCACGTAGAATGGAAATAAAACAATAAAAAATAAAACATAAAAAATATATTGTTTAATTTTTTATTTATATTACATAAATATCCAAATGGCCCTTGGCAGAAAAATAAAACAATAAAATTAAAAAGATTGTTTTATTTTTATTATTTTATTTCCATTCTACGTGACTTTACCGAAAGAACAAAGACAATGCATCATCATACTATCAGAGTGTGGTTTTTGTTTGCATTCTGACCACGAGTATTGTGGTCAACGCGGACACGATTCCTCGTAAAAAGGTTTCAGTTTGGTGTTTTAACATCTCAACGCGGCTGTTTTGTTGCCAGAAAAAAGGGGAAACCTCTCGTTATGTTTTGGTACTGGCAAAGGAGGCCCCATGATGATGATGCATCGTCTTTGAAACCGATTGGTCCACACTCGAGACAGCTTTCTTTAAAGCCTCGTCTCAAAGAGCGTGAGACCAGAAGACGCCAAAGGTCGAACACAGCACCAGGACAATGCCACTATCAGGAGAGCTCGCGGTGAGCAGCTACATCAGGGGTGGGGGAACGTCTGAGGCCCGCGGGCCGTATGAGGCCCGCGAAATCATTTGGTTTCTGGCCCTGCCAAGGCAAACGCAGGCGGGACTCGAAATTCAATAAATCTAGGTAGGAGCAAACCTGGAAAAGCAGTTGCGAGTAGCAACAACATCGTCAATAGCCAGCTAACATCATAAATACCAGCTAACATCATCAATACCAGCTAACATCATCAATACCATCTAACATCATCAATACCAGCTAACATCATCAACACCAGCTAACATCATCAATACCAGCTAACAATATCAATACCAGCTAACATCATCAATACCAGCTAACATCATCAATACCAGCTAACATCATCAACACCAGCTAACATCAATACCAGCTAACATCATAAATACCAGCTAACAATATCAATACCAGCTAACATCAATACCAGATAACATCATAAATACCAGCTAACAATATCAATACCAGCTAACATCATCAATACCAGCTAACAATATCAATACCAGCTAACATCATCAATACCAGCTAACATCATCAATACCAGCTAACATCATCAATACCAGCTAACATCAATACCAGCTAACATCATCAATACCAGCTAACAATATCAATACCACCTAACATCAACACCAGCTAACATCATCAATACCAGCTAACAATATCAATACCAGCTAACATCATCAATACCAGCTAACAATATCAATACCATATTCTTAGTTTTTTCGGTAAAGTCACGTTGAAGAGAAACAACAAAAGAACAAAATATATATATAAAACAATAAAAAATTCTCACGACGTTTCGACCATAATATATATTTTGTTCTTTTGTTGTTTCTCTTCAACGTGACTTTACCGAAAAAACTAAGAATATGAATTACTGCAGTCACGAAAGCTTTAAATCAAAATTTAATATCAATACCAGCTAACAATATCAATACCAGCTAACAATATCAATACCAGATAACATCAATACCAACTAACATCATCAATACCAGCTAACATCGTCAATAGCCAGCTAACATCATCACCACACGCCTCGCCAAAGAGATGCAGTTCCAGCCCATCGCATTAGGGGGCGCGTTAATGAAATGTTTGACCAAATATAACGGGCTAATTTTTAAGTTGATAATTTTTTTGTGGCCCGCGAATAACGTTACATAAATATCCAAATGGCCCTTGGCAGAAAAAAGTTTCCCCACCCCTGAGCTACATCATGGACCCCCCCTTGCCAGTATAGTACAATACTCGCTGTACTCCCCGGCTTCGCCCGGGACTTGGATTCACGACGCCCGGCCGCCTTTGTTTCCCCAATTGGCGATGTTCACACACCACAGCAGTTACTCGTTTGAGGCCGAGTCGACCTAGGGGAGGCCCAGGATCGGTTAAAATAATCGTCACTGGTGGTGGCCGTGAGCGGGAATCGAACTCGGGTCGCCGGGTTCGTAACGCGGCGCGCTAACCGCTACACGACAATGCGTTAGAGCTTCCACGTGCGCGGGTCACGTGACAGATTTGACGTCACAGCTAACTTGCCGTGCAAAAAATATCTGCATTGAGCTCGCCCCCCCCCCCCCCAAAAAAAAACAAAACTAAAAGTGTATTTTTATGTTTGCATGGTGTACAGTCTGGAAAGTACCCACATGGGAAATTTCAAATTTGTTGCATGTCGGGAAGTACGCTGAACATTTTGAACAAACATAATCACAACTTTGCCTTTTACTGGTAGGAACGAAGTTGTAAACTGAGTGTACCAGCCTGCAATAGATTAATGTGTCCGTCCGTCCCCTTTCAATACTTTAACGAAGTGAAATCTCGTGCTGTTGGGGTGTAAAATCAGCAATAGACAGCGCAGAGACTTGATGTCTTATTGCACCCAACATGTGCAAGTCACGTGATCTCATTTGCGAACTTCGCTTTTGGGGATGTGGCAAATTCACAGACAGCCCACAGCCGAATACCATTTGCGAGGCGAAGTTCGAAGGCACCGTGACGTTACTTTGCCAATGTTCCTACCAGCCCACCCTGCAGGGACCTGTTATATATACGGAGACAACACATCGCGGCATCTCGATGCGCACACAAGGCGCGCTGCTCCCCGCTGTCATCGGACGTGTGGCGGGCGCGAATTAAACCGCGAACAAAAAAAATAAACCACCCAGAGACTGAAGAACAGAGCGCACAGGTTCACAACGGATTCGCAATATGGAGGCTTTTAATATTTAAAAACAAAGTGGGCCATCGTCGTCGTACGAAGCGACTACAGAATTACACCCCCCCACCCATCACAACCCCAAACAGACGTCACATCACTGGCAGGTAAACAAAGAGAGGGGGGGGGGTCTCTTGGGGTAAGACGTGAAGGGTGCTCCCCCCCCCCCCCCCCCCCCGGCCACGGTGTCCGCTCTTGACAGGGCCTCGATGCGGCCGGGCTTCGCTCGGTGGCAATTTTGAAGTCGTTTTTGTTTTGTTATTCCGTTTCAAGCAGGTATTAGGGCCCCCCCCCCCACCGCGTCCGCTGAGCTGCTACGCGTACAGTCGAGCTCTTTTTCAGAAGCGACCTGCCTAGCACGAATGACAGCAGCCCGACCAAGTGGCTTCGCCATCCTCACTGCGTGGACATTGACGGCAGCGGACAAAACCTTCGGAACGCGTGGCGATGTCCATTCGAAACGTTGCTTGGGAAACACCGAGAGGGAGGGAACACGCAAACGCCAAGGATACGGCAGGCGGCAGGGTCGGCATTGAACCAACGACCTCCGGTCTACCAGAACGAGGCGGTGGACATCTCCTAGCCACCCGCGAACGACGGATGCATTGAGATCGTCGCTTTGAACAACAACAAGAATGGAACTGCAACTCGGAAAGAAGTTAACTTGGACGCGGGCGGCGACGACCGGGAAGGTGCCCTTGGAGCAGGACGACAAATTAGAAAAACTCACACAGACGCGCGTCGTTGTGACGCGCGTCGTTGTGACGCGGGGTGGTGATGGTGGCGGGCGCCATTTTGAATAAGAAAAAATGGCTGCCACGTGGTCGTAAAAATCGGAAACAGGAGCAGGCGGGATGGAGGCTGCCGCCTCAAACTCAACGGACAAACAAATTTCACCGCGATTTTGCGTCATTTTTTTTGTTGTCGGCGCTTCTCGGGCGGCAGGGGAAAAAAAATCCACGCAAAAAAACGGTTCCTCGGAGCTGGTCAATTAACTCGCGGCCGCCTCACCCACTCATTCGCTCACAAGAGGGTCAACCGGGCCCCACAGATGGTCAGGCAGGGAACGAAATCGCACAACCATCGGCCAAGATTCGCGGAGACCAAATGAACGTTCGACATCGATTTCATGCCCGTGCAATGTTTTAGACTTTCCGATGTTGGCACTGCTGTAGCGTTTTGCGCCAATTTCTATTTTGCTTCACTTCTGTGGTTTTAGTTTTATTTTTTTCTGCCATGGTTAAGTGCGGCGGACCTCGGTTCACTCTTGCAAATCGAGACTCGCGTTCTGGTCTCTCGAGCTCGGTGGTTAAGACACCGAGTTCCCGGAATATGACACTGCAATAAGCCGTCCAAATTTTTGTTTTAAAACCCCCCATCTTTTTCCGCTTACTCAACCGCAACAGTTCCCACGGGCACACGATTGTAACTGGTGACGTGGATGCTGATGAAAGAGACCGGTTGAGGTTGACACCTGAATAATGAACATTAACCGTATGTCGGCGAGAACCCTAAAACTGGTCGAGGAGTCTTCGGCGGTTTTCAATACGGACAAAACTCCAAAACGGGTCTCGGGAATTAGAATTTTCAGAGCAATATTTCTTCCCAAAGTCCCGGAGGTCAGGCGACGTCAAGAGACTAGTTCCAAAGGGCGTCAGACCGGGCATATCGGTGTAGATTAACGAAACCGATCCCCTGAGGATTGATTTAGTAACATTTGTTTAAACCTGGGCTAATGCGCACTAGTGTCAAGATATAACTTCGTATACCTCGTCGGAACTTGTAATTTCCTACAACTCAAATTAAAAGGTATCGCGGTGCAGAGAATGTAAAAAAATAACAAAAACACACTCGGCTCTTTCGTGGCCTATCACTAAACATCGATAACATTTGATTTGTAGTAACTGCAGCGGACTACCACCGTATCGCATGCCGTATCGTGAAGCAATCAAAGTCGATGGCCCAAACCTCAGCTAGTTCACTGCGAGTGGACTAACAACTTACACACAAGGTGAGCGGGTCACTTCCACTGCTCTGTCCCCACCGATGCCCACCGATACAAGCCAGCCGGACTCGGGGCTTTGCAAAGCATCCGAAAGTGGAAGCAGTTGGGGCGAGCGGGGGTTGGCAGACAGGTCGTCGCCGAAGACAACTTACCGGTGCCAGCGACAAGAGAGGGATTTATTACAGCGACCCAAACGATAATTTTCCCCGAACGGTTTTAATCGAACCTTCCACCACCCCCCCCAACCACCAGAATAAAACAAAGGACAATTACAATACCAACACGATAATATCAGTAAGACGTGAATCAAAGACAGACCCCCCCCCCCCCCCCACATCCACTCTCTCGACGACTGTACCCCAGGGGGTGTTAAGGTTCCACACACCGTAGCTCTCTGGAACTTCGTCCACTTAAAACGATGTGCGTGCGTATTTATTCCCCCCCCCCTCCCCACCCCCAGTGGCTTTCACTTTCCATTCGTACGTTCAATCTGTTCATCCTCGTGTGTGCAGCCATTTTTGGTACGTGTGCATATATATACACAACACACATCACGAGAGAAAGGGGAACTCGCAAATTAACGGATATATATAAAACAAAAAATAAACGCGTCCGAGCCACCGTGCCCGCCTTCAGCGCACCCCTCTCCATCTCTCTCTCCCGACGGCTCGGCCACTCCTCCTCACTGTGACTTTTCGTCTCGGCTTGACGATGATCGGGGGGTGGGGGGAAGGTCGGAGGCTGGGCAGACGCCGCAAGGGGGCGGCGGAGATCGTTGTGCCTATCGGAGATCCACTTCTGGCGCAGCCGATCGTCGCACGGCCGTCTCGTTCGCAACAACACCACCACCACAAATTAACGTCGGGAACATACTATTCACGCGCGCGCGCTTCCGTTTACGAGGCCATTACACTCGCAATTGACACCGGGTCTGGCTGGCCGTGGCTGGCATCCGTTGGAGACCTACCGCTAAACAAAGAGACCCCCCCCAACGCATTACCACTGTGTCTTAATGGCACACGCAGTAGGAGACCTCGCCGAGAGCGGCGGTGGTTTACTTTCGGGAGGCGGCGTACGAGCGCCAACGCTTCGAGGGGAACAGAGGGACTTACCACCCCCTTTTCCTCGCGCTTTCGCGGAGACCCCGAAAACAAAATCGTGGTCGACTGAAATCCTCGGCGCGCGCGGGCGAAACGGGCAGAGGTCTGTAAGGAGTAACTGCAACGTTGGGCACTCTGTAAGTTTATCACTCTGTGTAAGTCTGTCTAAGTCTATCAGTCTATCAGTCTGTGTAAGTCTGTGTTAGTCTGTGTAAGTCTGTAAGTCTGTGTTAGTCTGTGTAAGACTGTAAGACTTTCAGTCTGTCTAAGTCTGTGTAAGTCTGTAAGTCTGTGTAAGTCTGTGTAAGTCGATCAGACTGTGTAAGTCTGTGTAAGTCTGTAAGTCTGTGCAAGTCTATCAGTCTGTGTAAGTCTGTAAGTCTGTGTAAGTCTAAGTCTGTGTAAGTCTGTGTAAGTCTATCAGTCTGTGTAAGTCTGTGTAAGTCCGAGTAAGTCTATCAGTCTGTGCAAGTCCGTAAGTCTGTGTAAGTCTGTAAGTCTGTGTAAGTCTGTAAGTCTAAATCTGTGTAAGTATATCAGTCTGTGTAAGTCTGTGTAAGACTGTGTAAAGTCTGTCTAAGTCTAAGTCTGTAAAGTCTGTCTAAGTCTAAGACTGTAAGTCTGTGTAAAGTCTGTCTAAGTCTGTGTAAGTCTGTAAGTCTGTGTAAGTATGAGTAAGTCTGTAAGTCTGTGTAAGTCTGTCTAAGTCTGTGTAAAGTCTGTGTAAAGTCTGTGTAAGTCTGTCTAAGTCTGTGTAAAGTCTGTGTAAAGTCTGTGTAAGTCTAAGTCTGTAAGCCTGTGTAAGACTATCAGTCTGTGTAAAGTCTGTCTAAACCTAAGTCTGTGTAATGTTTGTCTAAGTCTATAAGTCTGTCTAAGTCTGTGTAAAGTCTGTCTAAGTCTGTAAGTCTGTCTAAGTCTGTGTAAAGTCTGTGTAAAGTCTGTGTAAGTCTAAGTCTGTAAGTCTGTGTAAGACTATCAGTCTGTGTAAAGTCTGTCGAAGTCTAAGTCTGTGTAAGTCTGTGTAAGTCTGAGTAAGTCTAAGTCTGTGTAAAGTCTGTGTAAAATCTGTCTAAGTCTAAGTCTGTGTAAGACTATCAGTCTGTGTAAGTCTGTGTAAGTCTGAGTAAGTCTAAGTCTGTGTTCAGTCTGTGTAAAGTCTGTGTAAAGTCTGTGTAAAGTCTGTCTAAGTCTAAGTCTGTAAGTCTCTCGCCTTCACCTCCACGCTGCAGAGAACCGACCTCACCCTGCAGACCTCGCCCACGCACGCTGCCGCCTCAATCTGCTCGTCCGCGACGCCGGTGGCGATAGGGGGGGGGAGGGGGTGTGCCGAGCGGGCGTGTCTAGTGGCCGTGTCTAGTGGCCGTGTCTAGTGGCCGTGTCTAGCGGCCGTGTCTAGCGGCCGTGTCTAGTGGCCGTGTCTAGCGGCCGTGTCTAGCGGGCGTGTCTAGCGGCCGTGTCTAGCGGGCGTGTCTAGCGGGCGTGTCTAGTGGCCGTGTCTAGCGGCCGTGTCTAGCGGGCGTGTCTAGCGGGCGTGTCTAGCGGGCGGGTCTAGCGGGCGTGTCTAGCGGCCGTGTCTAGCGGGCGTGTCTAGCGGGCGTGTCTAGTGGCCGTGTCTAAAGACCGTGTCTAGTGACCGTGTCTAGCGGCCGTGTCGAGCGGGCGTGTCTAGCGGGCGTGTCTAGCGGGCGGGTCTAGCGGGCGTGTCTAGCGGCCGTGTCTAGCGGGCGTGTCTAGTGGCCGTGTCTAGTGACCGTGTCTAGCGGCCGTGTCTAGCGGGCGTGTCTAGCGGGCGTGTCTAGTGGCCGTGTCTAGCGGGCGTGTCTAGTGACCGTGTCTAGTGGCCGTGTCTAGCGGGCGTGTCTAGTGGCCGTGTCTAGTGGGCGTGTCTAGTGGGCGTGTCTAGCGGGCGTGTCTAGCGGGCGTGTCTAGCGGGCGTGTCTAGTGGCCGTGTCTAGTGGCCGTGTCTAGCGGCCGTGTCTAGCGGCCGTGTCTAGTGGCCGTGTCTAGTGGGCGTGTCTAGTGGGCGTGTCTAGTGGGCGTGTCTAGTGGGCGTGTCTGGCGACCGTGTCTAGCGGGCGTGTCTAGTGACCGTGTCTAGTGGCCGTGTCTAGCGGGCGTGTCTAGCGGCCGTGTCTAGTGGGCGTGTCTAGTGGGCGTGTCTAGTGGCCGTGTCTAGTGGCCGTGTCTAGTGGCCGTGTCTAGTGGGCGTGTCTGGCGACCGCTAGACATGGCCGTCAGATACGGCTGAGAGACACGGCCGCCGGGCACGACCGTACAGACAAAGCCGGCCCTCCCGACCACCTCTCGGGGGGGGGGGGAAAGACAGCGGTGGGCGGCCACCAATTTCCTCTCTCCCGAGGGCCGGGCCACGCATGCCGACCGGCGTTGAGCGGTCGGACGCCGGTCGAGGAGACAGCCGGCGGCGGCAGCGGCAACGCTCGCCAGCGTTCCAAACCCCAGGTGGGCAAATGGAACGGGGAGATTAAAGACCACAGAGCGCTCGTCCGGCGCTGATTGCTCTCCACCCCCCCCTCTCTCCCTACCCCTCTCCACCTCCCCCTCTCATCTCTCTCTTCTCGTCTCTCTCCTCCGCGCGCTCTCTCTCTCTGCTCTCTCCGCTCTCTCATTTGTCGGCGCCGCCGGCGATCGACTCCTGCGTAGAAGCAGAGGGGGGGGGGGGGGGGTCACAAGCAAAAGTGTCAAAAAGTTAGAAATGTCCGTGTTGCGGGCACTGAATTTGGATTGTCCAGATGATTTGGCGGCTGCTGTACATTCCCACAGGACAAGGCCGCTTCGTTGAGCCCACCGCTTGTGATAACGCCAGGGTTGCAAGTTGAAAACAAAACAAGCTAAGAATCTCAGTGGGCTTTCCCTGGCAAGATAACAACAAAAATTATAGTGTCGTTTTATTTGTATATAAATATATTTTTTAAAGTGATTTGTTTAAATTTTCTACGCTTTGCACTCCTATCGTGCGTTTGTGTTGTTTGTTGTCGTAACATTCCGGCCACTTGCCCCTAACTGGCAAACAAAGAGCTTTACAGCTCCACAGATTTCTCATCGTTGTAACGTTCTGAACCCTGTGCCACCTGGACATCTGTGAACAAAGAGCTTTAAAGATAATAATAGGGTTTTTCCCATTTTTTTTGGCAACAAAACTGAAACCTTTTTACAAGGATTCATGTCTGCATTAACCACAACACCTGCAGTCAAAATGCAAACAAAAAACATACTATGATAATATATGCATTGTCCTTGAAACTGATTGGTCCACACCAAGGGACGGCTTTCTTTTGAGCCTCGACCCAATTGGTGCTCGACCCGATGATGCCTTTTGGCGTCATCGGGTCGAGCCTTTTGGCGTCATCTGGTCGAGCACCAATTGGGTCGAGGCTCAAAAGAAAGCCGGAGGGGAAAACCGGAGGACGTGGAGAAAAATCCACGCCAGCATGAGGAGAGAGACACCGCAAACTCCAAATATACAGCAGCAGCAGGCATCGTCAGGGTCGGGATGGAACCCACGACCTCCTGCACACCAGGCGAGGTAGTCAACATCTCCTAGCCACCGTGGTGATGATGAGACCCGCCACAAGGCCGTGGCGGCACGGTTTTCTGATGCCCGGCTATCGTCGAGACTGGCGCAGCAACGCCGGCCGTGCCTCCACGGTTGTCTGCGGCGAGGGCCGGCGTCTCTACAAAAGCAACGGCGCTGCTGCTACGCCTCTCTCTCTCCGAACAATGCTAAGGGCGGCGAGCCGCTCGCCCCGCCCACAGCCACACCCTGCCACTTGCCAGAACGTCATCGGAACGGGAGAAGGGGGCCTTTGTAACAAGCAATGGAGAGTCGCGACGACCAATCGAATCGCTGGGGTGGGCGGGCGGGTAGCTCACCCCCTTCCCCCACCCCCCACCCTCTTGCCCCACCCTCCTGCCCCACCCCCCCTCACCTTGTCGTCTTTTCCTCTCTGCGTGGCTGGCCCCTTCTTGTCGCCCCCAGGCGCACTCCCCGCCCCTCCTCCTCCCCTTGCTCCTCCTCCTCCTCCATCGTCGTCGTCGTCGTCATTTCTGCCACGGCCTCCTCCTCCTCCTCCGCTGCTGCTGCCATCGTCGTCGTCATCGTCGTCGTCGCTGGCACGGAACTTGTCGTGCGTCCACTTGGGGCTGGCCCCTCCTCCGGCCTCCCGCCGCCCGTACGCAAACGCGGCGGCGGCCGCCCCGCCGCCGCCGCCGCCGGCTCTGCCGCCCCCTCGCCTGCCGCCGCCCCCCGACGCCGCCGCCGCCGCCGCACCGCCCCCCGCGGTGGCCGAGAACGCCGGGCTCCCGCCGCTGCCGCCGCCGTTGCCGCCGCCGCCGCCCGCGGCCGCCGCCGCCGCCGCCGCGGAGGTGGAGGAGGAGCGACTCACGGGGGCCGCTCGCTTGGACGAGGAGGACGAGGAGGAGGGGGCGGGAGGGAGGGTGGCCGCTTCGCCACGGCCTCCGCTGCCCCACGTATCCTTGCCGCCGACGTCGTCTTCACGGTCGTCGTGCTGGGAGGAGGAGGAGGGAAGGAGGAGAGGGGAAGAGGAGATGGAGGGGGAGGGTGGTGGTGGTGGAGAGGGGGTGAGGTAGGAGGAGATGGAGAGGGGAAGAGGAGGAGGAGATGGAGGAGAGGAGGGGTGGAGGAGGAGAGGGGGGGGGGGTGAAGGAAACACAGGAGGAGGGGGAGTCGAGGAAGTGGAGGAGGAGATGGAGGAGAGGAGGGGTGGAGGAGATGGAGGAGGAGGGGGGGGTGGTGGTGGTGGAGGAGCGGGGGGGGTGGAGGTAGTGGAGGAGGAGAGGTGGAGGAGATGATGGAGGAGGAGGGGGGGGTGGAGGAGGAGGAGGGGGGGGGGTGGAGGAGATGGAGGAGAGGTGGAGGAGATGGAGGACGAGGGGGGGGTGGGTGGAGGAGAAGGAGGAGAGGGTGGAGGTGGTGTGAGAGTGAGGGACAAGGAGACACGACGGGCAGAAAGAGAGAGAGAGGGAGTGAAGGGAGAGAGACAGAGAGAGAGGTGAAAGAAGGCCGAATTGACCTAGGGGAGGCCCACTTCAAATATTCCTCGCTGACATTCGTCGCGAACGGGAACTGAACTCGGATTGCCGGATTCATGACGCAGCGCTAACCACTGCCCCACACACTTACACACAAAGACACGTGGAGTTTCCTATGACATAGGTAAGTGTATGTGTGTAGTGTGTGGATGTAGTGTGTGTGTGTAGTGTGTGTAGTGTGTGTGTGTAATTTAGTGTGTGGTGTAGTGTGTGGTGTGTGTGGTGTCGCGTGTGTGTGTGTGTAGTGTGTGTAGCATGTGTAATGTAGTGTGTGTAATGTAGTATGCGTGTGTAGTATGTGTGATGTAGTGTGTGGTGTAGTGTGTGTGGTGTAGTGTGTGTAGTGTGTAGTGTGTAATGTAGTGTGTGTGTAGTGTGTGTGTAGTGTGTGTAATGTAGTGTGTGTAATGTAGTGTGTGTAATGTAGTGTGTGTAATGTAGTGTGTGTAATGTAGTGTGTGTAGTGTAGTATGTGTGTAGTGTAGTATGTGTGTAGTGTAGTATGTGTGTAGTATGTGTGTGTAGTGTGTGTAATGTAGTGTGTGTGTAGTTAGTGTGTGTGTGTAGTGTGTGTGTGTGTAGTGTGTGTAGTGTGTGTAGTGTAGTATGTGTATAGTATGTGTGCAGTGTGTGTAGTATGTGTGTAGTGTAGTGTGTTTGTAGTATGTGTGTAGTGTATTGTTTGTAGTACAGTGAGGGGAAAAAGTATTTGATCCCCTGCTGATTTTGTACGTTTGCCCACTGACAAAAAAAATGATCAGTCTATCATTTTAATGGTAGGTTTATTTGAACAGTGAGAGACAGAATAACAACAACAAAATCCGGAAAAACGCATGTCAAAAATGTTATAAATTGATTTGCATTTTAATGAGGGAAATAAGTATTTGACCCCCTCTCAATAAGAAAGATTTCTAGCTCCCAGGTGTCTTTTAAACAGGTAACGAGCTGAGATTAGGAGCACACTCTTAAAGGGAGTGCTCCTAATCTCAGCTTGTTACCTGTATAAAAGACACCTGTCCACAGAAGCAATATATCAATCAGATTCCAAACTCTCCACCATGGCCAAGACCAAAGAGCTCTCCAAGGATGTCAGGGACAAGATTGTAGACCTACACAAGGCTGGAATGGGCTACAAAACCATTGCCAAGCAGCCTGGTGAGAAGGTGACAACAGTTGGTGCGATTATTCGCAAATGGAAGAAACACAAAAGAACTGTCAATCTCCCTCGGCCTGGGGCTCCATGCAAGATCTCACCTCGTGGAGTTGCAATGATCATGAGAATGGTGAGGAATCAGCCCAGAACTACACGGGAGGATCTTGTCAATGATATCAAGGCAGCTGGAACCATAGTCACCAAGAAAACAATTGGTAACACACTACGCCGTGAAGGATTGAAATCCTGTAGCGCCCGCAAGGTCCCCCTGCTCAAGAAAGCACATATACATGCCCGTCTGAAGTTTGCCAATGAACATCTGAATGATTCAGAGGACAACTGGGTGAAAGTGTTGTGGTCAGATCAGACCAAAATGGAGCTCTTTGGCATCAACTCAACTCGCCGTGTTAGGAGGAGGAGGAATGCTGCCTATGACCCCAAGAACACCATCCCCATCGTCAAGCATGGAGGTGAAAACATTATGCTTTGGGGGTGTTTTTCTGCTAAGGGGACAGGACAACTTCACCGCATCAAAGGGACGATGGACGGGGTCATGTACCGTCAAATCTTGGGTGATAACCTCCTTCCCTCAGCCAGGGCATTGAAAATGGGTCGTGGATGGATATTCCAGCATGACAATGACCCAAAACACACGGCCAAGGCAACAAAGGAGTGGCTCAAGAAGAAGCACATTAAGGTCCTGGAGTGGCCTAGCCAGTCTCCAGACCTTAATCCCATAGAAAATGTGGAGGGAGCTGAAGGTTCGAGTTACCAAACATCAGCCTCGAAACCTTAATGACTTGGAGAAGATCTGCAAAGAGGAGTGGGACAAAATCCCTCCTGAGATGTGTGCAAACCTGGTGGCCAACTACAAGAAACGTCTGACCTCTGTGATTGCCAACAAGGGTTTTGCCACCAAGTACTAAGTCATGTTTTGCAGAGGGGTCAAATAGTTATTTCCCTCATTAAAATGCAAATCAATTTATAACATTTTTGACATGCGTTTTTCTGGATTTTTTTGTTATTCTGTCTCTCACTGTTCAAATAAACCTACCATTAAAATTATAGACTGATCATTTCTTTGTCAGTGGGCAAATGTACAAAATCAGCAGGGGATCAAATACTTTTTTCCCTCACTGTATGTGTGGAGTGTGTGTAGTGTAGTATGTGTCTAGTGTGTGTAGTATGTGTGTAGTGTAGTGTGTTTGTAGTATGTGTGTAGTGTGTTTGTAGTATGTGTGTAGTGTAGTATGTGTGTAGTGTTTGTGTGAGTGTGTGCGAGTAGTGTAGTGTGTAGTGTAGTATGTGTGTAGTAATTGTGTGAGTGTGTGTGTGTAGTGTTTGTGTGAGTGTGTGTGAGTAGTGTTTGTGTTGAGTAGTGTAGTGTGTTGTGTAGTATGTGTGTAGTGTTTGTGTGAGTGTGAGTAGTGTTTGTGTGAGTAGTGTAGTGTGTAGTGTAGTATGTGTGTAGTGTTTGTGTGAGTAGTGTTTGTGTGAGTAGTGTAGTGTAGTATGTGTGTAGTGTTTGTGTGAGTGTGTGTGTGTAATGTTTGTGTGAGTGTGTGTGAGTAGTGTTTGTGTTGAGTAGTGTAGTGTGTAGTGTAGTATGTGTGTAGTGTTTGTGTGAGTAGTGTTTGTGTGAGTAGTGTAGTGTAGTATGTGTGTAGTGTTTGTGTGAGTGTGTGTGAGTAGTGTTCGTGTGAGTAGTGTAGTGTGTAGTGTTTGTGTGAGTGTGTGTGAGTAGTGTTTGTGTGAGTAGTGTAGTCTGTGTGTTGTGGGGAGCGGTGGTGTAGCGGTGAGCGCTACACTGCACTACGAACTCGGCGGCCCGGGTTCAATTCCCGCTCGTGGCCAACACCGGTGACGATAATCTGAACCGGTCCTGGGCCTCCCCTAGGTCGACTCAGCCTCAACATGAGTACCTGGTGCAGTGTGTAGCAAACAAAGCCACTGGGGGAGACAAAGGCGGCCGGGCGTGATGCTGGCCACTTACCCCCTCTTGCGCCGTGCCGACCTTCACAAGTGCTGCTCACGAACAGCACTTGCCCCCAACGGTCTGTTAAGGCTACACGGGGGATCTTTGTCTTTGTAGTTCCACAAGCAACCGGTGTACGTACATACGTGTGTGCGCGTGTGTGTGTGTAGCGAGACTCAAGCACCGCAGACTCTCACGGACGAGGGTCTGGCACGGTGCGTGCCCTTACCAGGTAGTACTTCTTGCTGCGCGGCTGGTACTCCGACTCCCACTCCTCCTCGCGGCCCCCCCCCACCCCGGCGGGAACTCTGGGGAGGCGGAGAGCCCCCCCCCGCCGTCGTCGTGGGGGCGCCCATAGCCCCCGCCCAGCGGGGGCGGGTACCCCCCGCCGTAGCCGCGGCTGCGGTAGCGCACGCGCCCACGGAACTGCATCTGAGAAGCGAAGGCAAAGGGGGTTTCAAACCACCGCCACCACCACCCTCCTGTGTGTGTGTGTGTCTGTGTTTAACTCGTGGTTACTTATGCCCCCACCGAAGATGAACATCCGTGGAGGGATGCAGGCAAAGCCGATGAGTCAGATGCCTTCTATGACCTCCTGTCACAGGTGCTGGCTAAAGTGGCCCCTCGGGATGGAGTCATCTTGTTGGGTGACTTCAATGCTCGAGTTGGTCATGATACTGGCACCTGGTTTGGAGTGATTGGAGGGCATGGGCCAGATCAGCTCAATAACAACGGTAGGAGGCTGCTAGATTTTTGTGCAGCCCATGGGCTTGTAATTACCAACACGCTGTTCCGGCATCGGCGCATTCACACATCATGGATGCATGCCGGGTCCAAGCAAGAACATCTGCTGGACTACATAGTGACGGACCAGCGGATGCGAGCCTATGTCCTTGACACCAGGACCTACCGTGGAGCTGATCTGCCCTCTGACCATCGACTAGTCATCTGTAAGATGTGCCTGCCATTCTTCCACTCCGGTGGTGGGTGTACACCCAGGACCCCATTCCAACCTAAAGTGGCCTGGTCTCAGTTATCTGATGAAAGTTACAAGCGAGAATTTCATCATCGCTTGCGGCTGGGATTGGCATCGTCCACGACTCCTCATGATGTCGAGGGTAAATGGGCAAGGTTTAAGACTGTGACTCATGCAGCTGCAATGGCTGCTTTGGGTACGCGGTCCAGACCTCCCCAGAGACCCTGGCTGACAGAGGAGGTATTCAGGATGGTTGAGAAAAAGCAACAGGCCCACTGTCATCGGCTACAGAATCCCACATCAGCGAATGAGGAGGCTTACCGCAGCCTTCGCTCGGAGGTTCGGAGAGCCGTGAGGCGCTGCAAGGATGGGTGGTGGTCGCGGGTTGCTGAGGAGATGGAGTCTGCCTCAGTGGCCCGTGATCACAAATCTCTATTTAACTACATCAAAAAAGTAACCTGCAGCGCCACACCTATTACCATCATTAGGGGAAAAAACGGTGATCCAATCTCCGACCCCCAGGAACAGGTTTGCAGATTTGCTGAGCATTTCTGTGAGGTCCTGGGGGAGGGAAAATCCCTCAGCCAGGAAAACATCGTGGCACAAAGTGAGGATGACCCTGCTGAGGCTGCGGTGCCTCAAATATTGGAAGAAGTCACCCCCTGTGAGTGGCTGGCTGAGGTGCCATCTGTTGAGGAAGTACTGAAGGCGATCCGGAGTCTGAGACCAGGAAAGGCAGCGGGCAGAGATGATCTCCCAAGCGAAATGCTGAGGGAGGGTGGCGTTTGTGCACAGACTGCCCTATATGACATCATAACAACGGTCAGGGCCGCTGGACGGGTTCCGCAGGATTGGAAGGATGCCCTGGTGGTCCCCCTCTTTAAGAAGGGGGACCGCACAGACTGTAACAACTACAGGGGCATCTCACTCCTCAGTGTGCCGGGAAAGGTCCTGGCAAGGATTATTCAGCATTGCCTTGCCAGGCACGCTGAGGAGAGGCTTGCGGAGCCCCAATGCGGTTTCAGGAAAGGGCAGTCCTGCACAGATGCCATATTTTCTGTCCGTCTGCTACAGCAGAGGTGTAGGGAATTCCAACAAGACCTACATCTTTGCTTTATTGACCTGGTCAAGGCCTATGATACCATCAGTAGGCCTGGGCTCTGGGTCGTTCTTCGTGCTTTTGGAGTACCTGACCCTCTGCTCACGATCATTAAGGACCTTCATGATGGTGAGCGGGCCCGGGTAAAACTACGTGGCCGGGAGTCAGAGCCATTCCCTGTACACCTTGGGGTGCGACAGGGATGTCCTCTGGCTCCCACATTATTTAACATCTATTTTGACCACGTAGTTCGTGAAGCCTTCAATAGCTGTACCGGGGGAATCTCGATATGGTACAGATATAATGGGAGGCTGATCGATGCCCGGGTGCGGTCAAGGGATGGCTCCCTATTGGTCAACCACGTTATGTATGCTGATGATTTGGTAATAGCTGCTCAGTCATAGGAGTTGGAGACGCTGCTGCTGAGACTGGAGCGTGCCACTAAGAGGTGGGGCCTTACCATCAGCTCCACCAAAACTAAGCACCTGCCTGGGTATTTTGTACCATCGGACACTCCACCCCCACAACTCCCAATCGGTGATGGGGCAGTTGTGGAGAGAGTGGAGAGTTTCCCATACCTGGGTAGTGTGCTTATGACTGGCTCCAGTTTAACAGCAGAGGTCTCACTCCGAATCAGTCGAGCGGCAATATCTTTTCATCGGTTGCGTAACGCTGTGTGGAAGCTACCTGGTCTGTCGCTCCGCACTAAGCTTCAGGTCTTCTCGGCCACGATCATTCCCTCACTTCTCTACGCTTGCGAAACGTGGACCCCCCTAATGGAACATCTTCGCCGGTTAGAAACATTTAGGCTGGCCTGCCTACGATCCATCCTGGGTTTAACCAGACTGGATTGTGTGAGGAGCTCACAAATCCTTGAAAAATCTGGGCAAGGTCCCATCGGTGAGCTCCTCCGGTGGGCAAGGTTGCGATGGCTGGGTCATGTAGCCCGCATGCCCAGCCACCGCATGCCGAAACAGCTTTTGTTCGGCCGGATTGAGGGGGCTAAGCGGGCGCGGCACGGGCTAGAGAAGAGATGGAGTGATGTGGTACAGGAGGACGTGGAGCTGAGTGGACTTGCCGATGACTGGTACCAGCGGTGTCAAGATCGACCTCTGTGGAGGAGGCTCGTGAAGGATGCTACTGGGCAGTTGGAGGCAGTCGCCCTCCAACAACAACGGAGGGCGGAGGAGCGACGCTCACGACAACGAGCGGAGCACCGGGTGGCTAAAGCACAGCAGGTTGGCACAGTAGGAGGCACAGGTGGTGCATCAGCCAGTCATCTTAGTCAGTCGACCCGTGGCACCTGGGTCTGCCCCGTGACCTCCTGCCAGCGGGCGTTCGACACTTCACGTGGCCTCAGGGTGCACATAGCCTGGCACAAGCGTCGTGGTGACGTCACCGCCACTTAGTGACGAATGGCGGTTGTTGTTGTTGTTGTGTCTGTGTGTCTGTGTCTGTGTGTGTGTGTCTGTGTGTGTGTGTCTGTGTGTGCTGTGTGTGTACAGCGTGCTGTGTGTGTGCTGTGTGCTGTGTGTACTGTGTGTGTGCCGTGTGTGTGCCGTGTGTGTGCCGTGTGTGTGCCGTGTGTGTGTGCTGTGTGTGTGTGCTGTGTGTGTGTGCTGTGTGTGTGTGCTGTGTGTGTGCTGTGTGTGCTGTGTGTGCTGTGTGTGTGCTGTGTGTGTGTGTGCTGTGTGTGTGCTGTGTGTACTGTGTGTGTGCTGTGTGTGTGCTGTGTGTGTGTGCTGTGTGTGTGCTGTGTGTGTGCTGTGTGTGTGTGTGCTGTGTGTGTACCGCGTGCTGCTGCGCATCCCCGCCAGGCTCTCTGTGCCCCCTGGCCACACTCACGTAGGGCGCGGGGCGACTGCGTGGCTGCCAGGAGGAGCCGCGGTGTTGGTAGCCCTGCTGCTGCTGCTGGAGCTGCTGCTGGTACCCGTGCTGCTGCTGGAGCTGCTGGTGGTGCTGCTGCTGCTGGTAGTAGTCTTTGGAGCTGGACCTGCCCTTCTCAAAGCCGTAGGCCTCCTCGTGGCTGGCCGAGCGAGATCTCCTGCGTAAAGACAAAGGTCCCCCGTGTAGCCTTAACGGACGGTTAGGGGCAAGTGCTGTTAGCGAGTAGCACCTACAGAGGAAAAGATCCCCCGTGTGGCCTTAACAGAACGTTGGCAAAAAGCCGGTCACGAGTGTGACACCGGTCACGAGTGTGACACCGGTGTGACACTCGTGACGCTCGTGATACCGGTGTCACGCGCGTGACCGGCGGTGAAGCGGTGGTCTCCGCTCACCGCTCGTCGCGCTCCCGCTGCTCCCGCTCGTCACCACGCTCCCTCTCCCTCTCCCCCCGCTCCTTGTGCCTCCGCTCCGCCTTGGGCGCTCGCTCGCTCGACTTCTCCCTCGGCTGCTGCTGCTCCTCCTCCTGCACGGCGGGGGGGGGCGGGCGGTGAGTCAATAAGCGAGTGAACGCTAGCGGGTGAACGCTAGCGGGTGAACAAGTGAATGGACGGACGGGCGAGCGGGTGAACACATAGACAGACGGGCGAGTGGATGAGTAGGTGAATGGACGGGTGAGAGGGTGAACACATAGACAGACAGGCGAGTGGGTGAGTAGGTGAATGGACGGACGGGCGAGTGGGTGAGTGTGCGAGCGAGTGGGCAAGTGAACAGACAGGTGCGTGGGTGAGAGTGGGGAAACGGACGGACGAGTGGGTGAACGGGCGGTCGAGTGAGCGGGCGAGCAGGTGAACGAAGGGATGAGTGGGCGAGCAGACGGACAGCCGGGCGAGTGGGCGAACGAGCGGGTGAGCGAGAGCGAGTGAGAGGGCGGGCGAGAGTGAGCAAGAGCGAGTGAGAGCGAGCGAGTGAGCGAGAGTGAGAGGGCGGGCGAGCGAGAGGGCGGACGAGAGTGAGCGAGAGCGAGTGAGCGAGTGAGTGAGTGGGCGAGCGAGTGAGCGAGCGGGCGAGCGAGTGAGCGAGCCGCCGTGCCTTGCTGCTGGCGCTGCTGTCGCGTCGCAGCGAGAACTTCCCCGAGGAGGAGGCGCCGCCATCGACGCTCTCCTTCTTCTTGTGTCGCTTCAGGAAGTCGGGCGAGATGTCGATCCTCCTGCACGCACGCACGCGGCGGACGGACGGCGCGCAAAGGTCACGCGGCCGCTGGCCACACGACGGCAGCCCGGCAGGCAGCCCAGCAGGCAGCCCGGAAGGCAGCCCGGCAGGCAGCCCGGCAAGCCGGCGCACGCGGCGCTCGCGGAGACAGGAGCCGCTAGCGGCAGACGGCGCTGCCGGGCACGCTAGCAGGGACGCCCGGCTACGAACCAGACAAACAACTCGACATAACGCCAATGCACTGCAATAGCAAGCCGAACAGATGGGACTAGCAGGGTATAAAATAAAAGTGCGTAAACAAAAAAAAGACAGCCGACTATCAAATAGAATATTGCTGCAATGCCATTTAGACTACCAGAGGCTGCTACCAAAATACTAGCAAATGCATTATCTGATAGGAATACCAAATACAATACGCACCTCCGATTAGCACAGTTGGCTACGTGTGGTGCGAAAGAAGTTCTACAAAGGCATTCGATTACCAGCCAGACTACTGGACACAACACATCAACACGATGACTTAGATTAGGCTACCAATAAAGCTGAACTGAGACTTCCAGATGGACAGGCAGATAAGGACCCTAACAAGGCGAGCGGCGATCGAACAATCGACACACAAGCACCTGGAGCAAAACGCACACAGGAAAAATAAATTGCCCACTACTAGCGGCAGTCGTCGCACAGAGGGGGCATGATCAGATTATGAACGTTGCTCCGATACGGGGCACGTGCACATCTGTTGAGCTTGGGTTATAACACGTTAAAACGGGTATTATTTTTTTTCCCCCAATTACAACTTTCAGCAGCAGCAGCGGCAAAAACAAACGCATCTTTATTAGGGGCAACATTGGCTGGGCGCAAAGCCCCAGCTACGACCTAAATACTACTATCCATAAGACAGCGTGAATATAGATGTTGTGTTGTTAAACCCGCCACCACCCGACGCAGCCAATCAGTAAGGGGGTTAGTCACGTAAACAGACCGTGGCCAAATCGTTACTAGCACAGCACTAGCCGCTTGTGTGTTGGAGAGTAAACCCGCTACAACATTTACAATCTGAGTACCGAGTACAATCACAATCAGTGCGTTACTAGTACAGCACTAACCGCTTGTGTGTTGGAGAGTAAACCCACTACAACATTTACAATCTGAGTGCCGAGTACAATCACAATCAGTGCGTTACTAGTACAGCACTAGCCGCTTGTGTGTTGGAGAGCAAATCCACTACAACATTTACAATCTGAGTACGACATTTCGCCAGTAATAAATCTAGTAGTCGCCTGATGATGCTGGTTGCAATTACTGGAGAAACGTCGTACTCAGATTGCAAATGTTGTAGTGGCTTGGCTCTCCAACACACAAGCGGTTAGTGCTGTACTAGCAACGAATTGGCCACGTTCTGCTTACGTGACAAACCCCGTACTAATTGGCTGTGTCGGGTGGTGGCGGGTTTTAACAACACAAATTTATATTCACGCTAACCCAAAAAAACCCGTATTATGGATATTGGTCGCGAAAATGTGCGTGTTAAACTACGACAAGCAACTACTAGCTACGTTTTAAACTTACTAACTACCTGTTGAACTAAATACTACTACTATTACATGTTAAACGAAAAACTACGTGTTAAACTACGTGTTAAACTACTACCAGTTAAACTATCACTAACTACTAGTTACGTTTTTACATTTTGATTTAAAGCTTTCGTGACTGCAGGGTTCATATTCTTGGTTCTTTCCGTAAACTAACTACATGTTAAACTAACTACGTGTTAAACTTACTAACTACGTGTTAAACTAACATGTTAAACTACGTGTTTAACTACGTGTTAAACTAACTACGTGTTAAACTACTTCTAGGTACGTGTTAAACTACGTGTTTAACTAACTACATATTAAACTAACTACTACGTGTTAAACCAACTACTACGTGTTAAACTACGTGTTTAACTAACTACGTGTTAAACCAACTACGTGTTAAACCAACTACTACGTGTTAAACTAACTACGTGTTAAACTAACTACGTCAAAACTGACTTTCAGCAAAGCAAACCTGCGCCTTAAGTCTGCGAATAGAGAGAGAGCGAGAGCGCGCGAGTGAGCGGGATCGCGAGCGAGCGTCAAAACCGCGCGAGGCGCCGGGCGGGTAACGTACGCGCTGCTCCATGTCTTGCCCGCGCCCGGCAAAAACAGAAACCTCCAGTTTTTGGGGGGTTTTTTTTTGTAAAAATATATTTTTTGCGGGGTGGCAGTGGTGGTGGTGGGGGGGGTGGGCGCTTTGCCCACCCCTCCTTTTTTTGTACATCGGGTTCTGGTTGTTTTGCTTTTTTTGGTTGCGTTTTTTGGTTGCGTTTTTTGGGGGTTTTTTGGCGTTTCTCGCTCTCGCGAACGTTTTGAGCGTCTTATAAACGGCCGGAGCCGCTCTGGCGGCGGCGCACAGGGCGCGGTGGTCTTCCGTGGACACTACAGCTTCAAGAGGGGAGAGAGAGACACACGCGCACAGACACAGAGAGACAAGAGGAACAGACAAGGGGGGGCACGAAAAAGCGGACATTGTTTTTCCCACGATCAACACAACACCGCACGATCAACAACACCGCACATCGCCGCGTTTACACGGCCATTCAACGAGCCGTCGCGCAGCCCCGTTAGGGGAGGTTTACGACGCGGGGGCCTCGTGCGTTTGTAACGTGCAAGTCAAAAGGGCCCCCCCCCCCCTTGCGGACCCCTCGCGCCCCGCTCAAATTAACCGGCGAGCGGGGAAATTCATCGCAGGGGCGAGCGGCGCATTCACACCGGCACGGGGGGCGTCATCTGTCCGGTAGCCGAGGTGTGCCGCTGACGTTACCAGCCCAACCTGCACTCCAGAGGAGGTCCCTTCGCTTCTTCGGCTGCTCTCGCTGTCTAAAAACTCTGTGCGTCTCTCCCGCCGGACCACCGGCTCCGCTGAGCGGCCACAATGAACAACCGCAACCAGCATGGCACAGGAAGGGAGATTACTATCTCTGGCCCAGAATCAACATCTTGACGGAACCGCTGAAACCGCATCGAGACTTTTGGTGATTTCCACTCCCCCCACCTCCCTCACCGCCACCACCACCACCATCGGCAATGAAGACGCCGGCAAGGTCTCGGCAAAAAAATAATAATACATCGGCGGGCAAGGTTCGAACGGTTGCCCGCCAGGGGACCGTAACCCCATCGGGGTGTGTTTTGGAGGCCACCCCTGCCACCCTTTCTCCTCCTGCTCCTCACCGCCTGAAACATGTCATAGAAAAAGATGCCGTGTTATCACTCCCGCTTCCATCGGCCACCGTTCACACCGTGACTTCCGATTAGCACCGGGATTGGCTACCTACGTGGGACACAGGTGCAAACAATTCCCCCGCTAAAGGACTTCAGCATCTCCGGACACTCAAGACGCGACCGTGAGATGGAGCCTCCGACGCGCTAAAAGGGGGGGAGAAAACCCTCTTCTCCGGCGACACGCGACGGTCGTTTTAGACGCGGTCAACACACCATCGTTTCGAGTCAACGCCGGCCTTCGGCGAAACTCGTAAAGCTCTCGGCGGGAAGAGGCCCTGGGCTGGAGGCGAAACATCAACTGGCCTGGCTGCTCCCATTTGTAAACATTGCCACGGTTCACGGCTTCAGTCTGTGACGGAGTTGTCCCGATGCCTCCCCCTCCATCCCACCGAGGACAAAAAAAATCATACAACATCTTGCGGCTCTCTTCTGATGTGCAGTCGTGCAAGGACGCCGCCATCTTGGACACACGTCCGCCACCTAGTGGCGAAAAGCTGGGAGGGGAAAAAAGGAGTCAGCAAATGCCAGGGTCATGCCCCATTCACCCGGTTCATGTTCGCCAACATTGCGGCCGGCATAACTCTCTCGAATTCACAAATCCGATGCCGGGTTGCACCTCTCTTCTCATACAGGGCCATCATCTCACGGTACACGGTGGGTGTCAATCACTTTAATACAAAGTAGTAGTAGTAGTTGTGGGGCTTTCGCGACCAATGTCATCCATTATAACGTACAGGGTGCTTCAAATTTGAGAAAAGGTTTTTTCCCCTTTTTTCTGGCAACAAAACAGCTGTGTTAAGATGTTAAAACACCAAACAGAAACCGTTTAACGAGGAATCATGTCCGCATTGACCACAATACTCGTGGTCAGAATGCAAACAAAAACCACACTCTGATAGTATGATGATGCATTTTCTTTCAAACTGATTGGTCCACACCAGAGACAGCTTTCTTTTGAGCCTAGTCTCAAAACGGTGTTAGACCAGAGGACTGGCAAAGGAGGTCAAATGATGCTTCAAATTTTTTTTAACACTAACACGGGACTGTCGTTTTTAATGGAAAGAGAACGGATGATACACCTTAACATGATAACAAATGTACGTTAATAGCTTCAAAAAGTCAGAGTCTCCACTTGTTCGCCATTTCTTGTGGTATTGTTGCAAATTCTCACAAGTGTTGAAACATTTTTGAAGCAGCCTGTAAATAAATGTGTCGTTAATCCTGCCACCACCCGACACAGCCAATTAGTAAAGGGTTCGTCACGTAAACAGAACATGCCAATTAGTTAGCAGCACATCACACCATTGTTATGCCGGTTTTAGTTGCTGGCGAAACATCATACTCAAGATTGTAAATATTGTGATTTGCTCTCCAACACACCGGTGTGCTGTACTGGTAACGAAATGGCACGTTCTGTTTACGTGACAAACCCTTTACTAACTGGCTGTCGGGTTTAACGACAATTATATTTACATAACTCGAACCCACAAAAACTTTGATTAGGAGTGTCAATCACCCCTGCGCTAACGCCTAATACTTTAACCCATATCAAAATGCACACGAATTACAGCCGAGCCTCCAGACGATAAGGAGGGATGCAACAATTCATTGGCTATATTCACCTCTTATGATTATTACACGCGAGGATTGATTCCTTCGGTCGTGCGGATGCCGCAGTCACTGCGGACTTGCATTATAAAATGAATTCACCCCACTTATCCCTCCGCCCCTCCCCCCCCAAGCCGTGCCAAATCATCGAATCGTGGAGATGGAAGAATCGTTACATCCCTCGCTGTTACGCACGAGTCGTTAGTCTCAGATCCGACAAACCATGTAAGTAAACGTGCGCACGCGCTATGTCAGCCTGTCACTTTTTCCGGTTCGTTTACGTTCATGGCCGGTTCTCGACAACTCACGTGGACTTCCCCCGGACTTGGTGGGTGGGTGCCGTACCCAACGTCAAACGTGTCGCCCCGCTCAGACCCAGGTAGGCCAGGCGAGTGGCGCTTTCACAGGCATTGTGACACGGCCGCCACCGCCGCCACCACCACCACCACCATCGCCGCCACCACCACCATCACCAGCCACTCTCTCCCATTCCACTGCTGTGGATGCAAATAGCCTTTTCCGCAGCCTTGCGGCTTTGATTGGCCCACACGTCAAGTGTGAAATGTTGGACGGATCGTCACAAAAGCTGCGTCCTTCCCCTCTCTCGTTCGGTTTTAGATTGCGGCGGTGACGACTTTCCATCGCGGTCACCGGTTTTGACCGCCGGCTCGGCTTTGCATTGCCGGGCGGGCTAGGGTCACACGACTCTTCCCGTTTCTCGGTCACGCCCATGCCCCCTTCCACATCCAGCACAAAAATGTCCTGGAAGCGTTGCACGGTCAAAGGTCACCTGTGTGTGTGTGTGTGTTTAAACAAAAAATAATTGGCATCCGCTGCACGGAGAGCAGACAACGATCCAAGCCTGCCCGCCCGCGGGCTCAACCTAACTCTTTACAACGCGCGCACACACACACACAAAACCGCACCGCAAAGGGACAGCAGCAGCAGCAACGACAGCCGACGACAGCACAAACGTCGCGAGCGACCGCCACTTACCTCCTAGGGGGGAGGAAACACTAAGACACGCCGCTGCGGACAGCTCACGTCCGTCTTTACAAAGGCGCCCAGAGGTGTGGCTACTTTTCCCCAGGCCAGCCGGACCCGCAGGTCAGATGCGGCTCCCGACGTTTTTTTTGTTTTGGTTTTAGAGAGACGTCGCCACATCACCGAGCTCTTTTGTCTTCCTTTGGGTTTTGACCGTGCGCCCGACAAACGCTCGTCAGTGCTACTTTCTAGAGTGGTGAGCTTCGAGGGGAGGGGGGGTTGGAGGGGGCGCCCCTCTGACGAGACTCAGGGCCTCTGACGAGACTCAGGGCCTCTGACGAGACTCAGGGCCCTCAAGGCCTCCACGCATCAGGCCCATCTCCGCAAGGAGTGAAATGCGGGCGGCGAGGAGTCGTACGTTCCGTAAAGAAGTCAGAGCCTCCTTGCAGGGTTCAACGTCCTTCTGCATCGAAAAACAGGTTCAAAGGTCACATCCCCTGTGATGTCCTGCAAACCACATCAACAACGAGCCTTAAAATGAGCACACAGTCACACCAGTGGTTAAAGGTTTTATTATTAGTATCATCATCACTAAAAAGCCCAGCCCATGAGCTTTTAAAGCAACTTAAAAAAAAATACCCTGCTTGTTGCTAAGGTGGCCATTTTGCACAACCACTTTCTTTCAGCGCCAGCCATTTTGAAGGTTTCTTCGCGATCCTGCAGGGGTCTGCGCGCCAGGCCATTTGTTGGTCGCCATCGGCCATGTCGCTTGAGGCCGCGCGTGGGCCTGCCTTTCTCGCTCTCTCCGTCAATCTCCGCTTTGCGTTGTTTGAGAGCCGGCCCGCGTTTAAAAAATAAAATCTTGTGGCGGCCATTTTGTTTTGACCCATGGCTGGTCCCGCCATTTTGAGGTCATTATCTTGTGGCCTGGCCATCCATTTTTGATTTTTTTTTTGCTGCTCGTTGTCAGCCGCAGCATTTTTCACACCACGTCAGCCATGGGGTGAACTCACCTTTTTTCAGATTCGCGACGACGGACTTATTTTTTAGTGCTCCATTTTTTTCATCCTTTTCATTCAGTATTTTGCATTCTTGTTTCCAGCCGGCCGTCACATTTCTCGCCGCAGGCCCGCCATTTGGTCGATCACACATTAGCACTCGTCTGGTTCAAGCTCAACTCAGCGCGAATACAGAGCCAAGAAGAGCCGTCGACAAGAGCTGCGGGAGAAACCTCACCAAATCAACGGCTAGAAATTAAATCTCTCGCTCTCGCTCAACAAAACGAAAGCAACGTCACCGGCGAGGACTTGAACATCTCGCCGCTTTTTAAAAACAACACTTGCTCCGTCGAACGGAGGAAGGGGGGGGGAGGAGCTGCCGAGTTAAAGGGTCATTCTTTGGCCAAGCCCATCTTCCGAGCTCAACCAAATCCGTTGGGCGAATTTGGATCTTCACGTGAACAAATGCAAACCCTCTTTTTAACGCATATGGAACGTGATTCCCGTACGGACAAAAAAATATTTTTCTCTCTCTGCTCGACCGCGGAACAAAACGCAGCGCAACTTCCTCAGTGGCGTCGGTGCCGTATCGGCTACGCAGAGACACCCCCGATCGTGGGGAAGGAAGCGGCTGGCAGCCGGCGCACGTCGAGTCATCCCTGCCCCTAGGAGGTCATCACGATGCCGCCCCGGGTAGTGGGCGGTGGCGGGCGGGCGCCGTTTTGTCGACGACGCTGCCAAATGGGTCATTTTGGGGAGTAGGGTTTGAGCATGGGGTGCGGTGCCTTAGGAGGGTCCTCCTAAGGCACCGCACCCTCCGTCACCGCCCTTTACCCCTTCCCCCCCCCGTTGCAGCTACCGGCGCGTGAACGCCCGCCCCCTGCTTGTATAGCTACCCCTCCCCCCACAAACTCGCGAAGGCGGCCTCCAATCCACCACGCACGCTCGCTTGCCTCTGGCCGGCGGCCCTCGGCAATGCTCTTTCCGCTGCTGGCCGGTGACGGCATCGACGGCGCTGCAAATGCGCCAGCTCAACCGCCACGCTTACCGCGGTCAGACGCCTCTTCACGATGCGGTGGGTGGGGTGGTCACGGGCCAACCCGAGACTCGATTCCCGAGTCGCTTGCCCTGTTGCCCCGTCAGCTGCGTCTCGTCCGTCTCCGTCATCATCGTCGCACTCGCGTCTGAATCCGTCTGCTCCGTCGCGTCGGTAGCGTGGCTCGCTCGCCCGGCCGTTTCGCTGGGAGTCGCAACGAGCGAGCCTCTCTCCCTCCTCTCCCTCCTCTCCCTCCTCTCCGGCGCTCGATCGCAATGTCGGGCGCAAGCGTCCAGGTTTATTTTTTTCAATCGACAGACGGAGGGATGGACGGACGGACGGACGGACCGGCATCTTCCTGCTACACCCCTGCGCCCCCCCGACCCCAGACCCCACGTCTAAGTGGACCCCACGGGGGGGGGGCAAGGGGGAAGGGGGCTGCACCGGGCCTTACCTGCGGATCTCGGGACTCTTGTTCCCGGCCTCGCTGGCCTCCTGAAGGCTCCCAAAGCGTTCGTTCAGGGTCATGGTGGCGGGCTTGAAACGGTGCTCTGTGTGGGGGCGGGGGGAAACGGGACGAGTGAATCCCCCGTGGGTGACTGTGAATGAGTGCGAGTTTGTATATGTGAATGAGTGTGTATATGTGAATGAGAGTGTGTATATGTGAATGAGTGAGTGTGTACATGTGAATGAGTGTGAGTGTGTACATGTGAATGAGTGAGTGTGTATATGTGAATGTTTAGTGAATGTGAGTGTGTACATGTGAATGAGAGTGTGTACATGTCAATCAGAGTGTGAGAGTGTGTACATGTGAATGTGTAGTGAATGTGAGTGTATATATGTGAATGAGTGAGTGTGTATATGTGAATGTGTAGTGAATGTGTAGTGAATGTGAAGTGAATGTGAGTGTGTACATGTGAATGAGTGTGTACATGTGAATGAGTGTGTACATGTGAATGAGTGTGTACGTGCGAATGAGAGTGTGTATATATGAAAGATAGGGTCCTCACCGCGGACATGGTGCACCAGCGAGACGATGTGCTGCAGGAAAGCGATGGAGGGGCTCGGCGGGCGGGCCGAGGCGGAGGGGATGTGGTGGAAGATGGAACGGAACGCGTCACCGCCACCGCCGCCACTGCTGCTACCGCCGCCACCGCCGCCACTGGTGCCGGCGGTGGGATCGCGGTCGCGGGGGGCGCGAGATCGACGGACCGAAACCAGGTCCATGGAGAGCTGTCGCTCTTCGTTTAGAGACAGCGACGAGCCAGGCCTGAACACACACAGACAAAGATCCCCCGTGTAGCATGAGCAGGCCGGTGAGGCAAGTGCTGTTAGCGAGTAGCAGCACCGATATACAGACAAAGATCCCCCGTGTAGCCTGTAACAGGCTGGTGAGGCAAGTGCTGTTAGTAGCGACCAGCAGCAGCAGCGCCTATGAAGGCCGCCACTGTGTTAGGCGAGGGGGTGGGTGGCCAGCACCGCGCCCGGCCGCCTTTGTCTCCCCTTAGTGACGATGTTTACACAGCACACCACCGCGCCCACAGGTACTCATTTGAGGCCGAGTCGACCTAGGGGAGGCGCAAGACCGGTTCGGATAATCGTCACCGGTGCGACGAGTCTAAATCCCTCCCACAAAACCGTGGCAGATGCGGATGACAGCTGACGATGAACAAATGGAACGTTACAAACTCTCTGCAGCAGTAGTGGTGGTGCCATGACTCTAGACTAACATTCTCCATAGACTAACACTGCCCATAGACTAACACTGCCCATAGACTTACATTGCCCATAGACTAACACTGCCCATAGACTAACATTGCCCATAGACTAACATTGCCCATAGACTAACACTGCCCATAGACTAACACTACCCATAGACTAACACTGCCCATAGACTAACACTGCCCATAGACTTACATTGCCCATAGACTAACACTGCCCATAGACTAACATTGCCCATAGACTAACATTGCCCATAGACTAACACTGCCCATAGACTAACACTGCCCATAGACTAACACTGCCCATAGACTAACACTGCCCATAGACTTAGACTGCCCATAGACTTACACTGTCCATAGACTAACACTGCCCATAGACTAACACTGCCCATAGACTAACACTGCCCATAGACTAACACTGCACAAATGCAACGTTAAAGAACTCTCTCCAGCAGTAACGGTGCGACTGTGACGTCGTCACAGCTACGACGACGATTCACGACTCCGCTACTGCTGCTGCCGACGCTGTTGCCTGCGGCTTGACCACCACCCGACCAGCGATGCCACTGCAGCCGTTTGCTGCTCGGCAGCCTCTACGCCAGCAGCCGCACGGAAGATGAAGGGAGGAGGAGGAGTTCGGTGGTGCTGTTGGCACCCGGCACTCACCGCACGGTCAAGCGCAGAGGGTCCACGCGCACCACCACCGGCTCCTCCAGGTCCATGTCACCGCCTCTCACGCCGCCGCCGCCGCCCAGCAGCGCCGTGCTGGCGGGGGGCGGCTGCCCCCTCTGCCGCTTGCGAACGACGACGGGGGGGGGCGACACGGAGCCGCTGTCGCTCCCGCTGTCCACGCCTCTCATGGACACCACCTGCTGCTGCTGCTGCTGCTGCGCGGTGTTCGCCGCCGCCGCCGCGGCCGCCGCGGCCGCCGCCGCCGCGGCGTTGGCGGCGGCGGCGGCGGCGGCCTTCTTGGCGCGCGCCGACTTGGAGAGGATCTCGGCGAAGTCGGCGAAGTCGTCGTCGTCGCCGGCGTGCATCTTCTTGAAGTCGTAGGCCGAGCCCTTGCTGGACGTCGTGATGGTGATGGGGATGTTGCCGCCGCCGCCGCCGGGGGTGCCGGAGGTGGGGGGCGCGGAGGAGGAGGCGGCCGCGGCGCCAGGAGGGCCGCCGGCGCCGGCGGCGGCGGCGGCCGCGTGGGGGTAGCGCTGCTGGTCGGGAGACTCGACGCGGCGTAGGCGCTTGGCCGAGCCGGCGACAGACGGAGGAGGAGTGGACGACGCCGTCACCGACTGTTGGGGTGGAGAGTGCGCAGGTCGGCGGCGGTGGGTCATGCTGGCTCACTCGCTCACAGACTCGCTCACTCGCTCACAGACTCACTCACCCGCTCACCGACTCGCTCACCCGCTCACAGACTCACAGACTCGCTCACCCGCTCACCGACTCGCTCACCCGCTCACAGACTCGCTCACCCGCTCACAGACTCACAGACTCGCTCACCCGCTCACCGACTCGCTCACCCGCTCACAGACTCGCTCACCCGCTCACAGACTCACAGACTCACTCACAGACTCGCTCAGCCGCTCACCGATTCGCTCATCTGCTCACCGACTCACCGACTCGCTCACCCGTTCACTCGCTCACAGACTTAGACTCACAGACTCTCTGACCCGCTCACCGACTCACCGACTCGCTCATCCGCCCGCCTGCCTGCGCGCCATTTACCTGTCTCTCCCTCACCTTCTTGCCGTAGTAGTCCCCTCCGCCCGAGTTGCGCGTGATCATGAACGTCAAGGGGGGCGGCTCGGCAGCCATCTTGCCGCCCTCCCCCTTCTCTTCGTGGACGCCCCCGGGCTCATCGCCCTCCTCCTCCTCCTCCTCCTCGTCGTCGTCGTTGTAGAGTGCGTCCCGCCTCTTCTTGCGCTCGCGTTCCCGGCCGCGCTCGCGGTCGCGGTCCCTGTCCGGCTCTCGGTCCTTGTAGGCCGTGACGGGCGCCTCCTCCGCGTAGCTGGAACAGCCACCAGCAGCAGTGAGCGGGCCTCCGTTACCATCGGCGTAGTGACCCCCGTAGATTCATCACGGTGTCCCATAGACTCATCATACAGAGACCCCAGAGACTCACCACAGAGACCCATAGACTCACCACACAGAGACTCATCACAGAGTCCCATAGACTCATCATACAGAGACCCCAGAGACTCACCACAGAGACCCATAGACTCACCACACAGAGACTCATCACAGAGACCCATAGACTCAGCACCACACAGGCCCATAGACTCATCATACAGACCCATAGACTCGGCATCGCACAGACTCATCACACAGGCTCATAGACTCACCACACAGAGACTCATTATACAGAGACCCATAGACTCACCACACAGAGACCCATAGACTCAGCACCATACACAGACCCACGAGGCTCAAGATACTGTTCAGCAGGATTCCCTTCCCCAAAGTTGTTGCAGCAGGAGGTGAAGTTGCTTTGTGTGTGCGGAGGAGGCTTGTGAAGGACGATGCTGCTGCTGCTACTGTTGTTGTGTGTCCTGGGCTTCCCCTAGGTCGACTCAGCCTTAAATGAGTACCTGGTGCGGTGTGTAAACATCGCCACTGGGGAGACAAAGGCGGCCGGGAGTGGTGCTGGACACCCACCCCCTCGTGTGCCGTTCCGGCCTTCACAGGTGCTGCTCGCAAACAGCACTTGCCCCTACAGTCGGTCACAGGCTACACGGGGGATCTTTGTCTTTGTGTGTCCTGGGGAGCGGCATTGCCGCGGTGAGCGCTGCGCTACGTACCCGGCGACCCGAGTTCGATTCCCGCTCACGGCCAAGACCAACACCGGTGACGGTGATCTTGCCAGGTAAGGCCGACTCAGCTGCCGTGCAGCTCTTGTTCAGAAGCGACGGACCGAGATGGCTGGCCCGATGCACCACCCGTGCCCCCCTACTGTGCCCAGGACACGCGCTCACTCACACGCCGAGCGCGTGGCAGTGCTCACCGTGGGGCGTGCACATCGAGACCGGGCCCACCGCCGCCGCCGTCGCCGCCGCCGGCGCCGCCGCCGCCGCCGCCGCCAACGTCGCCCGCGCCCCCGACCTCCCCGCCCCCCGTAGACCCCGACGCCTCGGTTCCCCCCTTGGTCCCCGTGCCCACGAGGGGGGCACCGAGGTGAATCCCCTGCGCACGACGGGCGCGGGGGGCCCGTCGGCAGCCTTCTCCTTGGACGCAGGCGGGGGGGGGCCCTCTCCGGCCTGAGGGGTGACGCGGCACGGTGGGGGGGGGGGGGGGGGGGGGGGGGCAGCAGCAGAGAGGTCAGCGTGAAGTCCGCAACGCCCGCCGGTAGCACTCGGGAGCCGTCCGTCGCTCGGGCACCAAACCCACCTCCCCCACGCTCCACCCCCTTCTCACCTGCGGTCCGGCAGCGCCCGCCTGCTGCTGATTGGCCGCGGCCGCGCCGCCGCCCCCGCCCTGCGCCGCCGCGCCCCCTATCATGTTCCTCTTGAGCGTGATCCTCTGGGGCAGGATGGGTTTGCCCATGGGACCCGTGAGGGGCATGGGCCTCCTCTGGCCGGCCGCGGTGCCGGCCCCGGCGGCGCCGGCGGCGCGCTTGGCGAGCGTCAGCGTCGGGGCCGTGGGGGCGGCCGTGTGGGGAGGGCTGTTGTCGTTGTACGTGGTGAGGCCCTGCCGGGGAATGCACGAGGAGAGAGAAGGACGCGAGTTGGGGCGCGCGATTCGGCGCCATCTCGCGCAAATTAAGCGCGAATCCATCCTCCAAATCTCTCCCTTTAAATCGTCTGAAGCCTCCTGGAAATCACGCGGCTTCCGCGTGGCCACACGCACTCTGGACACCCTCCCCACCCCTCTCATCTATAGATCTCCCATCCCTCTCCGCACCAGCCCATGCCTCCCGTAAGTCACGCAAATTCTGTGTGGCCGACCCCAACATCACGGTGGCTACGAGATGTTGACTACCTCGCCTGGTAAGCAGGAAATCGTGGGGTCGACCCAGACCCTGACGATGCCTGCTTCTGTATATTTGAAGTTTGCGTCTCTCTCTCATCATCATCACGGTGGCTATGAGATGTTAACTACTTCGCCTGGTGTGCAGGAGGTCGTGGGTCCGACCCAGACCCTGACGATGCCAGCTTCTGTGTATTTGGAGTTTGTGTCTCTCTCTCATCATCATCATCATCACGGTGGCTATGAGATGTTAACTACCTCGCCTGGTGTCCAGGAGGTCGTGGGTCCGACCCAGACCCTGACGATGCCAGCTTCTGTGTATTTGGAGTTTGTGTCTCTCTCTCATCATCATCATCACGGTGGCTATGAGATGTTAACTACCTCGCCTGGTGTGCAGGAGGCCATGGGTCCGACCCAGACCCTGACGATGCCAGCTTCTGTGTATTTGGAGTTTGCGTCTCTCGCTCTCCCCGTAGTTTTTTCCCCCCTTCCACGTTGAGAATCGACGCCGTGCTTGCTCGAGTATTGAGCTGCTACAGATTCCCGCGTGGCGATGGACCGCCTCGTCGAGGCCGCCGCGAGCGATGGGCCAGGTCGCTTCCGAGAAAGGGAGCTAAGTGACGGGGCTCCACGGCAGGGGTCCTTGCCCGGCGGAATAATGGCTTAGCAATCATTGGAAGGATTTGATAACTCACTCATAGTTTTTTTTTCGGTAAAGTCACGTATGTAGAAATACAAGAAAAATTATATTAAAACAAAAAACAATCACGACGTTTCGATCACAACGCAAGCGATCTTCATCAGGTGTCAAGAACAAATCACGGAGGTAAATATAACAAAAATATGAGAGACGAGAATTCAACAAACCTGAAAAAACATCCAGTCAGGCCAACAACACAGTTAAGACACTTTTTTGTTGTTGTATTTACCTCCGTGATTTGTTCTTGACACCTGATAACGATCGCTTGCGTTGTGATCGAAACGTCGTGATTGTTTTTTGTTTCGATATAATTTTTCTTGTACATCTACATACGTGACTTTACCGAAAAAACCAATGAGTAATTTTATGCAGTCACCAAAGCTTTAATACTTTAGCATTTGATAAACCATTTCGGGTCTTAATTGATTGTTCACGCTTACGGTGGCTTTCAGACAGCATGCATTAATTTTTCCTCTCCCCCCTCCTCTTTTCCGAACATAGATGGACTCGTGATTCTAAACAAAACTGTCAAATCGCTATCCGTGGTGCTAACGTTTAAAAATAAATAAATACAAACCGCCACTTCTTTCAAATGTTTCTTGCCGTTGGTTTTCACACCTGATGATGACTGTTTGTGTTACGGTCGAAACGTCGTGAGAATTTTTATTGTTTTATATATTTTTTATTATTTTATTGCTTTCCCTTCAACGTTACTTTACCGAAAGAACCAAGAATAAGCTTAAAACCGTTTCGGAATCCCCCCCCCCCCCCCACAACCCGTCTCGTCGTCGCAACCCCCCCGGGCGTTGCGACGCTCACCTGCCAGGCGCCCCGTCCGGCCGTGGTGGTGCGCTTGAACGCCGGGAAGAGCACACCGCCGCTCGTCCCGCCTGCGGCGTTGGGGGGGGTGGGGGGGTGGTGAAAGAGGCGACCGGCGGGGGGTTAACGCCTTCGTGGTGACGCCGGCGAGGTTGGGAAGTTTCCGAGCGCCGCCGGTCGTAGGCCGCAGCGCCGGCCCTCGGGGTTCACGGCGACGTCGGGCAACGGCCGCGCTTGCACCGCGATTTCGGCCAATCCGAGCGCTCGTAAAGCCAAGGGGGGGGGGGGGGGGGTGCCGTCAGCCAATCGGCGAGGCCCATCTGTGAGCAGTTTAGCGCTCGGCTGAGCTGCCTTCACATTGTTACGGTTCCCGTTTTGGCAGTGGGAGCAGCAACTCTCGCGGCGACTCGGCCATTTCTTTACGTTTCAGGTGACTCAACAGCGATGGGCCCCTGAAGTGAATTCGCGTTTACTTGGAAATTTAGTCCAAGGTGGAGGATCGTAAGCCCTAGCACACACGCACACACACACGCACACACACACGTGCACACACACACGCACGCACACACACTCACCCACACAACAACAAGAACCGCCATTCGCCACTAAGTGGCGGTGACGTCACCACGACGCTTGTGTCAGGCTATGTGCACCCTGAGGCCACGTGAAGTGTCGAACGCCCGCTGGCAGGAGGTCACGGGGCAGACCCAGGTGCCACGGGTCAACTGACTGAGATGACTGGCTGATGCACCACCTGTGCCCCCTACTGTGCCAACTTGCTGTGGTCTAGCCACACGGCGCTCCGCTCGTTGTTCTGAGCGTCGCTCCTCCGCCCTCCGTTGTTGTTGGAGGGCCAGTGCCTCCAACTGCCCAGTAGCATCCTTCACGAGGCTCCTCCACAGAGGCCGATCTTGACACCGCTGGTACCAGTCATCGGCAAGTCCACTCAGCTCCACGTCCTCCTGTACCACATCACTCCATCTCTTCTCTAGCCCGTGCCGCGCCTGCTTAGCCCCCTCAATCCGGCCGAACAAAAGCTGTTTCGGCATGCGGTGGCTGGGCATCCGGGCTACATGACCCAGCCATCGCAGCCTTGCCCGCCGGAGGAGCTCACCGATGGGACCTTGCCCAGATCTTTCAAGGATTTGTGAGCTCCTCACACAATCCAGTCTGGTTAAACCCAGGATGGATCGTAGGCAGGCCAGCCTAAATGTTTCTAACCGGTGAAGATGTTCCATTAGGGGGGTCCACGTTTCGCAAGCGTAGAGAAGTGAGGGAATGACCGTGGCCGAGAAGACCTGAAGCTTAGTGCAGAGCGACAGACCAGGTAGCTTCCACACAGCGTTACGCAACCGATGAAAAGATATTGCCGCTCGACTGATTCAGAGTGAGACCTCTGCTGTTAAACTGGAGCCAGTCATAAGTACACTGCCCAGGTATGGAAAACTCTCCACTCTCTCCACAACTGCCCCATCACCGATTGGGAGTTGTGGGGGTGGAGTGTCCGATGGTATAAAATACCCAGGCAGGTGCTTAGTTTTGGTGGGGCTGATGGTAAGGCCCCATCTATTAGTTGCACGCTACAGTCTCAGCAGCAGCGTCTCCAACTCCTCTTATGAATTAGCAGCTATTACCAAACCATCGGCATACATAACATGGTTGAGCAATAGGGAGCCATCCCTTGACCGCACCCGGGCATCGATCAGCCTCCCATTATATCTGTACCATATGGAGATTCCCCCGGTACAGCTATTGAAGGCTTCATGAACTACGTGGTCAAAATAGATGTTAAATAATGTGGGAGCCAGAGGACATCCCTGTCGCACCCCAAGGTGTACAGGGAATGGCTCTGACTCCCGGCCACGTAGTTTTACCCGGGCCTGCTCACCATCATGAAGGTCCTTAATGATCCTGAGCAGAGGGTCAGGTACTCCAAAAGCACGAACAACGACCCAGAGCCCAGGCCTACTGATGGTATCATAGGCCTTGACCAGGTCAATAAAGCAGAGATGTAGGTCTTGTTGGAATTCCCTACACCTCTGCTGTAGCAGACGGACAGAAAATATGGCATCTGTGCAGGACCGCCCTTTCCTGAAACCGCATTGGGGCTCGGCAAGCCTCTCCTCAGCGTGCCTGGCAAGGCGATGCTGAATAATCCTTGCCAGGACCTTTCCCGGCACACTGAGGAGTGAGATGCCCCTGTAGTTGTTACAGTCTGTGCGGTCCCCCTTCTTAAAAAGGGGGACCACCAGGGCATCCTTCCAATCCTGCGGAACCCGTCCAGTGGTCCAGACTGTTGTTATGATGTCATATAGGGCAGTCTGTGCACAAACGCCACCCTCCCTCAGTATTTCGCTTGGGAGATCATCTCTGCCCGCTGCCTTTCCTGGTCTCAGACTCCGGATCGCCTTCAGTACTTCCTCAACAGATGGCACCTCAGCCAGCCACTCACAGGGCGTGACTTCTTCCAATATTTGAGGCAATATTTGAGGCACCACAGCCTCAGCAGGGTCATCCTCACTTTGTGCCACGATGTTTTCCTGGCTGAGGGATTTTCCCTCCCCCAGGACCTCACAGAAATGCTCAGCAAATCTGCAAACCTGTTCCTGGGGGTTGGAGATTGGATCACCGTTTTTTCCCCTAATGATGGTAATAGGTGTGGCGCTGCAGGTTACTTTTTTGATGGAGTTAAATAGAGATTTGTGATCACGGGCCACTGAGGCAGACTCCATCTCCTCAGCAACCCGCGACCACCACCCATCCTTGCAGCGCCTCACGGCTCTCCGAACCTCCGAGCAAAGGCTGCGGTAAGCCTCCTCATTCTCTGACGTGGGATTCTGTAGCCGATGACAGTGGGCCTGTCGCTTTTTCTCAACCATCCTGAACACCTCCTCTGTCAGCCAGGGTCTCTGGAGAGGTCTGGACCGCGTACCTAAATCAGCCATTGCAGCTGCATGAGTCACAGTCCTAAACCTCGCCCATTTACCCTCGACATCAGGAGGAGTCGGGGACGATGCCAATCCCAGCCGCAAGCGATGATGAAATTCTCGCTTGCAACTTTCATCAGATAACTGAGACCAGGCCACTTTAGGTCGGAATGGGGTCCTGAGTGTACACCCACCACCGGAGTGGAAGAATGGCAGGCGCATCTTACAGATGACTAGTCGATGGTCAGAGGGCAGATCAGCTCCACGGTAGGTCCTGGTGTCAAGGACATGGGCTCGCATTCGCTGGTCCGTCACTATGTAGTCCAGCAGATGTTCTTGCTTGGACCCGGCATGCATCCATGATGTTGTGTGGATGCGCCGATGCCGGAACAGCGTGTTGGTAATTACAAGCCCATGGGCTGCACAAAAATCTAGCAGCCTCCTACCGTTGTTATTGAGCTGATCTGGCCCATGCTCTCCAATCACTCCAGACCAGGTGCCAGTATCATGACCAACTTGGGCATTGAAGTCACCCAACATGATGACTCTATCCCGAGGGGCCACTTTAGCCAGCACCTCTGACAGGAGGTCATAGAAGGCATCTGACTCATCGGCTTTGCCTGCATCCCTCACCCACACACACACTCACCCACACACACGCACACACACACGCACGCACACACACGCACACACAGCCCACACGCTCACCCCCACACGCGCTCACCCGTGTCTGCTTTTCCATTCCCCTTGTCCGAGTCGCCCATCTTGCGTGCGCCTCCCTTATCCTCGTCCTCATCTTCCTCCTCCTCGTTGTCGTTTCCTCCTCCGCCGTTGTTTTTTCCGCCGCAGTCTCCCTTCCTGCCGGTTTCCCCAACGCCGCCCTGGCCGGCCTGGGCGCCGGCGCCCAGGCCGGCCAGGGCGGGAGGGCGCCCGCCGATCTTCGGCGACGCGGATTTCCCTCTGGACGAGCCCGAGGTGGTGCGGGCGCGCGGTCCTCCCGCGGGCCCGGCCGCCCCACCAAACGCGCCGCCGGCGCGCGCCGCGAAACCCCCGCCGCTCGCGGCGGCCTCCCCCCCGGCCGCCGGTGCCGCCGAGGCCGCCCCGGCCCGGCCTCCTCCTCCTCCTCCCGGCGCGGCCACCGAGGTCTCCCGCGAGCGGTCGGGCGAGCGCGAGGCGCCGCGCGACGACGACGACGACGAGGAGGAGCGCGAGCGGCTGCGGGAGCGCGAGCGCGAGCGCGACTGCGAGCGGCTGCTGCGCGACCGCCGCCCGTGGTGGCGGTGCCCGCCGTGGCCGCCGTGGTGGCGGCCGCCGCCGTGGTGGTGGCCGCCGCCGTGGACTCGGCCGCCCCGGGCGCCCCCGCCTCCTCCCCCGCCCCCGGCGCCGCCGCCGCCGCCGCCGCCGCCGCCGCCCCCGCGGTAGTGCCGGGCGGACGAGGAGGCGGGGGGCGGCGTGTAGGAGGAGCGCCGCGTCCGGTGCTTCCCGCCGGGCGAGTAGCTGCTGCGCAGCGAGCGGGAGCGCGTCCGCGTCCGCGACCGCGTCCGCGAACGCGAGCGCCGCTCGTAGCGCGGCGAGCGCGGCCGGTAGCCGTCCCCGCCGTAGCCCTGGCCGCCGCCCCCCCCCGGGGCCGCCGCCGCCGCCGCCGCCCCCGCCCCCGGGGCCGCGTTCCTGGTGGTGGTGGTGGTAGTAGCCGCCCCCCTGGCCGCCGGGACCCCCTCCTCCTCCTCCGCCGCCGCCGCCCTGGCCCGGGCCGCCGCCGCCCTGGCCGGGGCCGTGGGGGGGCCCCGTCCACTGGCCCCCGCCGCGTCCGCGTCCCCGGTAGTAGCCGCCGCGCACGCCCGGGCGGAAGTAGCGGAAGTTGGTGCGGAAGTTGCCCCGGCCGCGGTAGTAGGGGCGTCGCATGCCCCGGTTCTGCAAGTGGTAGCCCCCTCCTCGGCCCCCGCCCTCGGGGTCCCCGCCGCCCCCCCCCGCCGGAGCCTCCCCCTCCCGGGCCCCAGCCCCCGCCGCCGCCCCCGCGGCCGCCGCCGCCGCCCCCGCCCCCTGGGTGGTGGTAGCCGTGGTGGTAGTTGGGCGGGTAGCGGTCGTGCGAGCGGGAGCGCGAGCGCGAGTAGGAGCGGGAACGCGAGCGCGAGCTGCTCCGGGTGGCGCGTGATCGTGGGTGAGGGTGGAGGGGGGGAAGGAGAGAGGGAGGGAGGTGGAGAAACGCCGGGGTCAATCGCCGCTCCGGCAACAAAGCAGGCCTGCGCGCGTCTCGGTTTTCCGGCAGCCGCGCGTCGCCCGTCCGTCGGGAGCCTCGTTATTCTCGCGGTTTCCGCCGAGCTGGACCGTGACGTGGCCGGCGGGTCACCGAGCAGCGTCACGATTGCCACTAACCGCGCGATAATAATGAGACTCAACCGTGGTACAGGGTTTTTTTTTTGGGGTTTAGATGGCGTAACAAAAATGTGCCGTTACAACCCGCCACCACCCGACACGGCCAATTAGCAACAGGATTTGTCACGTCAACAGAACGTGGCCAATTCGTTACTAGTGTAGCGATGTTAAATGGATCACTACAGCGCGTAGCGCCAAGTGCCGTTGAAACGGGCGCGGAGGCGAACACACCGTGCAGTACCACCCAGTGGGCCACTAGGGGCATGGTACTGGGAGGAAGCTTGATGAGTCCTACCGACAGAGTAGGGGAATTGCAGCCTCCACCAGCGCCGCAGGGAATCGCCACAGAGTGCGCCACTTGGCTGCTCTGACCCGATTAGAGATGATCCCGTATGCAAGAGAAACATTGTGGTCCCATGAGGAACAAGAGTGAGAATAGGTGTATTTAGTCCCGTGTGTAACGGCGTTGCGTAAAGTGTCTCTGAATGACTCGCTACACTAGTACAGCACTAACCGTTTGTGCGTTGGAGAGCGAAGCCACAAGGTTTACATGCCGAGTACGATGTTTCTCCCCCAACGGACGGGAAAAGACTACGGGCGCCTCAAGCCGCCGCCGCGTAAGAAAAGGCAACGCGCAGGGGAGTCGCGGCAAGCGGCGAACACGCGCGGCTCGCCGTGTCCCCCATCTCACAGCGGCGCACGACGCGACACCAACCAGGTCCCCTCTCCGCTGCCCCGGAGGATTTGACCCGCAACGCCGTCGGCTCCGCGAGCGTCCCGAGCGATTGCGAACGGCGGCGACTTTCAATTGCGCAGAGGCCTCAGCTTTCAGCTTCGTCGCAGCTTCCCGGCAAAACCGCGTCAAAGGTTAGCCCGGGAGCAAACGCGACGTTCAAATCGTCGCTCTTTGAGGACGCCGCCGACACGACGTTGGGAGGTACCTCCACCCCACCCCCCCCCCCAAGCGATCCGATTTAAACCCAAGACATTCGCGGCCTTCCCGGATTTCAACACTGCAGAGGGCACGACACAAACCACCTCCGTCCTCCGAGATCGCCCAGAACAACAGCGTCGGTGCCCCTCCCTGCAAGCGTCCGCGCCGTGCCCCGCCGCCCCCCCCCCCCCCGCCTCTTCGCCCGCTCCTCGTCCCCTCGCCGCCCCGCCTCACCTGTAGCGCCGCTTCTTAGAGTAGGACCAGTTCCCCGAGCTGGACGAGGAGTGCGAGCGCGAGCGCGACCGCGAGCGCGACGGAGACTTGGACCGCGGAGAGCCCGGCATCGCTGTGGCTCCTCCGGCGACGAGGACGACGGGCGCTGCGCCGGCCGGGAAACACACACCGGGGGGGGGGGGGGGGGGGCACACGTGGGGGGGGGGCACGTGGGGGCGGGGGGGGGGGCGGCACCGCCACGCGTGCGCAGGGAGGGGAACGGCGTCAGCGTCGCCGAGGCCCGAGAGAACGAGCGCTCCCACAGCTCGCCGGGTTCCCCCCGGCCCCCATAAAGATTCCGGCTCCGATCCCCCCCCCCCGCCCCCCTCCCCGAGGTCGCAGCGGCACGGCGCGCGAGGGGGGCGGGCGGTGGCAACGTTCGCTGCGCCGGGCCGAGCGGTGGCGGCCACGAGCGGGAATCAAACTTCGCTCGCTGGCACTGGCCCTGGTGGTCTGTTGAAGGCTACGCGGGGGGATCTTTGTCTGGGTTGTCTGGGACCACTGCCACTCTCTCTCTCTCTCTCGATTTGTTACAGTAGCCACGTGGTACGCTGACTTTAATCGACTGTATTGGGGCGACACGGTGGCAAGATGTTAACTACCTCGCCACGTATGCAGGAAGGTCGTGGGTTCGATGCCGACCCTGACGACGTCTGGCTGCTGCTGTGTATTTGTAGTGCGCGTCTCTCTCATCTTCTTTGGTTCTTTCGGTAAAGTCACCACGTAGAATGAGAATAAAATAATTGATAAAATTAAATAACACAATAAAATTCTCACATTTCGGCCACAACACAAGCGGCCTTCATCAGGTGAAGGGACGAGACTGTCTGGAGGACAGCGCTGGAGTCTCGTCCCTTCACCTGATGAAGGCCGCTTGTGTTGTGGCCGAAACGTCGTGAGAATTTTATTGTGTTATTTAATTTTATTAATTTATTATTTTATTCTCATTCTACGTGACTTTACCGAAAGAACCAAAGAAGATGAATCCTTGCAGTCACGAAAGCTTTAAATCGAAATTTAGTCTCTCTCATCATCATCACCACGGTGGCTAGGAGATGTTGACTACCTCGCCTGGTGTACAGGAGGGTCGTGCTGCTGCTGTAGATTTGCGGTGTTTCTCTCCCCGTGGTCGCGTGGATTTCTCTCCGGTTTCCTCCGGTTTTCCCCTCCAGATTTAGAATCGGCGTCACGCGTTCGGGGGGGTTATTTGGCTGCTGCTGCTGCTGCTGTAAATTAACACGTGATGGTGATGACGAGCCACTTCACTGGGCCGCCATCATTTGCGAGAGCCAGGTGGCTTCTCAAAAACTGTTCAGTTTAGTGAACTACCTCTGGCGAGCGCGCCCGTGAAGGACACTGCAACCGCGATGAAAAAAACACCGCGGCAGACGGAGAGAGCAAGACGCACGGCGAGCGGAGAGACAGCGAAAGACACGTACGTTACGTACAGTTTGCAGCTTGTCTGGAAGGCTCTACGTGAATGCAACATCATTTGTCTACTTTAGCTCTCATCATCTCCGAGATGCACGGAACACAACGTGGCTCACGGGGTAGTGGACGGGGGGTGGAGGGGGGGCGGGGGCGGGCAACGGTGGCAAAACTCGCACCCCCCAGAACTCTCCTCTCTGGGCATCACGCTCCGTGGCCCATCATCATCATCAATCATCATCATCATCGCGTCTCTCTCCGGAGGAGCTGGGGGGTGGTGGGGATAAACCGAGCAACCCCTTTGTGGGACAAAGCAAAACGTCGGTTTTCGGACTCGCCCTCTGGCCACAGGCCACGGGGGGGGGGAGGGGGGGGGAGAGGCCCATCCTACGGCCTCCGCCGTCGATGGCGACGAGCCGCAAGCAGCAGGCGGCGGTCTATCGTCGCCGTCCGTCTCATTCGAGCGGCAAAATCGCTTTTCAATTCCGATCGCGAAAATCTTCTTTGTCTTGCGGTGGCAGGAGTCTGAGAGCACAGCGGTGGGGGGGGGGGGCGAGAGAGAACACGGGGGGCGGGAACGGAAGCAGACCGGAGGAGCAAAGGCAGAACCAGAGAACGACGGGAACACGCGGTAGGGGAGGGAGGGGGGGTTCCACTCACCAACGATCTCCTCCTTCGTGACCTCGCGCAGAGCGCCCGCGAAGGGTCGCGTCAACCACACCGCGTCACCCCAGCTCCTCCCTCCGCGCGATTTCCGGCGATCACGTTGCGGAGAAGGGCGGTTGGGTGTGGTGTGGGGGCGGCGCCTGGTTTTGGTGGCGACGGGCGCACGAGCGTACCAGCGTTTCCACCGGAAGAATATCGGAACGCGGCTCGAGGAGCTGCGGAGGTGGCCGGGATGCTGTGGCACACGACGATCCTCGGGCCTTCGCTCTTAGGCTTCCTCTGGGCCTAGTGCAGGCCTAGTTCAGGCCTAGTGCAGGCCTAGTTCAGGCCTAGTTTCAGGCCTAGCACAGGCCTAGCACAGGCCTAGTTCAGGCCTAGTCCAGGCCTAGTTCAGGCCAAGTGAAGGCCTAGGGCAGGCCTGGTGCTTGTCCCTTTTTGCTGCACGCTGCCGAATTCAAACCTGCACGCACGCGAACACCGATAACAACATAGAATAAGAATAAACACGTTTTATAACGCGTATGTACATTCACGAATCGGGACGCAAAGCGCAACATTGACCGGTGCTCACACCGCTGTCTTTCACACCGCCATAAGTAGGGGGTCTCTGCGCGAGTCTGCGGGTCTCTGTGGGTCTCTGTGGCGAGTCTGTGGGTCTCTGTGCGAGTCTGCGGGTTTCTGTGGCGAGTCTGTGGGTCTCTGTGTGAGTCTGCGGGTTTCTGTGGCGAATCTGTGGGTCTCTGTGGCGAGTCTGCGGGTCTCTGTGCGAGTCTGCGGGTTTCTGTGTGATTCTATGGGTCTCTGTGTGATGAGTCTATGGGTCTCTGCGTGAGTCTGTGTGCGAATCTATGGGTTTCTGTGTGATTCTATGGGTGTCTGCCTGAGTCTGTGGGTCTTTGTGCGAATCTATGGGTCTCTGTGTGATGAGTCTATGGGTCTCTGTGTGAGTCTGTGGGTCTGTGATTCTATGGGTCTCTGCGTGAGTCTGTGGGTCTGTGTGCGAATATATGGATTTCTGTGTGAGTCTATGGGTCTCTGTGCGAGTCTATGGGTCTCTGTGATGATTATATGGGTCTCTACGTGAGTCTGTGGGTCTCTACGTGAGTCTGTGGGTCTCTACGTGAGTCTGTGGGTCTCTGTGCGAATCTATGGGTTTCTGTGTGAGTCTGTGGGTCTCTGTGTGTGTTGAACTTCTTTGGCAACGTACGTAGCCAACCGTGCTAATCAGAGGTGCTCATCGGAGCATGCATAGGGGAAGGACAACAAACCAAACGTAACAAAGAAAACTAAGAACAGGTTTGTACCCTTTCTGACAATACAACAGGAGGCTGTTAAGATGTTCAAACACCAAACAAAAACCTCTGGCAAGGAATCAAATTACTGCCTTAACCACACAGACTAGGCCCTAAAGACAGATGTCATCTCTGGTGCGGACCAATCGCTTGCGTGTTCACCGCAAGTACCGCGTGAGATTCATGCCGTGAACTTGATTCCTTGCAAAAGTTCTGATTTAAAGCTTTCGTGACTGCTAGGATTCATCTTCTTTGGTTCTTTCGGTAAAGTCACGTAGAATGAGAAGCTCTGTCGTCCTGACAGGTCTGTACCTTTCACCTGAAGACGGCCGCTTGCGTTGTGGCCGAAACGTCGTGAAAATTTTATTGTGTTATTTTGTTATTTTATTCTCATTCTACGTGACTTTACCGAAAGAACCAAAGAAGATGAATCCTTCCAAAAGCTTTAAATCTGTTTGGCGTATGAACATCTTAACACGACCCCTGATGCTTTATTGTTTGCCAGGAAGGGCAAAAAAAAACACCGATTCTTACGTTTCAATAACTTTGATACTTGGCCGAAAAAAGGTCCCGTTGTGTAAAACACGACAACACCAAGAAGCAGGACTGAAGAAGTTAATTTTCAGCGTAGCAGTGTCCGTGTCACAGGCGCAACGGAACGCTCTCGGCCGTGGAGGGGGGATGAGGTGGGGGTCAACTCGCACCACGGGACCTGGCTGGGGAGGAGTCGCCACTCCGGCACTCGCCGGAGTGGCGACTTCTCCGCCAGGCCGCTCCCCCCAGCCACGACACTTTTTACTTTTGCTTTGGGGGGGTGAGTGGGGGGGGGGGGTTATCCCTCCCCCCCCACCCACCCCCCTAGTTCCCCCACACCCCCTGCCGAGGTGGATTTCGGCTCGAAACAAAATATCGGCCTCTCCTGGCACCACCGCCACGGTTATTGGCGAGCATTGCGAGCCATCTCCCACGTCGCCGGATCGGCCACGTGGAGAGGGAGGAGAGGGGAGGGGAGGGAGGAGAGGGAGGAGAGGGAGGGGAGGGAGGAGAGGGAGGGGAGGGAGGAGAGGGAGGGGAGGAGAGGGAGGAGAGGGAGGGGAGGGAGGGGAGGAGAGGGAGGGGAGGGAGGAGAGGGAGGAGAGGGATGGAGAGGGAGGAGAGGGAGGAGAGGGAGGGGAGGGAGGAGAGGGAGGGGAGGGAGGAGAGGGAGGAGAGGGATGGAGAGGGAGGAGAGGGAGGGGAGGGAGGAGAGGGAGGGGAGGGAGGAGAGGGAGGAGAGGGATGGAGAGGGAGGGAAGGGAGGAGAGGGAGGAGAGGGAGGGGAGGGAGGAGAGGGAGGAGAGGGATGGAGAGGAAGGGAGGGGAGGAGAGGGAGGGGAGGGAGGAGAGGGAGGGGAGGGATGGAGAGGGAGGGAAGGGAGGGGAGGGAGGAGAGGGAGGGGAGGGAGGAGAGGGATGGAGAGGGAGGAGAGGGAGGAGAGGGATGGAGAGGAAGGGAGGGGAGGAGAGGGAGGAGAGGGATGGAGAATATCGGTTCCAAATGTGCCGATTCGGCGCTTGCCAAGCGCGCGAGCAACCAGTGAGAGAGCCGCACCCTCAACACTCACTCACCACTCACTCACCCACCACTCACTCACCACTCACTCACCACTCACTCACCACTCACTCACCCACCACTCACTCACCACTCACCCACCACTCACTCACCACTCACTCACCCACCAATCACTCACCACTCACTCACCCACCTACCACTCACTCACCTCACTCACCCACCACTCACTCACCACTCACCCACCCCGCTCTCGCGATGAAACCAGCTCACACTACGCTCACCACTCACCCACCACTCATCAATCACTCACCACTCACCCACCCCGCTCTCACGATGAGACCAGCTCACACTACGCTAACCACTCACTCACCACTCACCCACTCCGCTATCGCGATGAGTACACAGCTCACACTAGGCTCACCACTCACTCACCTCTTGCGATGAGACCAGCTCACACTACGCTCACCACTCACTCACCTCTCGCGATGAGACCACCTCACGCTACGCTCACCACTCACTCGCCATTCACTCACCCCGCTCTCGCGATGAGTACACAGCTCACACCTCACTCACCCCGCTCTCGCGATGAGCACACAGCTCACACTCCGCTCACCACCACGACCACGTGGAGCCACCCCCACTCAGTCAACATCACGGCTCCCCTCCCTCCACCTTCAAACCGGTCCTGGGTCCCACCTGCCCCCCCCCACGCGTGTCCAATATTTGTCGCGTGTCGCGTGCTCGCTCAGCTGCAGCTTTAAAGCCTTCGAGGCTCCCTTGATGCACGGGGGGGGTGGGGTGGGGGTCGGCAGGGCACGGTATGCTTCCCGCCGCCGCAGCTCCAGGCCAGCACGACCCGGATGACCCGGCACCAAAAAACGACGCAAACACGCCGAGCGGTGGCTGGCACTCACCGCCGTGGCCATGTCACCACGACGCCTGTGCCAGGCCAGGTGCTCAACTGAGGCCGCCACGTCAAGTGTCGAATTGCTCACCGACGGGAGGTCACGGGACAGACCCGGGAGGTGCCACGGGTCGGCCGGCCGAGACCACTCGCCGATGCACCACCACCACCACCACCACCCCAGCCGTGCCCCCCCCCCCCGCCCCCCTGCTGTGCCAACTTTGCCGCGTTTGATCCGCTCCGGCGCTCCGCTCGTTGTCGTGAGCGTCGCTCCTCTGCCCTCCGTTGCCTTCAACTGCCCAATGGAGGAGGCCTCGCGAAGGTCCAATGGTGGAGCCACGATTTTCAGGTGGGGGGGGGGGGGGCGGGGGGGGAAACCTCTCCAGCAATGAAAAGCGATAGAGGGGTTGGCGCAGCCATCGATCGAGAGTCGAATTCGAACCGCGGTACCGGCCACCCACGGCGCCGGCCTTCGTTGAGCGCTGCTACTCCCCCAATGGCACTTGACCCATCAGGCTGTCGCAGGCTACACGGGGGATCTTTGTCTTTGTGTGTTCATGGGTGCTGCTGATACTCGCTAACAACAGAAACTGCAGTTTTTTTCTTGCTGTGATCTATTTAGATTTTTCTACCGACTGGACTTTACCGAAAGAACCAAAGAGTATGGATTCCGGCAGTCACGAAAGCTTCAAGTCAACATTTTTAATTAATTGCTTTCAAATAAATACGTAAATAAGCTAATGAAGATGTGGAAACTCCATCATGATCTCCCATCGCTTTATCTCCCATCACTTTCTCTCTCTCTCGATGCAGCTGCGAATTCGCGTACAGCCAAAATCGCGGAGAGCAAGTTCGTGGGTAACGAGGCAACGCCGTAAACACTCCGCACCCCCCCCCCCCCCTTCTGCATGGATTCCCTCCGGGTTCTCCGGTTTCATCGCACCGCCAGACACACACGCACACGCACAAAAAAACAAAGATCCCCCATATAGCCTTAACAGACTGTAGCGGCGATGTTTACACACCGCACCAGGTACGTAGACAACCGTGCTAATCTCTGGGCCTCTCTGTGTCTCTCTCTGTGTCTGGGTCTGAATGGGTCTGGGTGTCTGTGGGTCCGTGTGTGTATTTGCGCACTCTGAACTTCTTTCACACCGTACCTTCCCCCAACAGCCTACGTGCACTAGAGAGGGTGTGTGTGTGTGCTTGTGCGTGCTTGTGTGTGCTTGTTTGTTTTGTTTGTGTGCTTGTGTTTGTGTGCTTGTGTGTGCTTGTGTGCGTGTGCTTGTGTGCATGTGCTTGTGTGTGCGTGTGTGCTTGTGTGTGTGCTTGTGTGTGTGCTTGTGTGTATTTGTGCTTGCTTGTGTGTGCGTGCTTGTGTGTGTGCTTGTGTGTGTGTGCTTATGTGTGCTTGTGTGTGTGCGTGTGCTTGTGTGTGTGCGTGTGCTTGTGTGTGTGCTTGTGTGTGCGTGTGCTTGTGTGTGTGCTTGTGTGTATTTGTGCTTGCTTGTGTGTGTGTGCTTGTGTCCGGCAAAACAACCCCCTACCTCCTCGCGGTGCCGGACGGGCAACTCTGTCGTGGACAGTGCTGTGGGGGGAGATCCAATTTTGATTGGCTCCTCCCCTCATGGCATATGTGTCCACCACAGGGGCTAAACGGGGGCTCTGGACGGGTGCGAGGGGCTGGTAACCCCTCCACCTTCAATTAATTA